GCGCATAAACAACTGGATATAATAAACTAATATGTATATTAATGAAATATTTAAAAGCTTTTTCTTTCCCAAACTAAAAAATATTTTTATTAATTATTAATTTACTTTATTGTGAGAACTTTGGATTTTTTAGCAATTATGCTAAAAAATCCAAATTTCTTTAAAAATTCAAAGTTTATATCCTATTTTTCTTACATTTTTGCGTATTTGGTTTATTATTATATTTTTAATTTTTGAAATTTTTACATTTCAAAAATGTCAAAATTCTGTAAAAGTCCAATTTTCGAAATGCCTGTCTTTCTCTCTCCTCCTGTCCAAATTACCAATACTGATCTTGAATCTTGAGAATCCTCAGATTTGATTTAAATATCGAGGGGAAAATTCGGTATTCCAAATTTATAAAAATCTAAAATTCATTTTATAGCCTCAGGGCATGCCCTCTTTTTAAGTGCCTTAATTTATGTTTTTGTAAATTTTAATTTTTTTGTAAAATATTTTTGAAGATTATTTTATTTATTAATTTTCTCCTTCTCCAAATTACCAAAATATTTTCTTTTTTTTTTGTTTTTTATCCCTCATTGCGCTAACATAATACACATTTATTTTTATGTATTGCTCCAACAGACGTCATATTGCACGAATATTTTTTATTTTTATTTTTGTTTTTTTCAGAGTGAATATTAGCTAATAATTAGAATTTATAAAGCGTAAAAAGTCTTTTTTAAGTTTATTTTTGTATTTTTATTTATTTTTAATTTGGCGCTGAACCGACCTTTTAAGGTTATACTGCTTGACCTTAGTCTGGTTTTTCTTCTATAACTCTAGAACTACAAAAGCTTTAAAAATACATTTGATATGGTTCGATAGAGAATTGAATTGGCTACAAGATAAAATTTATTTAAAAATTTTTGGTCAAAAAATAAAAAAGTTGTGGTCGAAAAACTGTCAAAAATGTGGGCATTTTTCACCAAAAATGTCTATTTTTTGGATTCAAATTTATTTATTTTTTAAAATAAAATTTTTATTTTAATTTTATTTTGTAGAAAATTTAATTCCCTATAGAAAAATTTAAAAAAAAAATTTTTAGATTAATTTTAAAAAATATTTTTAATTAAAATGTCTGTCTAGTTATAATTTTTTGACTTTTGCTTTATTTCAAATTAATTTTAAAAAAATCCAAAAATGGAATAAAAAACCGGAACGTGCAAATGAACACATAAAAAAGTGTGTTTGAATATGTATTACTAAAGAAAATTGAAAGTGAGGAGGAAATTAGGGGGATATCGAGAGAATTTGAGGGGGGAACACACAAGAAAAATGATTTCTTTTTCCTCCTCAAAAATTTTTTTTCTTTAAAAAAGGGAATATTTCTAACACCAAAAAAGAGCTATTTTTATAAAATAAGGAAAAGCCAAAAAAAGTTTTCCTATAATTTTTTGACTCCAACAATATTTAATTCAATTTTAAATTAACTGGAAGCCGAGAAAGTTTAGTTACAATTTAAAAAATATTTTTTTGGTTTAAATTCCCAATAGAAACAAAATAAAAAATTCCTTTTTTCGTTCAAATATTTTTAGATAATTTTAAATTTTTTTGAAATATTTTTATTTTTACATAGACACTTATTTAAGCTCACATTAAAGGCGAAAACTCTCATTTAATTAAGAGATACCCCCAAGTTTGGGAACATTAAATACCTGACTGGGAGGGGTCGTTAGGAAAATCGAGCTCTAAATGTCTCGATATCTCTGAAAATCACGTTTCTTGCTAATCGAAATTTTTCGAGGCTTAATAATCTTCCAAAATTTAATGTAGAAATTTAAAAACAGTTCTGTTCAGACCTCCTTTATGTTGGTGCATTCCCTTTAGCCTTTTTTCTTAAAGAGATATAACTGCTTTATGATATCCTAGTAATTTTTTATCGAAAGGGTAGTGGATTCAATTATTAAAAAAGATTTTTAATTTTTTTTTCGAATTTTTTTGTTTTTAAACAAAATATAGGCACGATTAACTTCCTTTTTTTAATTTTATTTTCTTTTAAATTTTTTAAAGATTTAAGCTAACCCATTATTTATTTAGTTAAGTCACGCAATTAAAAAATAGAAAAATATTTTTTAATTCTTTTATTTTTAATAGTACATTTATTTTTAATTTTTAATTGGGTATTTTTAAAAATCCTAAGGGAGAAGCACGCTTTGCTTTAAGCGCCATAACTTTATTTTGGATAAGTCAAAAATTTTGATTTTTTCCAATCTTGTAGAGCACTTAATTCTCTATCTAACGGTACCAAAATAATTAAAAAGTATCCACCCGTTCAAAAGTTATAGTGCCGGGACTTGAGTGAACTGCTCCATCTAGTTATCTTTTAAGCCTCATAACTTTATTTTCGATAGATCGAGAATTTTGATTTTTTCCAATGTTGTAGTGTATTCAATTCTCTATCCAGCGATACCAAAATAATTAAAAAGCATCCATTCCTTTATGAGTTATAGGGCCGGGACTTGACTGAACTGCTCCATCTAGTTATTTTTTAAACCCCATAACTTTTTTGTCGGGCATTCAAAAATTTTTATTTTTTCCATTTTAGTAGTACATTTAATTCTCTATCCATCGGTACCAAAATAATTAAAAAATATCCACACGCTCATGAGTTATAGAGCCGGGACTTGAGTGAACTGCTTCATATAGTAATCTTTTAAACGCTATAACTTTATTTTCGATCAGTCGAAAATTTTGATTTTTACCATTCTAATAGCGCATTTAATTCTCTATCCAGCGGTACCAAAATAATTAAAAATTATTCACCCCTTCAAAAGTTATAAGGCCGTGACTTGAGTGAACTGCCCCGTCTAGTTTTTTTTTATTTTTTTGGCAATAGTTTTGAATTAAAAAAATATTTTTTTAATAAATATTTTTAATAATAAAAATTTAATTTATTAAAGTCCCCAAAAATAGATGGATAGGTTTTTAAATTGTATATGAAGCGTATTAAAAAATGGCAACATTTGACTAACAAGTATTTTTTAATAAACTAAATTTGGCCAATTTATTAAATTAATATTTCAAAAAAAAATATTTTTTTCTTTCCTAGGAAATTTGGAAAAAATTTTTTTAATATTTTTGCTTCCCTAAAAATTTTTTTTCAAGGAAAATTTATTTAATTAGTTAAATTTACTAAATTATTTCCTTGTTTAAAAATCCTAATTATTATCCGCAAAATTATTATCCACCAAAATCCTCTTTCTTTTAAATTTTCGATTAAATAAATATTTATTTATATTTTATTATTATACATAAATATATTATTTTTTATCAATTTTTTAAAAATTTATTTTTGGTAACTAAATACACATATTTATTTTAATTTAGTAAAAGATAAGAAAATTAATTAAATAAATTAATTTTAAAAAAGATCCTTTATTTTATGATAAAATTAATATTTTATTTAATTTTATTAATTTATAAAAATTAATTTTGAAAGGATTTTTCAAAAACTCTCTGGGATATCCCCTCTACTTTTCGTTATTTAATACTAAGGTTGGGGTTTTCGAGTTGGGCCGACGTTCGAGTCATTTTTTCGGGCTGCATTTTTATCGGACCGTCGAGTCTTTTTCAGGCCAAAATTCGATGGCCGACTCGATCTTTCGGACCGGACCGGGCCTCAAACCCTAAATATTTAACACCTCATAGTTGTCTTAGTAAACGAGAGTCTGTTGGCTTCCGATCTCCACGAAACTCCAATTTTTCTAGGCGAAACTAAAAAAGACCTCTGAAACAAAACTAAATTTTCCGTGAAGCTCTGAATTGGCATTTAAATTTTTTAAATAAATTTTTTGAATTTATAATTATATATTTATTCAATAAAATACCTAGAACACCTTATTATTATTTATTTTTTAGAGCTTTTATTTTAAGCGTAATTAAGGGTTTCTTGTATTTTTATATTTAAAATCAATTCAGAATTAAAAAAATTTTTTTTAATTTTTTTAAAGAGAAAACTAAAAATAAAATTTTAAATAAAAATTTTAGACAATAAAATATTAATTAAAAAATATATAAAAAATGTCTAAAAAAAGCGGGAAAATGGCATTTTTGGAAGAAATTTTATTTTTTAAATTTTGTAAAATTCTTAAAAAATTTTTTTTAAGGATTTAAAAATTTATTTAAAGCTCCAAATATTTTTTAAAATTTTTTGAAAATATTTTGAATTTGCTAAAATAATGTTGGACAGTTCAGCAATAACTACAAATACTCGTTTGGGGTATACTGTAAGTTTATTTTTGAGTTAAATAAACTTGACGAAAAATGACATGACTACGCTTGCGCGGAATTTTATAAATCGATCTTAAAAAATCCTACAAGCTTGAAATTTTACATAATTAAAGCTAATAGTCTTAGCTACCTTCCCTGAAAATTTCAAAATTTTTTGTTTTCTATAAACAAAGTTATATAGTAAAATATCTCGTAAGGTTGATATTTCTAAAGCACTTGGAATTTTTTGAAATAATTTTTGAAATACTCAATCAAAAATTCTGAAATTTTTTGAGGAGATAGAAGATACTCTTGTAGGGGTATTTGCAAAAATTCACAATTTTAGGATTCATATTTTTTGTTTTACGAGGGGATTAGTATATGCCTAATATGCTCATAAGTGGTCTTCTTGATAGAAACTTTTTTTAAAGCCTTAAAAAATTTCAAAAAAATTTTCAAAAAATTTTTTTAAATTTTTTTAAAGCCCTGGACATCAGAAAACCCCAAAAACATAAATAACACCAATTGTCGTCACTCAACTACCAACCAAAATAAACACAAAAATATTTCACCTGCCCTATCATTAACTTCCACCTCGACAACCTCTAGCAATTTAGAAGAACAAAAAGAAGAAAAATTAAAAATAAATAAAAAATTAAAGCAGTTACCTGAAGTTGTGGCTGAGGCTATTAAAAGACATAAAAGTCAAAAATTGGAAGGGGGATTATCTGCGAGGATTAATAAGGATAATGAGAATAGTGTTTGTTTAAAGTGAGGGAGAGAATTTTAATATGGTCGGGTACACCATTGGGGATGAGAGGTGTACGTAGAACTGTTGTACGTAATCTTGTAGGTATCGCTTAGGTCTCATCGTTCCTTACCACCCAGTGGTCAATCAACTTGAGAAAGCTCCGATGGATCTCTTCCTCATATCCCTTCTATCTTTCATATGAGAGGAAGCTTAACAAAACCCCCTAGAGCTTATTAATATTTTCCAATGAAATTTCTCCAATAAAAAATTTTTCTACAGGCACACAGTAGAACGAAGTCAGAGCCAACTAGCCCGTTCCCCTGCAGGTGTTTTATCTCCTTGGTTGAGTGGAAATGGTCGTTCTAATTCTAGGTACTTCTAAATTACCTAAGTATTTGCGGATTGAGATATGCGGACAAATTTTTTAGGAGGGCATTGTCCGCAAAAAACGTCCGCTAAATTTTTGTCCGCAAAAAACGTCCGCAAATTTTATTAATTTCCCTAAAAATTATTTTTTAAAGGCGTTCGCATTGTGGAGGTCACCGTTCATCAGCAGACCAATTAATTACAGAAAATAAAAATGCCAGTCAACAACAAACAAATAATTCCTCACCAAACAATATCCCCCAATTAACCATTGTATTAATGGGAGGCCCCAAAACAGGCAAATCCGCGCTCGTTAGCCAATTTCTTTGGGAATGTTTTCTGTCTGATTATCGCCCTACTGTCGAAGAATTTAATTGGGTAGAGTATGGATGTGTTGAACAAAAATTGTCTGGGCCCAATTTTATGTTACAATTAATTGATAGTAGTGGAAGTAGGGATTTTCTGGCTATGAGACATTTGTATTATAGAATTGCTGATGCTTTTATGGTGAGTGAATTGGTTGGAAATGATCTTAGAAAAATATTTAAAAATATTCTAAGAAGAGGAAATAATAAGAAAAAATTTTTAAAAATTAAAATAAATTTTTTGTCCGCAAATATTATCCGCAAATGTATGTGACTTAGTCTTCAGTCTGTAACTTTTTTCTAAATGAAGCTTTAATTGAAATTTAAAAAGGGTTCAATAGAGGACGATTTGGGCTATATAATAAGTAAAGATCAAATTTTTAGATTTAAAAATAGTTGAGTTATGAATTTTAAAAGAGTCATGGTCGAGTAGTTCAGTTGACAGTTAATCTTCGGACTACAACTTTTTTCTAGATAAAGCTTTAATAAAAATTTAAAAAGGGTTTAATAAAGGATGATTTGGGCTATAAAATAGGAAAAGAATAAATTTTAGAATGAAAAATTTGTTGAGTTATGAATTTTAAAAGAGTTATGGTCGAGTAGTTCAGTTGACACTAATTCTTCATTATTAAATAAATTTTTAAAAATTAATAAAATAGCTTTAATAATTAATTTAAACAATAATATTAAATATTTTAAATATATTTAAAAAATTAAAAAAATTTTTCTCAAGGTTGTCTATGCAGCAGACGACCCTCAAAGCTATGCAGAAGCATTAACTATGCTAAAAGAAATTGGAGAACAAAATACCAAAAATGTATTTTTAAACAATTTATTTTCTTATTTTTAAATTATTTTTTAAATTTATTTTTAGGCCCCAATTTTATTGCTTCAAAATAAAAGTGATTTGGTGCCTAGAAGTGGTGGAGGGGATACTCCTCCCTCCCCGGCATTATTAAAGGATGAAGAAAAGGATGAACAGTTGCTGATTACTTCTGTTAGGAGAATGAGAATTTCTGCAAAAAATTTGGAACAAGTAAAAAATTTCAGAAAAATTTTGTCCGCAAATATAAAAATTGTCCGCAAAAAAATTGCGGACGTCCGCAAAAAATTAATTATGGCATTTTAAAAATTAATTCTGATTTTTAAAAATTAATTCTGATTTTTTAAAAATAAATTCTGATTTTTAAAAAGGTGAAAGGCGCATTTTCTTGGTTAATAGAAGAATTAGTAAGGCGTTCAGAAAATATTTTTTCCTCAACCCAAATTGACGGAAAACAACGCCCAACAATTATCACAACAGAAAATAATAATGGAATAATTAAAGGAAGAAAGAGAAATGGAAGTGGGCCTACAACAGGATTTTTACCTTCAAATAATGGAAAAATAGCGTTGTTAACCAGAAGAAGACAGTCAATGCCGTCGCGGAGGACTGCTAGCGAATTGGGGATAGATGAACAGGCGTTGAAACAGTTTATGAAAAGGTGAAGAGATTAATTCTGATTTTTTTAAAAATATAATTCTGAATTTTAAAATAATTATTCTGATTTTTAGAAATTAATTCTGATTTTCAGAAATTAATTCTGATTTTCAGAAATTAATTCTGATTTTTTAAAAATATAATTCTGATTTTCAAAAATTAATTCTGAATTTAAAAATTAATTCTGATTTTTTAAAAATAAATTCTGATTTTTAAAAATATAATTCTGATTTCCGAAAATAAATTCTGATTTCTAAAATTAAATTCTGATTTTAAAAATTAATTCTGATTTCAATTTTAATTATTCCTTTAAGATATGAAACTCAACAAGGACGCAATGGAGTGAATTGTTGTATTCAATGAATCAGAATAATTAAAGAAAAATTGCTATTAAATGTGCCAAAATTTTTTTAGTAAAAATAGATCATTCCCGGTGATTTAATTTTATAAAATTTTAATTTTTAGAAATAAATTTAATTTTTATTTTTTTCTATCCGCAAAAAAATGTCCGCAAGAAAAGTCCTCTAAAATGTCCGCAAAAAAGGGCCTCCCTTAATTATTGCCTATTTCCCCCACTAAAAAATTTTTAAAAATTCTAAAATTTATACTAAAATGAAGGAAAGGAAAATTTTTAGATAATTAATTTAAAAGAAAAGGTTCAAGACAGGAAAGGAATTTTCTACGGCCTCAGAACCGAGGCTACGTTCTCAAGGAACTTGAAGTTTCGTTCTTTTTCTCTTCAAAAATCTACATTTTTTCTCTCAAAAAATTTTTTTTCTAATCAGATTCTTCTTCATAATCCTCTTCTTGATGTCCATAATAATAGTCTCCTCCTTCCCCTCCAACATGTTGCTGCCCATAATGATAGTCTCCTCCTTCCCCTCCAACATGTTGCTGCCCATAATGATAGTCTTCTCCCTCCCCTCCAACATGTTGCTGCCCATGATGATAGTCTCCCTCCACGCCTTGTTTAATTCTACTTCCTCCTCCTCCCACATTTCCTTTACTTCTCTCATAAGCTTCATCTCTCAAACGATTATGTTTAAGAGCTTCATCTATCTCTTCTTCCGTTTGATAATTTCCGTGATTTCCAAAACAAAATGCACAAAGTTGTCCAAACTGTTGAAAACAATTGCAAGCTGCATAGGTTGCCTCATTATCATAACGACTTGGACTTCGACCAAGTAATGGGAAGTCTTCTTGTGGAGGTAAGGACTGGTATGTATGTTGATATTCAACAGGTTGTATATGCTCTGAGTGACTTCTCTCAACCTTTTTTCCTTTTCGAGGACTGCTCTGATGAGTTGAAGTTTCTAAATTTGAACGAGTAGCTCTCAAGTCTTTTTTGGGTTTCGTTTTTGGTTTGGAAGATGCTTGAGCATCTAGAAATAGCAAAAAAAATTTTGAAATTAAAAATGAGGTGTCATAAATGAAGAGTATCTCTTAAACAGCTAACCCGGGCAATGGTATCTTAAATAGAGGTGTACCTCCAGTATAGGGGATAGCTTATAGTTATAGTCTTTTATAATATGTTATAGTCTCTTATAGTCTCTTAAAAGCTACTCCAATTAGCTGTATCTTTAGTTATTATGTATGTAGTGTATCCAGATGACTTAAATGAGGAGTGTCTTGTATTGGAGGTATCTCCATTGAGGAGGTATCTTCATTGAGGAGGTATCTCTATTGAGGTGGTATCTCTATTTAAACTTTTTTTTGTTACAAATACCTTCTTTTCCGCTATTTTTGCTACTTTTCCCTTTAAACATGGCATCAACATTAAAAACAATTTCAGCAAGGACAAACATCAAAATTAAAAATTTTATAGTTTTCGGAGGCATTTTGTAAAAAAATTTTCTTGGATTTTCTTGAAATAATTTAAAATTAAACATAGAGAAGAGTTAATTAAATAAAAATATTTATAAAAATATTTTTCAAAGAGAAAGCCCCGCTTACAATTTCCCTTAATTTTGCACTTTAAAATTATTTTTGATTGGCGGCGAATTTAAAGAATCTAAAAAAATTTTTTTAAGAACCCCCTCTGTTGGGTATTGGCTTAGTATAAAAGCCTTCCTATTATTCAGTCGAGGTCTTAGTCTTATTGTCGCAGTTGTATTCGAACCTGATTCAAAAGGTATTATTCTTATTCGGATATTATTCAATTCTAATTGCATATTCTAGTTAAAAATGGACACAGAGGCAGTAAAAATGCTAGGCGAAATTCTGAAGTCAACGCAAGATTTCATGAAGGAATTCGGCAAAACAAAGGAAAAAGAAAATTCAGAAGAAGAAAAGTCAGCCGAGCTATATTGCAAATTAAATTCTGTGATTCAAGAATTCGAATTCGATTTGGACAAGGGCAAAACATTCGCTTCCTGGTACGAGAAGCATAAATCATTCTTTGAGAACGAAGGTAATTCATTAGCCGAAGGGGTAAAAGTTCGATTATTAGTCGCCAAGTTAGGGGGTAGTGAATATGCTAAGATTTCACAGAAAATGATGCCCCAGAAATTAGATTCGATGAGATTCGATATTCTCATTCAAGAGTTGGAAAATGAATTCAGTGACCCTCGGTCCAAAATTGTAAAACGATTCGAAGTTATTAAGTTAAGATGTCCCTGTGTTGAGAAAGTATTAGATTTTGGGACCATTGTTAATTCGGAATGTGAAAAGGCAGAAATGGCCCTAACTGTAGAAGATTCGAAAATTCTTATTTTCATTGCAGGGATTCCTGAAGAGGCCAATGATCTGCGCCAAATTTGCCTGCGATTCGTTGAGCGAAATTCCAATTCGGAGCAATGTACATTCAAACAGTTGTTAGAAGAATGTCGCAGTTATTTGGCAACAAAGGCAGATGCGAAAGTTTTTGAGAATACTCAGGATAAGGTAAAATTCGAGCCTGATTATTCATTCGAAGTAAATAATGTTAGTAAAATTCCTATTCAGGCTCAACCGATTCAAAATTCGAAAATGAAAGAGAATTCTGAAAATGAATTTATTAGAAACAAGTACCAAAAGAAGTTCAACTACAATTCGGGAAGTCAACGATTCAACAACTATTCGGATTATTCAGAGAGCCAAAACAAATTCAGAGACATTCAGTGCTACAATTGTGGTCGTTTTGGACATTACGGACGTGATTGTCGTAAACCTAAAGGTTGGTTAAACCGATTCAATCGACCACAGATTAATCATGTTTCTATTGATCCAGATTCGTCAGGAACCTTTTGTGGTATTACGGACATCGTGAATCCAAATGCTATTCTGATTAAGCAAAAATGGATTACACAAAAATTGAAATTAAACGAAAAATTAGTTGAAATGATTGTTGATTCGGCCAGCCAAATTAATATTCTGAATGAGGAGATTTGGTCAAAAATTGGCAGTCCAGAATTAGCCAAAGTTGATTATTCAGGCGTCGGCCTAGGGAAAACAAAATTCGAGATTGAAGGGAAATTCAAGGCAATTGTAGAATTATTCGGAATTACGTCAGAAGAAGAATTCCATTTGGTCAAAGGAGATGTCAATATTTTGGGTCTGCCAATCTTGAATAAATTCGGAACGAATTCTACGGTTCTAGCAAAATTCATTCCAAAAAAAGAAATATTCAATTCTACAAAACAGAAAAAATGGCGTAGTCCTCAACCATTCTTGAAAAATGAAGAAAGTCCATTCTGGAAAAAGAAAATATTCAAAAACGAAGAAACGCCCAAAAGATGGCATAAAAGAAGCCGATTCGCCAACAATGAAGAAGTGTTAGTCAAAAACACAAACAAAAACGGAAAAACGTTATGGCTGCCTGGGAAATTAGTCAACAAAGTAGGGCAGAAATGGAGAATTGAAGTCCCACGTCTCAAGTGCATTGTAAGCCGGGAGGAATGGCATATTCGCAAAAAGTATTGGTTAGAGAAAAACCAATCAGATTCTGATAATTCTATTGAGGAGCAGAGCTTAAAGCTCAATCAATTATTCAACAAAAATATCAATTCGAAGAAAGAAGAAGAAAATAATTCTAAAAATATTCCAGAAGATGCTATTGATGTGTTAGATGAGCCAAAGTCCGTGGATGAGAAGAATGAAGACGAAGAGATGAGCGGTATTAGCATTGATGCTTAGGGTTTCAGATAATATTTTTTTGTTGTGATAATATTTTGTTTGTTTGTATTTTTTGTATTGCCCCCTTTTGTAATTATTGTATTTTTGCCCCTTTGTATGTATTTTTTGTTTGTTTGGAGACATTATTCGAAAGTATTATTTTATTCAAGAGGAAATTATTCTTATTAAAGGAGGGAGGTGTTGGGTATTGGCTTAGTATAAAAGCCTTCCTATTATTCAGTCGAGGTCTTAGTCTTATTGTCGCAGTGTTATTCTTATTCTATTCTGTCTCCAACGTATTCGGCGCTTAGCCATATTCCTATTGTTCGCCTTATTGTATTTAGTATTGTAGATAAAGCACAGTTGTTAGATACTGTCTTATCTTGTTGTTATTCTTGTTAGTACGTAGACATACAAGTCACGTACATAACACCCTCCCTCTTTCATAACCAAAAATAGATATATATTTTTTAAAAAATTAAAAAATCAAAGCAGTTAAAATACTTAAAAGGGGCATTAAAATACATATTTAGTGGAGGCAGAGGATATGGATGTAGAGAGGAGGAGATGGATGTAGGGGAGGGGGGGGGGAGGAGAGAGGCAGGGTAGGAGGGGGGGGGGATTTAATAAATAAAAATGCGATGGGCGATATTGACAAGTAAGTCATATAAATATAATTGATGAATTGTTTAACTCCATGCCAACATGTTGGGGACGTGATTGCGATTTATACTGGGATTCGGGGCCAAGGTCGGGGTTACATAGGGTGCGTGTCCCTTAGATGCTTGACCCCTCTATATTAGATAAGTTTTAAATTTTTATCAGATAATTTCTCCTGCTTTAAACAGGGGTAGTTAAATTATTTTTGTTCGTGGAGGGAAATTAATTAAGCTTCAAAATTCCAGGGCAGTTGAGGGAGAGTAATTTAGGTATTCTATTTTTTCTTCTTCTAACTAGAGGGGGTAATTATTTGAGTGGAGTGGGAAGATTAATTAATCGACAAAATATAAATTTTTTTAATAAAATGAGTTTAGACCCAACAATATTCAAACTAAAAAATCTTTACTTTAGAAAACTAACGATAATATATCGTATACTGACATTCTTCAATAGAAAATCTTTTAAAAATCCCAAGAAAAAAAATTTTAAAGACAAAAAATTTAGAAAAAGACAGTCAAAAGTTGTGTGTTTTCTCAAATCGCTCTCTCTCATCTCTCTCTCCCTCTCTCATTCATCTCTCTCTCATTTCCCTCCCTCCCTCCTCAGACATTGTTCACAATTTTTTAAAATAAGATCTGAACGTTCTCGTTTTCTTTTATTTCACGAAGCCTAGCATCTACTACTTCCGGATCGTCACTTGTATAACCTTCCGGCTTTCCAGTTCCTTTACAAGTTTCAATACAATTTACAACACCGTCAATACAATCACCACATGTAGTAGTTAAATATCCAATTCTTGTTGAACTTTGGCTTGCTTGTCTCTTTAAAGGAGATTTATTTAGAGGAGAGCCGGGAGAGTTTAGGGACGTGTAGCCATGGGATTCTGGTTCCGATTTTGTTCGATAAAGAGGATGACTTTTAGGGCTTAACATTTGTTGTTTGCCTTCTGCTATACTTGACTGAGTCTTTCTCAGAAATTTTTTCGAAGGTTTGTTCTGCAAAAGAGGTACTTGTACTTTTTCAGGCACTTCAATTTTAAGCCCTGACTGTTGTTTGTCTTTCCCTGGACCTCCTAAATTCAGAAATTTTTTCGAAGAAGGCTTGTTCGGTAAACTTGGTACTTCCTCAGGCGTTTCTTCAAATTAAAAAAATTTTTTTTAATTATTTTCAAAAAACATACTTCCTTTGTTCCTCATACAATCAACAAGATTTAAAACTATGACAACAAAAACTAAAATATTTAAAATAGTTTTTGGAATTGACATAATTTTTTGTTTGGATTTTGAAAATTTTTTAAAGGATTTTTTGGTAGTTTCTCTATAATTAATTAATTTTTTAATTTATTTATCTGAAATTTGCGGACAAGTATTTGCGGACACGCTCTAAGTATCTCTAAGCGGGCACGCTCTAAGCCATGTCAGCTCCTCAAAACCCCTCGATACGCCCGTGAAGTTGAAAGGAATTAAGACACACCTCATTATAGTATACAAATTTCTGTCCCAATGGGGATCTTGTAATGAGGTCCGACTGCTAAGATTGGGCTCAGGTCACTAGCACGCAGTTAGATTTCTCTATTTTTTAAAGGCTAAGAGAGTTGCTGATAAAAATTTCAATCCAATCGGACCTCTAACATCAAGGCTCTAATCCCTAGAGCCATCTACATAAGCTCTAATAAGCCATCTAATTCTAAATCCCAGAAATCTCTCCAACTCCACTAATAACCCTCGATATCATGTCTGGGAGGCTGAAAGAAATTAAGAATTAATTTTGTTTATTAATAAATTATTTGATGAAGCTATAATTATGAAGCTTTTATTATTTATCCGTAAGTGTCTGTCCGCAAATTAATTTTTAATTTTTATTTAATAATTATTTAAGAATTTAAATTTAAAATAAAATAAATAAAATTATATAAAATTCTTTCATTATTTATGCTGGGCTCGAAAAAGAATTTCAAATTCCCGCCCTTCATTTCCAAGGGAGGAAATAGGCGGAGTTTTTCTATTTAAAAAATATTTTTGCAGAAAAAATTTTTTTCCAATTTATGACAAGGGAGAAGGTGAAGGGGGAGAGAGGAGGTAAATTTTTATTTTGGACGCGTTACAATGGACGGAATTGTAGGAGAGAAAGGAGGGAAGGGAGTGCGGGTGGAGGGATGGGAGTGCGGGTGGAGGGAGGGATGGGATGGGGGTGAGAGTGGGCGGAAATTGAAGGGAGTGATGGAGGGATGGATGGAGGGATGGGAGTGAGTGTGAGGGTGGAGGGAGTGGGGGTGGGGGTGAGCAGGTGGAGGGATGGAGTGGGAGTGGAGGGATGGGAGTGCGGGTGGAGGGATGGGAGTGGGGGGTGAGTGTGAGAGTGGGCGGAAATGGAAGGGAGTGATAGAAGGGAGTGATGGAGGGGGATTTTTTAAAATTGATTGGGAGAGGGAAATTGATTTTTAAAATTTTTTTTGTCAATTTTATTTAATGAATTAAATAAATTTAAATAAATTAAAATAAAATTTAAATAAATAAATTTTTTGAAGAAGCTAGTTACTCTAGAACCCCGTTATATACCAGGGATGCATTTTCTTCCGCTTCCGCGTTCCTCTTCGGCATTTTTGGCCTCTTCCGCTGGTTTACCCCCTAATAACGGTCATTATTTTTGAAGAAATTTATCTGGGCCTTCCAACAATTTTATAAGAATCTTGCAATTAACCTTCCACAATTCCAGAAATTTTTGAGGCTGTAACTAGGCTCTAATTACAAATTAAAATGTTAATTAATGTTCTGCACCCGACAAAATTAAAAAAATGTTTTTAAAATTTTTTACTTCAAAAAATAAATTACAACGTTCAATATATCTCTATATACAGGGGCGAATCTCGATATAATGACTCTTCTGTTTAACGAGCCCTTCAATTAAAGACTCTTTCGGAATAAGGAACCCCTTGAGTTAAAAGACCTCTCAATTTAACGAACATTTATCTACAGTCTTTAGATGTCATATAATGCCCTCTCTATTTAAAGGACCCCCGGAAAGAACGGCCCTTTTCTTCGGTCACTTCGAGGTGGTTATATCGAGATTCGACGGTACCTCTTCAAATCTACGGTAATCACATAATAATAAAAATAACTAACGATAATATATCGTATACTGAGTTTTCAATAAAAATCTTTAAAAACCCCAAGAAAAAAAATTTAAAAAAAATTTAAATAAAGACAGATAAAGGTTGTGTGTTTTCTCTCATCTCTCTCTCATTCTCGTTTCAACTATCCCTCCCTCCTCAAAATTTCTTCAAAAAAATTTTTAGGGGATATAATAAACATTCTTTTTTTCTTCAAGTTTCTTCTCTACTTCTCCCTCACTTGTATAACCTTCCGGCTTTCCTTTCCCAACACATGTTTCGTAGCAATTTACAACATCATTCAAGCAATTCCCACATTGAGCAGCTAAATATCCAATTTTTGTTGAACTTTCGCTAGCATGTCGCTTTAAAGGAGATTTGTTTAATGGAGAGTGGGGAGAGTTTAAAGACATGTAGTCGTGAGGTTTTGGTTCCGATTGTGTTCGTAAAAGATGAGGATCACTTTTAGGGCTTGACATTTGTTCTTTGCCTTCTGCTACACTTGACTGAGTTTTTCTCAGAAATTTTTTCGAAGGTTTGTTCTGCAAGAGTGGTACTTGTACTTCTTCAGGCACTTCAACTCTAAGGCCTGAATGATGTTGACTGGCTTTACTTGAACCTCCTACTTTAGGAGATTTTTTCGAAGAAGGCTTGTCGGGTAAAGGTACTTCTTCAGGCACCTCTTCAACTTTAAATAAAATTTTTTTTAATATTTCTAGAAAACAAACTTTCGTCCATGCAATTAACACATTCTAAAACGATGATAACAAAAACTAGAATATTTAAAGTTTTTGGAATTGACATAGTTTTTGATTGGATTTTGAAATGTTTTTTGAAAGATTTTTTAATATCTTCTTCTATAATTAATTAAAAATTTAATTAGGTATTATAGTTGGAATATTTGCGGACAGATATTTGCGAAAAGCTCCTAGCATCTGTTGCCCCAGATAAGCCTCTCTAGGCTCTGAGCCTCTCTATGTCTCTATGCCCCAGATATCCCTCCCAAATAGATATCCCTCTCTCCTAGATATCCCTCCCTCCAGATATCACTGCCTAAAGATATCCCTTCCTCTTGCCCAACATACCCCTCTAAATGTCTCTCTATGCCCCAAAATATCCCTCCAAAATCCCCAATATCCCTTGAAGGATTTGCCCAAACGATACCCCCTATTTAATCTACGCTCATTATAAGAAACATTTCTTCAGTCAGAAAGGCGTAAGGGGGGTCTCCAGCCCTTAAGATTAATAAAAATTTGAATTTAACGGTCCTAAACCTGGACAACTCTACGCCATCTCCGCTCTAAGCCCCAGATGTCCCTCTAAATCCACCTATATCCCCAAGAAATTAATTTTTATTTATGCTTAATTATTAAGCATTTATTTTTATCCGCAAGTTTCTTCCGCAAGTTTTTATCCGCAAATTTATTTTAAATTTTTATAAAAATTATTAAATTTAAATTTAAAAATGAATAAAAAAATGTATAATTTTCTCTATTATTTATGCTGACCTCTAATGAAAAAAATTTTTAAATTCCCGCCCTACATTTTTAAAAAGGTAATAGGCGGAGTTTTTCAATTTAAAAAATATTTTTGCAAAAAAAAATATTTTTAATAAATTTAAACAAAGAAAGAGAGTGAGTGAAGGGGGAGAGGGGAATTTTTATTTTTGAAAAAAATCGAACAAATTGACGGAAGTGGAGAAAAATTTTTACGGAGGTGGAGAAAATTTAAGGAGTGATGGAGGGGGATTTTTTATAAAAAATTTGATTGTGAGAGGGAAAATTGATTTTTAGACGAGATAAAAAATTTTTTAATAGATTTTTTGTCAATTTTATTTAATGCATTAAATTTTAAATAAATTTTTAAAATAAATTTAAATAAAATTTAAATAAATTATAAAAAAATTTTTGAAGTTTTACGTTGAAAAACCACTCAAATTACGTTATAATATTAATCCCCTTTATATTTAACACCTTGGCCTAGTATACAATTTTTGAAAGTTATTTGTCCACCAGATAGGTGAAGCAAGGATATGCCAGTCTCTGAGATGTCCAAGACTAAAAAATTTCAGAAAAATGCTTAAAAAATTTTCAAGAAAATTTTCCAGAACTCAAGAAACGAATCCAAGTCCAAAACTAGACCCCAAGACTCACCGCTTGTTTTTTAAAAACAGTTTGGGCATACCCCTATTAGGGAGGTGCTGTCTAGATTAGACCTCCTCTAATCCATATCCCCTAAATAAGATGTGATTCTTCAGCTCCAAGAGGATATATACTATAATAATCTTTAACATGTCTCTTTACATAACAAGAAAACGAACAAAAAAATAATATATAAATAAAATTTAAAAAAAAAAGAAAAAGTCCGCAAAAATTTTTTGTCCGCAAAAGTTTTATCCGCAAAAATTTTTTTTGTCCGCAAATATTTTTTGTCCGCAAAAATTTTGTCTGCAAAAATTTTTTCAACTTTTTAGTTTACAAGTTTTTGACAATAAAAAAGAACAAAAAAATAATTTTATCAATTTTCTTCAGATGTTTGTTGCCCCAATTTTTTCTCCATTTTATGACGTCTTTTCTTATCATTCAGCTTTTCCTCCTTATAAATTGAAGGCTTGTTAAGGTTAAACATTTGTTTTAAATTTTTTAATAAATTTGTAAGTGTATATTCTGTAAGTGTTTTGCTTTCACTTGGTTGACGTTCAAATTTTTTCCCTCCGAGTGAAGCTAGGCTTGTGTAGGTTGAGGGAGGTCGTTGTTTTGGCTCATCTTTTTTATTTAAAGAATTAAAAAAAAAATTTTTAATTAGGCTCTATTGCAGGTTATGAGTCTTATGAAGGGGTAGGTTGAATCAGTTCGGATAACTTAACCAAGATTTAAAGAGATTAAATTAATAAATGGTTAATGACTCTTATCATGGGACACTTGGAGCTTTTTTTTATCCTAACCTCGTACAACTAAACCAAGGTTTATAAAATTAAATTTATGGAAAGTTCCAGATCCCTTGGGGACCATAGATGATAAAATACGATAATAGAAAATTTAAATTAATTCTAAAAATTAGGAAGGATAGAATACTTGATGGACTCATGACTAGTAGAAGAACCAGACATTAATTATTTTAATTTTATTTTTAAATAGTTAATTTAAGTAATTAAATATTAAACATATAATTAAATGAATAATTAATTTAATTAATTAAATTATCTCCTAAGCTCTCCTCAAAATTAATAAGACCCTTATCCAAAAACTCTTGGGAATTATTTTGAGATTTAATGGGACCTCCTGAGATTTAACAGGACCCCATGGGATTAAATGAGAACGCCTGGGATTTAATGGAACCCCATGGGATTTAATTAGACACCTTGAAGTTCATGGAACTTTTCTCTTAGCAGTAGAGCCAAAAATAAATTTTTAAATTTTATTTTTAAATAATTAATTAATTTAATTTATTTATTAAATTTAAATTACCTCCCAAACTCTTCTCAAAAATAATTACAAATAAAATAAAAATAAATATGGCTAGACGCATCTTGAATATTTATCTTTGATTTTAAATTTTTTAAATAAAAAAATAAATGAAAGGCTATGCGACTAGCTATCCAAATTTAAAAGCAAATTAAAATTTAAAAGCGGCAAAAACAAAGGAGGGAAAGACGCCCCCAAAATATTTATTTTTAAAAATAAGTCAAAAAATTATTTCGAAATTTAATTTAATTAATTAAAAAAATAAATTTTAATATTTTTTTAATTTAATTTTTTATTTCAAATTTTAATAGGAAAAAAATTTTTTAATTAAATTTTTTTAATAAAAAATTAAATTTAAACAAGCCTTAATTTAAATTTTAAAATAAAATTGATTTTAATTTTATTGAATAATTAATTAACTGTCTAGTGATAGGCTAAATGTGATGTGACTACAATTTCTGGCTACAATTTCTGAATTTATGACTATAATTTCTGATTTTAATAAATATAACTTTGATTTTTTCAAGTTATTTTATATAGTTTATCTTGTAATTTTATTCAAACAAATATGGTAATATTCAGTGTCCGGATTTGCTGTAAAATATCTAATAGAATGCCCGGGATTCTATTTTTTAATCACTTTTAAACAGACTAGGAAACGGACACGGATTCTGATATCCGTATCAGGGTATTTACGGCGGATACAGGCGGATATCCGCAAGCATTTTGGTATTATTAGTATCCCAATCCGTATCCATGACCATGTCTGCTTTTTAACTAGGCATTCTAAGAGTGTGGCATCCTAATAAAGATTTTTCGGTATATTGAAATAAGGCACAGAAACACCCTTTGTTTATTAACCTGCCCAAATAATTGGTTAAAAATTAAAAGACTGTGGTCAAAAAGGGTTAAAAAATTGGAAAGGTATTAGTCAGTAATTCAAATAAAAATCCGAACACCTTAAAGAAATATCAATACTGGGCATAAATAAAAATATAATATTTGGCGAAAATATGGCAAATTAAACAATTAAAAAAGGTGCAAAAATATTTTTTAAAAAATATTAGAATTTGGCAAAAATATTTTAAATGGCAGTTTTTGGCAATTTATGGCAAAAAACGATTTTTTTGGGTATTTAATTGGGCAAGTTTCTGGGTTGGTAGGGGAAAGGGGTTTTTTATTTAAAAAACAAAAATAAAATTAAATCACTGGGTATTGTTATTTTGGCCATTATTCTGAAAATTGGTCAATGAACGGTTCAATTTATTCATATTGTTATTTATCCCCGTCTGAAGCTGTACAAGTGTGTAAATACTAAAAAATAGGTATTATTATTATTTTGGCTATTAAAAATCATGATAGAACAGGGCTCCGATCGACAAAATGCCACTCAAAAGTATCAAAATCTTGTAAAAAAAGTACATAGGGAGAAAATTTGCAAATAAAAAGTACACTCAAAATTAAATTTGAAAATATTTATTTGATGCTCAAATCTTTTATATTTCTCTCCTAAATTAATCTTTTCTAATAATTTCTTGTTTCCACTGAGCATTTTGTGCATTTCATTGCATGACATGTCAAAATTCGCTGTCACAAGAAGCAAAGCCCTGACAGTCTTAACCTCAAGCGAGTTTCTTTCTTTCATCTATTGAATGTTTGCCATTGAGAAGCGCCGCAGGCGAAAATTTTTTGAAATTTGGAGCCTAAGAAGTCAGATTTCTTCTTTTTCAGCGCCGCAGGCGAAAATTTTAAGAATTTTGGAGGTCCTTAAGCCAGATTTCTTCCATTTTTTGCGCCGCAGGCGAAAATTTTGAGAATTTTGGAGGTCCTTAAGCCAGATTTCTTCGTTTTTTCAAAAATGTTGATAAAAAAGTACATACTTTCAAAAAAGTACAAATTCAATTTCGGAAGTACGAAGGTCGATAAAAAAGTACAATACTTTTAAAAAAGTACGAATCGGAGCCCTGTGATAGAACATGTATTTTAAGTCCATTCCCCATTTATTCGATAGCTTAAAATGTCAAAGTAACCATAGTAAAGTCGAAGACGCAAGCATCTCACGGGGGACAACGATAACAAGCAGAAACATAGGCCTATTAACTCGCGAATAAATGGGGGGAGTAGTCAGCTTAGTGTATATACAGGACCGAGACGAGATCTCGATCTAATCTCGGTTATCGAGATCGAGATAGAAAATTTGTCGAGATCTCGATTCTCGTACGACACTCACAGTCCGGTCTCTAGCTTATTAACTTTCGAATAAATGGTAGGTTGTTCACCTAAACATCTCAAGTTCTAACAGAATATTTAATCAACCCTTCTTACCTATTCAACGCCATTTCCACCTGTTTTTCAAGCCGACAAACACGCGAATCGAGCTGCCCCAGAATTTGCTCGACGCGTACAAGGCTGCCGGAATTATTTAAATTTAATTGGCCCCCATTCTCTTCATTATTTTTTGAATTTAAAATTGTTTTTCGGAGTCTTTTGAGTTCAATAGCCAAAATTTCTGGTAAATTATTTGAGGATTTTAGATCCGATGAAGCAGAAAAAACGCTGTTGCAAGGGGAGGATTGTTGGGAGGGGGTGTCTGTCTGTGCCGGTTTATTAGGAAATATGTTATTGTTGTTGTTGTTGTTGTTGTTGTCTTGGCCATTTACAAGCTTGTGGGCGGTAGCCTGATGAGAGAGCAAGTCGCGCGCTTAAATTATTAAAAAATAGTGTGGAGGGGAATTTTGTAAAAATAAATATAAAAGTGCAAAATTTAAAAGCAAAACACAAAAATAAAAAGTCGGAATATTTAAAAGGCATTTCCGGAAAAATAAAAATTTATTTTTGGAAAATACAAGTGCAATTTCCGGAAAAATTAATTTTTTAAAAATTAAAAAAATACAAGAAAAAATAAAAAATAATATGCAAAAATAAAAGACAAAATTCTGATAAAAATTCTGAAAAATATTCTGAAAAATATTCTGAAAAAAATAATTTCTGAAAAATACAAAACAGAATTTCTGACGTCAGAAAAATACTTTTTAAAAATTCTGAAAATTTCTCAAAAATCAGAAAAGGTATTTCCGTAAAATAAAATTCTAAAAATAAAAAATTCTGAAAATTACTCCAAAAAAATAATCAGAAAAATAAAAACAGAATTTCTGACGTCAGAAAAACACTTTAAAAATTCTGAAAAAAATTCTGAAAATCCTTAAAAATTAATTTACGTTTCCGAAAGCTCTTGCCACATTGTTTACATTTTGTGGACAAAAATGAATTTGTTGATTTAAAATTAGGCACTATTGTTTCTTCAATTTTAATTTTATTTTGTTGTTGCTGGTTGTTAGAATCAGATACGTGTGTCATTCCATTTATTTGAGATAGAAAACGTAGAAGTTGCTCATTTGGGGGTGGAGTGGCTACAAATAAATTTAAAATCAGAATTTTATTAAAACAAGTTCTATTTTAAAATCAGAATTAAATCTAAACAAGTTTTTAAATCAGAAGTAAATTACAACATCTTTTAAAATCAGAATTTAAATACAACAAGTATTTAAAATCAGAATTCAACTTAAACATGTTTTTATACATAGAATCAGAATTAAATCTAAACAAGTTTTTAAATCAGAATTAAATTATAACATCTTTTAAAATCAGAATTAAATCTAAACAAGTTTAATTTTAAAATCAAATTTAACTTAAACAAGTTTTATTTAATGTATAAATCAGAATTAAACCTAAACAAGTTTTTAAATCAGAATTAAATTGAAACATCTTTTAAAATCAAGATTTCATTAAAACACAAAACAGAATTTTTATCAGAACAAAACAATAAACTAACTAGCTTCATTTCCTCCCCCAAACAATTGTTGAAATAATGCTTTACAGGCTGCAGAAGCTGCATTATTATTAATTGTTGTGTTGTCTTTATTGTTTTGATGAACATTTTGAATGTTATTAAAATTATTGTAATTTTGTTTAAAATTATTTTGAGGCGTTGAAACGTCCAGATTATTTGTTAGCGGCTAAAAAATTTTTGAAAAATTTTTTGAATTTATTTTAAAAATTATTATGCCTCAATTTCCTCTTCCTCTTCATCCTCTTCCATATCTTCATTTTGCTCTTCATTTGTATTATTCTCCAAAAAGGCAGGACAGGAAGAGGAAGAAGCAGCTGCAGCAGCCATTAGAGCAACAACTGACATGACGTTTTGTTCTGAAAATTAATTTAAAAATCAGAATTTATTTTTAAAAATCAGAATTTATTTTTAAAAATCAGAATTTATTTTTAAAAATCAGAATTTATTTTTAAAAAATCAGAATCTCTTTAAAAATCAGAATAAATTTTTAAAGAATCAGAATTTATTTTTAAAAAATCAGAATTAATTTTTCTAAAATCAGAATTTATCTTTAAAAATCAGAATTAATTTCAAATAAAATTTCCAGACCTTCCCCTTTGTTATTTTCATTTTCTGGTGTTAACGGCGAAGAAGCTAAAGCTTGTTGCTCACCATCATTTTCTTCCTCCTTCATTTCAAAAGATTTATTAAATCCCAAAGAATTGAATAAATTATCCGTATTAATTTCATTATTATTGTCATTGTTGTCTAAATTGACTGAACTTTCTGAAAAACAAATTTTGAAAATTTTTTCGAACTTTCCAATTAACCTTTAGAATCCGATTCTTTAGAATTTCGTTGTTTGGCATTATTGGCACTAGCGGAATTATTGAGCACAATCATTGAACGTTCGAGGAATTCAATTGCCTACAAAAAAATTTTTTTCAGAAATTAAAAAAAAATTTCACGATCTAAAAAAGTCGAACCTCCTATAAGACACCCCCATTAGTGGATAAACCTCTATTTAATAAACGTTTTTTAAGATTAGATAGGCATCTAGATGGGTACTGGCGTGTGCCGTTTTCGCCGTTCGACTTGTGCCCTTCAACTAATTTTCGACTTTTTGGTGTTTCGCCTTTCGTATTTCGCTTTTTAATTCAATTAAGGCACATGCCTGGTGGGGGGCCCTCCAAGCAATACCCTTTATTTATTAACCACCTCATCATAAGAAAAAATTTTCGGAGTCAGCTCTAAGAAAAAATTTTCAGCTATAAGGGACAAAATGAGGTCCTACAGACCGGATTTACTCTATTAGAACCAGTGTGGTTTTATTTTCCCCTCAATTTTTGTGTTTATCTTAGAGACTTTGGTTCAAATAGAGATGTGTTTCTATTAAAATAAATCCGGTATTTTACAACAAAAAAAATTTCCACCCACCGCCGGATCCTTCACAGATTTTTTGCCCTTTTTAATAATATAATCATCCGTCCCAATATAATCTCTCTGTTCATTTTTGTGATGTTTCAGAATGTGTTTGGTCAAATTCCCTTTCAACCTCGACGACTTTCCACAGAATTTACAAACAAAAGGCTTAACGGCGGTATGGACAGATCGGTGTTCTGCCAGATTTGAACGGAAACGGAAAGCTTTGTTGCAAATTTCGCAAACAAAGGCTTTGGTTGTTGGGATATTTGGGGAAGAATTTATTGAAGTTATTATATTTAAATTGTTTTCGTATTGAAGATTGAATGAAGATAATGGAGGGGAGGATGAATTTGGAGATGAGGAAGACATTTTTTTGTTTATTAAATCTTGAAAAAAGTGAGAGATTAATAAAGGATGTTGGCTACAGACCCCTCGATCCGCCTGAAGCCTCACTCCATCGAAGGGCTATAACTTTGTTAGGAATTTTTCGAATCCGGGTAGCACTAGTTGGTTTAATGCAGCCCTTTTAGAGGTATCGATCAATACCAAAACGCCACGGATAAGTTAACTTTAACCAAAGTTATAGCCCTGAGACTGAGTGAAGCTCGTGGCTGACTAGAATGCTCCCTACAACTTTAAAAAAATTTTTGGATCAACTAAAACCTTTTTGATTTTCAGTTCGGTTCGAAACCGATAACCCTGATAGTATTTATAAAAAATTTTCCTCTGATTTGGCAATGAAAAGGCCTTTATTTTTAAATTTATTAAAAATCTAAAGGTCAGTTCATCACAAACTACCGTAGTTGGATTGAGAGAAATAAAAAATGAACAATTTCAACGGTCAGTTCATCACTAATTATCGTAGTGAGTTTAAGGGGATTTAAAAATTTAAAAATGTATTTGTTTAAATTTTTTAATTTTGTATAGAGTTTAATCGGGGATAAATCAAGAAATAAATTTTTAAAATAATTTTTAGAGTTGAAAATCTGTAAACAAAAAAAATCCTCGGATTTTTGGACAAACTCTACTTCTCTCACACAGATTTTAAAAATAAAATAAGAACAAAAATTTTGACAGAAGGTGCCTTTTGACTATATTTTTAGGATCTGCCTAGAGGTTATGTGTTTGTTGGCCTATAAAATAAAAAAGCTTTTTTCTTGGCCCTGTGCGAAGAGAGGAAAACTCTAAAACTGACTGACTATAGGCCTCTGTACACATTTAACTGACAAAAAGACAGAAAAAGAAAATACATCAACTGACAGGCTTTGAAGGCAAAAACGATATTAGAAAATATGTTTGTGGGATAAAAGGATTTGTAAAGAAAAAAGGGGACAGTTGGGAATGTGGGGGCGCATATTTTAGAGGTTTATTGATTTGGGTAGTTAAGGATTAAATTTAATTTTGAAAAATACAAAAATATGGAAAAATACAGAAGAAATACAAATCAGAATTAATTTTAAAGAATCAGAATAAATTTTTAGAATCAGAATTTTTAGAAAATCAGAATTAATTTTTAAAAAATCAGAATTAATTTTTAAGAAAATCAGAATTAATTTTAAAGAATCAGAATTTATTTTTAAAAATCAGAATTAATCAGAAATATTTTTTAATCAGAATAAATTTTTTAAATCAGAATTTATTTTTAAGTATCAGAATTAATTTTTTAAAAAATCAGAATTTTAGAATCAGAATTTTTTAAAAACACATAAAAATACAAAATAAACACAAAATCAAAAATACAGAAAAATACAAAAAAATACAAAAAATAAAAAGGATAAAGCAGTTTCTAGGCTAATTTAGCGAAAAATCAATTAAACAATAAAAAATTGTTGTAACTATCGCCAGGAGGCCCAGCACATTAAAGCACATATAAAACTTTGTGACTGTGGGTTTTGGCCATTTTGTGGATTTATTTATTTCCTAAAAACACATTTCTTTTCCTTACCATCTGTTTTTCTAGGCGATCTAATTTTTTGTAAAATTAATGTATTTTAGGAATGATTGTAAAATGGGAAAAACAAAAGGAAAATACATAAATAATTAATGAAAAATACATACAAAAAACAGAATAAAAATAAGAAAATACAGAAGAGATTGTATCCAATCAGAATAAATACATACAAATCAGAATTATTAAATAATCAGAATAAACGGAAAATACAAAGAAAGTACAAACCAGAATTATTAAATAATCAGAAAAACACAAAGAAAATACAAATCAGAATTATTAATTAATCAGAATAAACGGAAAACACAAAGAAAATACAGACCAGAATTATTAATAAACAGAAGAAATACAAAATACAAATCAGAATTTTAATTAATAAAAATCAGAATAAAATAAAAAATACAAGAAAAATACAAATCAGAAATAAAATAAACACTTTTCAGAATAAATAAAATAAATTCCAGTAAATTAATTCTGACTACATAAAAAACATTTTTTTAGATAAAAATAAATTATATAAATATAAATACAAAGACTATAAACTGTTGTTTTGTTGTTCCTTAAAAATTAATTTTCTACACAATCTCCGAAACGATAAATACGTGTAGATATCTTTTTTAAGAATATATCCGGATATATATATATTAGCTAGTAAAAGGGTTAAAAAATAAATAGAAGAAAGGGGAAAATCTGCGAAGAAAATAACCAGGAAAAATATAAAAGGATTTTTATCTCGACCGGCAATATTTTTATTTTTAGTATTAAATAATTTTGGAGAGTCAAGATTTGTAGAAAAAAATTAATTTACAGTCCCGGACACACACAAAGAAAAAAATTGAGGAATGTGGAAAAACGACAAAATGCCAAATGACATAATGTCACAAAACGTCAAAGGACCAAAATGGTAAAAAAAATTTTAAATTAAGGAAAGGGACGTATTTTACTTTTTAAAGCTGAAAAATGTCGAAATGACAAATTTTTTAAATTTCAAGGGTTCAAAATGGTCAAAAAAAATTTTTAAAGTAAAATTGACCGTTTTTATCCTTTAAATCGCCCTTTTAATTTTTTATTTAAATTTATCCCTCAATAAAAAATTTATATTTGCATTTTACAAACAAAGTATAGGAGAGGGCACACAATGAAAAATGTAAAACCGCACAAAAGAAAAATGAAAAAATTTTTTTTTCTAAAGCTTGTCAATGTGCCTGTGGCCAAAGCCTGTGTGATGAATGTTTGTGCCTCTTATTTGCGCCTGTTTGTAGATATATAGTAAATAATACATTACGCACATTTTGTAAAAAGAGGGGGAGGGAGAGGACTGCCGCTGGCACAATTTTTAGTATAGAAAGGGTTGGTAGATAGTCGGCTGGTTGAATTTTTATTGTCCTTCTCATTGAGAATACAATGTAGGAGGAGGTTTTTGTTGTTGGGAAGGATGGGGGGAATTTGCTTAAATGAGGGTGAAATTCTGGAAAGCGGAAAATCTTTGGATTATCCTCTTAGAAAGTGAGGGAAATGAAGGGGAAATTGACCCTTGAAATCGAGGACTGAGAGTTCCGGTTGAAAAAATAATTTAGGGTACAACCTAAAGGTAAGGTCGAAACTCGACTAGAAGGGTCAGAAGAAATCTGCCTCGAGGGTTATTTTAGAGGAAGTAAAAGGAGGAAGGGAAGGAGCAAGATATGAAAATCGCACATGCAGATGGCAAGAGCAGGTCAAACTTCTTGGAAAAGGGTCCAAATTCTCCTAGGATTGACGTCCGAAAAGGATTAAAAGGATTCTTAATTCGAGATTCAACACCAATACTTTATTAAACTAACAAAAAACAGCAAAAATAGTTTTGTTAATTAACAATTTATGACAACCATATAAACATAAATTTTTCCAGCTACCAAACAAATGCACACGCAAATAGATCCCTCATTCCCTTTACTTTCCTACTTCCCCTCCACTCGGCATAAATTTTTGATTGGCCTCAAAAAGCTGTAAGCTTTGGCAATTTGGGGACTGACTGCCTGTCGAGAATGGGATATGGGAGAAATGAGAGAGAAAAGTAAGGCGGATGATGTGAAGGAAAATCGAAATGTGTGGGGATGTTTAGGCGCTGTTTTAAATAATAGGATAGGAAAGGTTTCAGATAATTTTAAGAAAATTTTCAAGTTTGGGTTGACGGTTGACGCTGTTCTGACTCTGAGCTCAATCGACACTCAAACAAGTCACAACTTGTACCTTCGAAGGGTATATATCTCACAGTCGGCAGCCTCTCTATTTAATAGGTCACTGGATGTAGGTAGTCATTGGGTGGGGTCGGCCCAAGCAATACCCTCTATTTAACACACACCTCATTATAAGAGATATAATTACTACCTCATTGGAGACCTTATAAGGAGGCCCGACGTACTATAATTTAAAGGAGGTATTGTCTTTATTAATGAAAAGCGCCTACCGGCTGTCAATTGCCAGCAATAAGGTATTATAGAAACAATTTCAAAACAATAACAATTCTATTTTCACAAAAATTCCAGCGGCGCCGAAAAATCCTTGGACAGTAGAAAATGTAAAAAAAGAGGGGGAAACAGTTGTGGGGGAAACAGTTGGGGGATAGATTGAAAAGACAGTTGAGAAAGAAAAGGCGAAACAGTTGTGCTGCTTCCCCCTTAAAATTATAATACATTTCTAGTAAGTGTACTTAGAGTTTGGGCCAAATAGTGTGCCTGTGAAATTGGAAAAAAATATAGTAAATAGTAGTGATGTTCGAGAGTCAAAAAATCCTGAGAGTCGAGAGTCGAGACCGAGACCGAGAATCAACCCCGAGACCGAGACCAAAACGAGAGTCGAGACCGAGAGTCGAGACCGAGAGATTAAGAGGGATATCACTTGATGTCCCTCCTAATCCCCAAAAATCCCTTGATATACCTCAAAATCCCCATACTCGCTTGAATCCACTTGTCCACAATATATATTCAATGATATTCACATTAATCTCTTAAAATCCCCTCATATCCTTCCATATCCCTACAAATCCAACAATATCTTTTTGATCCATCGATGCACCCATCCCTTGATATTAAATTTTATCCTTCAGAATCCACAGTATCTAATATACCACAAACCACAAAATCTAATCCTTTAATCTTATTAAATTCAAATTTTTGCTGCATTTTTGGCGCCGCAGGCGAAAATTTTTTGAATTTTGGAGCTCAAGAAGCCAAATTTCCTCCATTTTCAGCGCCGCAGGCGAAAATTTTGAGAATTTTGGAGCTCAAGAAGCCAGATTTCTTCCATTTTTCAGCGCCGCAGGCAAAATTTTGGGAATTTTGGAGACTTTTCCTTAAAAATTTTAATATCAAAGTACGCAAGGTCCGAGTAAAGTTCAAAAAATTTCCGTCATTAGGGGGTGTAAATTTAGTCTCGTTTTCCGAGACCAAAACACCGAGACCGAGACCGAGACCGAGAGCTCAAAAAACCCGAGAAATTTCTCGACTCGAGAGTCGAGACCGAGAGTCTCGAACATCACTAGTAAATAGTCGGGAGAAGAAGACTTTGAGGGGGTTCTCCCGACCATCAAACAAAATTGGCCTCTGGCGCTGTCAGTTTCACTGTCTAATGGAAAGTATTTTAGAATGTATGGGGGAATGGTAATAAAATATAGTCAGTAAGCTTTTGTTTTATTTTTATGTGAATTTTTTGTTGGCCAGAATACATAAAACTGTTTTTGAGTGAAGAAAAAATTGGGGAGGAAAGAGGAGAAGATGAATTAAAAATATGCCAGATCTAGTAAAAGGTCCAGGATGGAAAAAATTTTTTTCCAAGGAGCGGAAGGGTAGAGCATTTCCAGAAAAAAAAAAGAAAATTCAAAAATCACGAAATTTTTTGATTTGGCGATGAAAAGGCCTTTATTATTAAATTATTAAAAATCAACGGTCAGTTCATCACAAACTACCGTAGTCCGATTGAGAGAATAAAAGTTGAACAAATTAAAAGGTCAGTTCATCACTAAATATCGTAGTGAGTTTAAGGGAATTCTGGGAATTTAAAAATGTCTCGATAATACGACTCCCCAATGTCTCTACACTTTGATTAATATGTCAGCTCAATTCAGGATCGAGGGGAATTCGATTATGGTTGGTTCGATCAGACTAGGGATCGCCTATATTTTAGCGGTTCATAACGAGAGTCGAGTCTATCTAAATATCTAATAAACTATTTCAAAGTGTTAACTATTTAATTTTAGTCTTAATTCGCTCAAGAGAAAAGGAAAGAGTTGTTTTGTAAATTAAATATAAAAACAAAAATATCAACCAAATCATCTGTCAATAATAATAACTTCGGAACTATCAACCCACAACCTTTTTAATTACCACCCATAATTAATTAGATATTTATTTTATTTTTATCACACAAATATCTCTTTCCTTTCCCTTTCTGTTGTAGTACAAAAAAATTAGTTTTGAGGGGGATGTGGGGGAAATTAAAAGAAAATTAAAGGGGAAAGTAGGGGAAAATTAAATTTATTGTGCGCGTGTATAGAAAAAATAAAAAAAATTTTTTTAGAAAATAAAGGAAATCGAGAATAGTAAAAAAAGAGACGTTATTATAGTAGAGACTGTTTTCACTTTTGTCCAACCATTATTATTTATTGTGTGTTTACCCCAGTCTTGTGTCTGTAATTGAATAGCGTAGTTGAGTCACTATATGGGTTTATTTAAAATTTTATAAGTTTGGAATGGATAAATGGTTTTAAATTGTTTTGGTACCATTCGATAGAGAATTAAATTGTCTATAAAATACAAAAATAAATTCAATTTTAGGTGAATGGGTAAACATTTTATGGCCGAAAACGACGAAAAAACGGCCATTTTTGTCAATTTTTCGACCACAACTTTTTTGCCTAGAAACCCAAATTTTTGAAATTTCCCTCATTTTGTAGCCAATTCAATTCTCTATTTAACAGTGCTTAAAGTAATTTAAAAACTTCACCCGTTCTCGAGTTATAAGGTTCCGACTCAACTGACTACCAACTACCACCCGCTATAACGGCGCCACCCGTTGTAAACAAAACAAAATTTAAAAGAAAGGAGAAAAGTACAAAATTTAATCGTTTTTATTTTATAGTACTTTTAAATTGAGTATTTTATAATTAAAAACAATTTTCACTAATTAAAAAAATTTTTTTTAATTTATTTTAAGGTTGGCGAACATATAAATATATTAAGTATTAATCTCTTTTAATTATTAAAAATTTAATTTAAAATTTCATTTTGGACAGACAATTTTCACGCCAGCCGCTTTTAGACACTCACAAGATTTTTTCAACCTTTTAGGGGGTGTAAATTGCATTTGCTGCTCGCAGTCGTCGAAAGCTTTTTGTTGGCGGTCATCGGGAGGGGCTAATGCACACCTTAAATAATTAATTATAATTCCGGAACGTTTTTCAGGAAAATTATAGAGCTTCCTAAACGACACCCTCTATTTAATAGACACCCAACAGTCATACCCCTCTACAAGACACCACCAAACACTAATACACCTCAAGAGGTACGTTATTAAAATTTGGCTGGCCGCTGAGTCAGATATCATCTAACCGATACCCTTTATTTAATAAACACCTCATTATAAGAGACACCTTCAACCCCAAGCGTGTCCCAATGATCAAGGCCGACATTATAACAGCCTTAACTCACTTCAATTTAAAAGCACAATTCATATTCCCCTCCCGAGTTGCACACAGTTTCGGTGCCGAGTTTGGGGAGGCAGCTTTAACGGCACATTGATCCACACACATTAAGTAGTCACTAAGTTCTGGGGGAGCATGTCCAGCTTCTTGCTTTAAATTTAAAAAAATTTTTCTTTTATTTTCCGAAATTTTTTTACAGTAGCCGGCAACGGAGGCAATGTCCCTCGTTTTTTCCTCAATTCAGGCAAACTCGGAGAACAACCAGAAAACTTCACAGAATTTTCAGAGAGAAGCAACAAGCTTCGTTTCCTCCTCCTGTTATCCATCATTTCCATTTCAGGAATTATTGGAACAGTTAGATTTTTTGGATGTAAATCATTAGTACATCCAATTGGTCCCCCAACTTTCTTCTCTACACATTGTTCCAGCTTTTCCATTTGTTTTTGTTCATCAGCCAGGCATTGACGGATTTTTTGGACATTGCCAATCTTCTTTAAATGTGCCTCACATTTTGGTCTTGTAAATTTTTAAAAATATTTTTTAAATGATTTTCGTGACCCTCGCTAAGATAAATCCTTTTTCCTCTCTTATCTTCACACTTCACCTCACTATAAGACACCCTGATACTTAGATAGGAACACCTCTGCATAGAATATCAGGTTGGCCAGGAAGTTGGGTAGCCCCCAAGTGATACCCTCTATTTAACGTACATCTTCGACAAAGACAGACCTCTTTATGAGAACCGTATTTAAAAAATAAGCCTCACTCCGTTTTACATTTCTCCACCAATTTTTGAATTTCCGCCGCGCATTCATCCAAATCCTTACATCTACATTGTGGAGCACTCATAAATTTTTGTGCTTGTTGTTGAGGGGGATTAAATTGTTGAGATTTGGGCCTAGACGGTGCAAATTGTTTTTGCTGGGATTGAACAACAATGATGAAGAAATATGAAATAATTAAGGGGAGGAAAGAGAGACGTGAGATGAAAATAAGAGACATTATTTAGGGAGAGCCAGAACTATTTTATAAAATCTTGAAAATATTTTAGCTACGATTTAAAAAATTATGCTTGTGAAAAATCCGCAAATTAAAGCCATTTTTAGTCTAATAATATATTTATATAACCATACTCCTATTTTAAAAATTAATGACTGAGAAACTGACGAAACGAAAAACAAAAAAAAATTTTTTAGTTAACTTAGACAACGGCAAAAATTTCCAATTAAGGACAATAAATAATTGTTTTACAAGAAAAACGTTAAAAATTAAATAATAAAATATCCGTAATCTAAAATAGATCCGTTAAAAATCAACGGAAAATCAGGAAAAAATATATATTAAGTAAATAAAAAGATATCCAACACCTTCCTTTCTTTCAAGAACAGAAAGAACAATGATCGTCTACTATCTACTTCCTTCACTTGCGCAAAGAATAAACAAAATAAAATCAACACTAATAATGGCCATAAATTTTTCTTATTTGTTTTGTTCGTCCACAAGGGAATAGAAAGAGGGATAGAGAGAGAAATTTTTTTCATAAAATTAAAAAAAAATTCTGAGATTTCTTTTTCTTTTGTTAATTTTTAATTTACACATGAGAAAAATTATCTGCAAAAAGAAACCCAAAGATTAGAAATTTATCAAAAGAAAGAATTATATAAGAATTTAAGAAAAAAATTTAAGAAAATTTACTTTGAGTAGAATTTTTTAATAAAAGATTTCTTAAATCTAATGTTAATTAAACCTCTTCCTTCATTGTAACAGGCATTTCTTGCATCTTTAATATATTTTTTTTTAATTAAAAATTTTTGCAAACTTTTTTTGAGGACATTCACGTCCTCTCGTTTAATCTTTTGACATATCAAAAATATTTTCAAGATTAAAAGATAGGACGTGTAAGTAAAGTCCGCAAAAATTATCCGTTTACCAACCTTAATAGAGTAATGTTTTTCGATTTCTCCAAGAAGCTTTAAATCCTTCTCCTCTACAAGATTAATTACGACACTTGAAAATCCACAAGCACGGTTCATACGTTGGATGTAAATATCAAGAGAATATGGCAAATCATAATTTATTATTAATACAAATGGTGGTAAGTTTAAGCCATGAAAGTCAATATCAGTTGTGAGCAAAAGACGGCTGAATTTAAAAAAAATTTTATATTATTTTTTATGCGTCGAAAGTCAGCAAGTTTTCAAAAAATGGAAAACTACTTGCTGACAAAAGATTAGATGCGTAATAAAGAAAATTTCGAACCCCTGATCCCCCCGAAATGACGGAAAAGAGGAAAAATTGTGAGGATAATCTACGCTCTTGCACGACATGTTTCTCACCCCGTCCAATCTTTCATGCATACTTTTAAAAATTTTACATCCGAACCTTTCCTTACTACTACTACGAAAATTATTTAAAATTTCAAATTTCTCCTTTCTCTTCAACAAAGAATGCAAACAAAAACAATTCTTTATTTCACCGCCCATTTTTTCTTTTAAAAAATTGAGCTGAAAAAAAAATTATTTTTAAATTTAAAAAATTTTTAAACCGTTGTTATTGTATTACAAAATATTACAGGTGTAACACGCATCATTGTTTCAATAAAATCTCCCAATATTTCATGTTTCGATTCTTTTGGATTTGTATTTATATAAAAATGCACATTTTTTAATTCACTATAATAGAAAGAAGAGTTTTGAAATGTCGTATGAGATGTCAAAGTTTAAAAAACAGGTCCGGTTTCGGATTTTAAATAACCCGAAAATAAGGAATAAATCTAATGTAGCCACGTCTTATTTATGATAAAATATTCCAAACCTTTTAAGCGCAATACGGACTGAATCTATCATCATTTTGTTTGCCATTTCCTCCAAATCTGGTGTCAATTTTGAGCAAACAAAAATAACCTGAACATTTGGTTGAATAACACGATAAATGTCATTAATTTGATGTTTAAGTTGGCTTTTTAGTATTTGATCAGCCTCATCAATAATCAATAATTTAATTGAACGAGTACGCAGGTTACGACGATAAATCATATCTTTAAAAATGAAAATTTGATTTATAAAATAAATAAAATTCCCTAAATTTGAGAATTTTAAAAATAAAAACCCAAAATTCGTCCAGGCGTTCCAGTAACAACATGTTGTCCATAATCAAGTTTGCGCCTATCCTCATGAATATTAGTGCCTCCGACACACGCGTGGCACTGTACATTGAAGTAGTCACCAATAGCCAAAATTGTCTAGAAAAATAATTACTATTAGACAGTAGCATGCCGTAATGCGAAACCAGTCGAATATCAAACCCACAAAAGCTGCCGAAATACCAAATTGTGGATTTTTACCTTTTGCCAGCACTTTTTGTGAGACTCAAATAGGGAGGGGGTATTAATAAGTAACTTGTTTGGCAAGAAAAAGGCAAAGCAGATAAATTTTTCTTATGGGCTCAATAAAAATTTCTTGTTGAAAACCTTCTGAATGTTCACGGCATTGTCACGAGTGTGTGCCAATACAAGGGCTTGAGTTTCGCGAGCATCATATATAATTGACTGAAGTAAACCAATAATAAAACCAGCAGTCTTTCCAGTGCCAGGAGGACTTACAGCAATAACATCACGACCCTTAATATTTTATTAAAAAATTTAAAAGAAAATTTGTAAACAATTATAATTTGTTTAATAACACGTTGCTGAACGGCTGCAGGTTTCTCAAAACCATAAGAATAAATTCCACGAAGAAGTTCACTGAAAGTGAATTGAAAATAAATTTAATTCCAAAGCCGGACCTAATTTATGGATACTCCACAAAATCAAGGAAATGCTCTATTTAAGAAACGTCTTTTAAGTTTGGTTGGCTATTGGGTGACAGTTTAAGAAAAATGCCGGGTCACGTTTTCTTCTTGGGCGGGTTTTGGGTCAAGAAGTCTGGGTTGCGGATAACACGTTACATCCCTGGTGGGACCCTCCATTTAAGATACACCCCATTATAAGAAACAAGTTTCTAGCTCTAAGGGATTGGCCATAAACGAGGTCCAACTCTATACAAAAACAAACGTCTTCAATCCCATCGTTTCAAATGAGCTAAAAATTCCAACATTCTCTCTATTTTCATTTGGCTCATCTTAATTTAAATTATTTTTAAGAAATAAAATAAAATATTAACCCTGATTAGTTGAAATTTGTGACAAATTCCCTTCAATCGAAAGTGAATCATCCTCTTCATTATTTTCATTTAGAGAAGCAGTTTCGTCCAAAACTTGTCGAGAATCATCACATTTCTGATCATTTATTTCTCCAACAGAATCATTGATATCGCCACTATCTTCCCTTTCGGTTGTCTCCTCTTAATTTAATTTGAAACAAATATTGAAAATAACATAGACAGCTCCCCCGGACTCCTCTACCCAATGACCGAGAAAAAAATCTTGGTAAACAATGATATACCCTCCCTGACCCTATGACCCTCCCTGTTCGATCTCTAATATTGGTGATATCTTAAAGAGAGGTTTACCGATGTTAACCTTGCCCTGTTGACTCTTCTGCCAACTCGTCCTCAATCGAAAGCAGTTCCTCCTTTACGTTCTCAGCAGCTTCCTCCAAAACCTCTTCCCCAACTTCATCAGCCTCTTTCCAATTATTTATTGCTGCAGCAAGCGATTGAGCCAATTTACGTTCAGTCGAATTAACTGGTGTTTTGTTGTTTGAATCAGGAAATACTTGGGATAATAGTCCAATAATATTGTTTGGGTTGATCTCCATCTGTTAAAATATTTTTTAAAAATTCTAAAAATCAATAAGAAAACAAGAAAAAATGAAAAAATTTTTTTGGTGACATTTTGTCCCACTGGACATTTCGTCCATTGGATTTTTTTTTTTTTTTTTTTTTTCCATCCATCCATTTTTGACATCCATTGATTTTTTCCAGCGGACATTTCGTCCGCTGGACGAAATGTCACCACAAAAAATAAATTTATGGCGTTCTGTTATTTTTTTATTGATTGAATTTTTAAGAATTTTTCTGTCTTATTTTATCATTTTTTGTTTGAAATTTTTATTTTTCAGGCCAACTTTGAAAATAAACTTAACTTTTAATTAAATACCCGGCAATTTATTTTATGCCGGAAAAGCAACGTCGTCTACTTAAATTCGCAGAATATTTAGCTTTTTGTAGTAAAGAGGTTTTGATTTTTCTGAAATTAATTTAAAAGAAATTTAAGTCAGCAGATTACGGCAAGTGTGTGTCTTTAAAAGCTGAAAAAGTTGGAAAAGGTGATTGCCAGGCTGAATTTGAAAAACTTTTAATTTGTTTTAAGAAGAATGTAAGGTTTATTTTTTATAATTATTGGCAGGGTAATTTCTAGAGATTTAAGATATTTTCGGACAAGTTTTGCAAATTTTAAAAATTACTAGAGATCGGAATTTTTGAAAAGCCTGTGCCTGTTTTTGGTTCCGTGTTTGATTTATTGACCTGGGCCGGATCCTGGGTTTTTTTCTGTACCAGGAAAACAGAAAAAAGAAAAGTCAGGAAAAGGAAAACCCCAGGAAGGTCAAAAACATGTCTGGGCCTGAACTCTGGGTTTAGGAAGAACCCAGGCCTTGGTCCAGACTCAGGCCGATCTCTAAAAATTACCTGGAATTTTTTAGAAAATCCGCAAAATTTTTGCGGATTTTTTTTATATTTAATTGTTCTCCATTTTTTTCAGAAAGCCAAAGCCTTGAATAAATAAATGAAAGTAAAACGCCTCAAAAGAGCTTCCCGTGTCCTCACATTTTTTCGCTACAAATTTGGCTATATCCCTCCCTATTCAATTTTATTGGATGGAACATTTTGTCAGGAAGCTTTAAAATGTAAAATTAATTTGAGAGAACAATTACCTAAATATTTGAGAGACGAAAATTTGGAAATGTTTGTGACGGAGTGTGTGTTGAATGAATTGGGTATTATTTTTGTTTTTTAATTTTAAAAGTCTAAATTAAATTAATTTTTTAAATATTTTTGAAACATTTTTCGGTTAAGTAAGTGGAAAAAATTTTTTGGGAATACCCTTTGAGTTCAAAAATTTTTTATTAATAAAAGCGGTAAAATTTAATTTCGTTCCCCCTCTTTTTTCCTTCCTCAAAGTATTAAAAAATGGTAGGTCAGTCTTAATTTATAGAACTCATCGAGCGGTGCCGAATGACACCAAAATCAACGTGATTAGACATGGTTTGACAAAGTTATGACATGAAGTAGACCTTAAGACTGACTGACCATTTTTTAATACTTTGAGGAAGGAAAAAGGAGGGGGGAACGAAATTGAATTTTACCATAAAAGAAATTTTAATTGTTCGTTGTCCGCAAAATATTTGTCCGCAAATTAAAAATTAAATTTATAAATTTTTTAGAACAACTCGGAAAGCCTCTATACGGCGCCCTTTGTATTGCCCAACAATTCAAAGTAGCCAAATGCCCCCATCGCCCACTTCGTTCAGCTGCTGATTGTATAGCTCATTTGGCTAGACGTTCACAAAATTCGGAAAAGAAAAAATTAATTCATTATTTTGTTGCAACACAAGATGCAGAATTGCTACAAAAATTGAGAATATTGGGAGGGATTCCGTTAATGTCAATTCGTTATAATGCTATTCTGTTGGAAAAGGTTTTTTATTTTTTTTTGATTTTTAAAGGGGGTAAAAATATTCCCAATGACCTTAAATTATTAAAAAAAAGTTAGTAACTTTTTTATCCGCAAGTCCAATTTTTATTTTATTTTCTCAAGAAAAATTTTATTTTTTTTTATTTTGGGAAGGGATTTAAAATTTTAGGCCACCAGGAAAAATTTTCGAGAAAATTAAAAAAAACAAGATTTGCGGACAAAAGTTGCGGACTTTTTGGAAAATTACAAAAAGGAACTTTATTTTTAAAATTAAAAATAAATTTTTAAAAAATTTTTGAATTTCTAAAAAATTTTTAAAAAATTAAGAAAAGTTTTTTAGCCGTCAGAAGAAACCGAAAAAATAGCAATTGAAACAACAACAAAAAATCAGCCTGATGAAATTCAAAAAATTAAGCAATTAAGGAAAATAGAGTTGGGAGAAGGTGAAGAACCAAAACATCGAAAAAGAAAAGCTAAGGGACCAAATCCACTTTCTTGTAAAAAGAAGAAAAAAATTAAAAAAAGAAATTTGGATGGAAGTGTTCCTGGAGCGTTTGGAAAGAGAAAAAAAGAGGGAGAAGAAAAAATTGGTGCTAATAATAATACGTAAAATCAGAATTTTTTGTTATAAAAATAAACTTGAAATAAATCAAAGTTGAAACAATGAAAAATAAACCTAAAATCAGAATCTAATGGGGATAAGTTTCAGGATCAGAATTTATTTTTTTTCAGAATTATTAAAGACAAACTTAAAATCAGAATTTTATAAATAAAACTTAGAATCAGAATTAAATAAATTTCAGAATCAGAATTTTAATAAATAAACCTTAAATCAGAATTTATCAATAAATTTCGGACCAGAATTAATATTTTTCAGAATTATTTAAAAATAAACTTGAAATTAGAATTTAAATAAAATAAATTTCAGAATCAGAATTTATTTATATTTCCTCTCCTCTTTATAGTTTAGGTCTAGGCCTTTTAGTAACATAAACAAATCTGAAAATTTTTTTTTATTTTTTAAAATTTCTGATATTTCCCCCAACCTTCTTGTAGCTATTGTAGTTGTATCACTTTCTTCATCATTTTCTTCTTCCTCATTATTCTCTTCTGTTTGTTGTTTTGTTGTAGTAAATATTCCATCCAAATTCATTTCAACATTATCAAATTTTATTTTTTGAAATTTTTTATTTTTTAATAATAAAGTCTCTTTATTTTCTTTAATGCCTTCACCCTCTGTTCCGTCATTCTCATAATTAGGATAGGCGACGTCTTCATATTCTGAATTTTCTGAAATTTTATTTGTTTTATTAAGGTTTTAATTAATTTTCAGAATTTCAGAATTATTAAATAAAACTTGAATAAACTAAAAATAAACTTAAAATCAGAATTAATGAATTTCAGAATTTTAAATAAACATGGTTAGATAGATGGAAAATCTTAAAATCAGAATTTTCAGAATCAGAATTGATAAATAAAAATTGTTAAATAGAAAAAATAAACTTGAATCAGAATTAATAAATTTCAGAATTATTATCAAATAAATTCAGAATAAACTTGAAAACTTTAAATCAGAATTTAAAAAGAACTTGTTGTTAACTTGAAATATCAGAATTAATTTTAAAATCAGAATTATCAAATAAAACTTGAATAAAATAAAAATAAACTTATTGTTAGAATCAGAATTAATTATTTAATTACGAAATCAGAATTTTAAATAAACATGGCTAGATAAAAAGAATAAACTTAAAATCAGAATTTCTAGAATCAGAATTATTAAACAAGACCTGAAACAGAAAAAAATCAACTTGAAACCAGAATTAAAAAAATAAATTTCGAAATCAGAATTTAAAAAATCAGAATTTTAAATTTCAGAATTAATTTTAAAATTCAGAATTATTTTTTAACTTATTTTTGTTTCTTCCCCGTTAGTTGTTGTCGGTTTAGCTCCCGATTGCAAATGAGAAATTTTTAGATTAATTTTTGAATTTTCGGTTGTTGAATTTTTAATTTCTTCTGATTTTTCCTTGATTGCTTTGAATTTATTTAAATTAAAAATTTTTTTTTAATTCTTTACCTTCCTTTTTTGTTACTTCTTCCTTCTCAATAACCCCATTATGGGGTAATTCTGAATCTTTATTGAAGGAAGCTGTTATTGTTGTTGTTGAAGTTGAAATTTTTGGTGGAGGGGAAGGATTATTTAATGACAATTGTGACCGGATCTTTTATTTTTAAACAAATTTTTTTCAGAATTTTTCAAAAATTGTTCAGAATTACCCCTCCGCTCCCAAGTTTGTTTAACTCTGAAGGACATGGACAAAAACGAGCATCGGCGCCATCCTCTCCCGGAGGACCCTTTAAGAAAATTTGTTAAATAAATCAGGAGAGAGGGAAACCTTCTCCCCACGAATCCCAGGCTTCCCTTCTAGTCCATCCAACCCCTGTTTGCCATGCCTTCCGTCCATTCCAGGCATCCCAACTACAAAATTGCGCCGGCCTGTTTCTCCTTGTTTTCCGGTTGTACCGGGTGGACCTGTTTTAGAATATTTTTTGGAAAATCCTGAGGAGCCCTGTCGAGTCTTTTACCTTTAACTCCAGGCGGACCTGGCGGCCCTGTACCCCCTGGCGCGGGCGCTCCAGGCTGCCCTCTCTTTCCAGGCTTTCCAGCTATTCCAGGCAGTCCAGGCATTCCCTCAGGTCCTTGTTCACCGTCAATTCCGTCAGTGCCTATCTCCCCAGTCTCTCCCTTCTCCCCTTTTAGTCCAGGCAGTCCTTGCTTTAATTATTTATTTTTAAGAGATTTATTTTTATTTTACCTGTCCAGGCGCACCCATCGGTCCAACGGGGCCCTGAGGGCCTAAAAAATTTGAAATTGTTCTTAATTCACCTCACAAAAACCCACAAATGACACATTTCTGTGCTTCTTGTAACAAAAGGGTTATGGCATCCAATCCAGCCGTTCCATCCTCCCCTGCAGTCCCAGCCTCCCCATCTTCCCCAAACCCCCCAGGTAACCCAGGTGGCCCAACTCTTGGTGGTGGGCATTCTTGTAGCTGTCGTTTGGAACGTTCATGTTGGAAATCGGTTAAAGAATTTCCAGTTAATCGTCTCAAACGTTGAAATTGTTCGTCAAATTGGCGAGTGTTGTGCTGGGAAAATTTTTTGAATTTCAAAAATTTTTTTCTCTTACATGAAACTTCCTCAACCGACTTTCAAAATCATTCCTCAAATTAACAGTATAACGATATAGCCATGGAAGTAGCAGTAGTTGAGCCAGTACACATATAGAAGAAACACTTATAGTAGCTGCTCCTATTATTTTATAGAGCATTTATTTTTTTTGGAATTTTTGGGTAAAAAATAGTCGTAAAAATAATTAAATGACCTTGATTAACTATTGATAGAGATATTTTTGTGTAAAAGAAAAAAATATTTTTATATGGGTCAGCGTAGTAATTGTAAAAAAAATTGACCTGATTTTAATTTAATTTGTTAAGGAAAATTTTAAAAATAATTTAAAAATTGTAATTTAATACGTTTATAATCTAAACTTGGAAAAAAAATATTTTAAAAATATATGCAAATTAAATATAATTATAGATTATTAACCTCTTTCACGGTTAATTGATTTTTTCGATTAATTAGTCTCACTTGAATAATTGCCCCTCCTCTCGAGTATTAACATATTAGGCTTGAGATTGAAAAAATAATTACCCATACAAATAATTTAATTTTTAACTAATAGTTGTTCTTAAAATTATTTTTTAGCTAGCACTTTCATGTTTAATTAATTGCCCACATCAAAACTTCCATTAAAATTTTAAAATTAAAATTTGAAAAATTTTCTCAATTATGGCCAATTATTTTCTTATCAGTCCTCTATACTTTCATTAAAATATTTTTAGTATTTTCTTATCAGATGCTTATTTAATTTTTCGATAATTACCTATAAATATGAGTAAGTATAGACAACGCCCTTACTCATTGAAATGATGCAACAACTTTTTAAATTAATTTTATAAAATAAAAATATTAATTTTTAAATATAAATGGTTAAAAATTGTAGTTATATTTATTTTTTAAATTAAAAAAAATTTTAAAATTTTAGAAATATTTTTAAAAATTAATTTGAAAATTATGGGCAATTTATTTTTGTATATTTCCCTTCTATTTTCTATTTTAAATTATTCTACAGGGTAAAATAAATTTTAAAAAATTTAAATTAATTTTAAATAATTTAAATTAATTTTTTTAAATTTATTTTCTATTCAAGTTTACAACAAAAAAAATTTTCCGAACGTCCAAATAATTCTGGAAATATATGGGCAGTTTTGGTTGCGGGGTCTTCTGGGTGGTGGAATTATAGACATCAGATAAATAAATTTTTAATTAATTTTAAAAATCCTTTAACTAAGAAAATAAAAATTTTTGTTTTAAGCTGATGTGTGCCATGCGTGGCATACTCTTATTAATCATGGGGTTAATCCGGAAAATATTATCACTATGATGTATGACGATATTGCAAATAATGTTGAGTAAGTTTAATTTATATATAAGAGAAAAAATATCTTCCGGAAAAGCTTCCGGAAGATACAAAAGAAAAAAATACAAACAAAATTCCGGATAAATATACTGTGTATCTTGTATTTTCCGGAAAATACAAGATAAATAAAATATAATAATTCTTTACGGAAAATACATATATATTCAGGAAAATACACTAAAATATTATTCCTTCCGGAAAATACAATGATAAAATATTTTAATAATTTTTTCCGGAAAATACAATAGAAATGAAATAATTATTCCGGAAAACACAATACTAATATAAAACACTCTCCGAATTCCTTCCGGAAAATATAAAATACAATACGTAGTAAAATAGAATAAAATATTCCGGAAAAGATGTATATGTATATAAAAAAAGTAATGCAGTAACCAATACAATTTAATACTAGAATGTATTATTTCCGGAAAATGTAAAATATGTACGATTACTAGTTTTTAAATTAATTTTAAAGAAATCCACACAAAGGCAAAATCTTCAATAGTCCTGAAGGACATGATGTGTATGAAGGTGTTCGTATCGACTACAAAAGTATAGATGTGACCCCAGAAAATTTTATAGCAGTTCTGCTGGGAGATAAGGAAAAAACTGGTGGAAAACGAGTGCTAGAAAGGTATCGGAATATCTTAAAATTCTGAAAAAAATTCTGGTGAAATCTCTTTAAAAATTCTGATTTTTAAGCACAAAAAACGACAAAGTTTTTATATACTTCACTGATCACGGTGCTACTGGATTAATTGGATTTCCAGGGGATATTGTTGGTTTTTTCAATTTCTTAAAGTAAAACGTCTCTTTAGCTATCAGTTAAAAATTTTTCTGATACACTACTTTCAATGCACAAGAAAAAGAAATATGGAGAGTTAACCTTCTATTTGGAGGCGTGTGAATCTGGCTCTATGTTTGATGAGCATATGCCGGAGAGTCTGAAAAGTAAATATTTCTCAGATACAGTCAGACCTCTCTAATACTAGATGCCCCTAAATACCTAATCCCCCTAAATGCCCCCCCCCTCGACTATGCTTTTAAATCCTGATACTCTGAAAAAAATTCCTAAGATTCTGAAAATTGGTGAGGTCGAGCTGTTCAATATACCACCAATATACTCCTCTCAGTATGGGATAATTTTTTCCGGTTTATAGCCGTGCCCGGCTTTATTTTTCTAACAAAGTCCGGCTTTATATGTACTTTCAAATAAAAAATTTAATAATTCCAAGTTTACGCAATGACCGCAGCCAATGGGCACGAGTCAAGTTGGGGTTGTTATTGCGACACAAAAATTCTCCCAGGCAATTGTTTGGGTGATTTGTTCTCGGTCAATTGGATGGATGATTCCGACAAAGTTTTTTTGAGATTTCTATGAGAACTAAAAAGTTTTTTCTAAAGGAAAATTTACTGCAAGAAACATTAGCTAGACAATTCAGAATAGTGAGGCGGAAAACAGACAAAAGTCATGTTCAAAGCTTTGGAAGTTTGAATATTAAACACGAACATGTGTCTGAGTTTATGGGATCGAAGGAACCCAAAAAGACGAAAAAAAATGTAAAAATAATTTTTAAATTAATTTTGGATTTTCTAGTTGTTGAGTAAATCCAAGCCTAAAGACTACCCAATGTATCCCTCGAGGTATTTAATTAATAGAATTAAATTGTAATGTTATTAAAATGAATTTTAAGGGATATTCCCCTATTTTTGCTGGCAAAAAAAGTAAAGGGTAATGGAGACAATATTATGGCCACAAATGCTTTACAAACACTACAAAAGGTGTTGTTACATTTTACAATTAATTTTATTAATTGTAAAAATTGTAACAAGTTTATTTATCTTATAAATAAATTTTCTTTTACAATTTGTAAAAAGTTGGAAACTTAAATATTACAATTTGTAGAAATTTTACAATTTTTAATAAATCAATTTTACAACCTTTTACAAATTGTGAAAAAGTTTATTTTTAAGATATACATTTTTTACAATTTGTAAAATTAATACAGGAAAATTTTACAAATTGTAAAAAGTTGTATAAATTAAACTTTTTTATAGAAACGTCGTTATTTGGAAAAACAAATAACCCAAATTGTAGAAAAGTTAGTTAGAAATCCTGTAGAGCAATTACATGCAATAACTATATATCCACAAAGTATTACTGATAAAGAATGTCATCATAATGTAGTGCATGCTTTTAATAAATTTTGTTTTAATTTTTCTGAGGTAATTTTCCCCTTGGAATTTTTAAAATAAATTAAATTTTTAAAGAATTCTTATGCAATGAAATATGCTTTTGTTTTAACAAATTTGTGTGAAAGGGGAATTGAAGCGAGTCAAATTGAAGCAGTTATGAAGGAACAGTGTGCTGAGGCTGGGACTAAAACTATTAGAGGAATTGTTTAAAGAAATATAATTAAATTAAACTTACATTTAAACATAAATTAAATTTACATTTGATTATGAAATAATTTACAATTATTAATAAATTAATTTTAAATAAAGTTGAAATTGCAATCCCTAATAAATAAATAAATAAATAATACATTTGAAAATGAACTTGAAATTACAATTCACTATATACAAGTTTAAACATAATATTAATAGAGGGCTTGTTAATAAAACTGTCTCTCTGATAAAGTTTATTTTAGGCATATTTGAAAGGCCACAAAATTTTCTATAATAAGCAGTCCTTAATGGGTTTATATAGATTTCGCCGAAATTTTATTAAAATTAATTTTTTAATTTAAAATTTATTCACTTAAAATATATTATTTTAAAAATTAATAAATTTAAAAAATTTAAAAAATTAATAGATTAATAATTTAATAAATTAATAAATTTTTTTCAATAATTATGCAAATGAAATAAATAAAAATTATTAAAATAAAAAATTAAAAATTATTTTTTAAGCAAATAAATGAATAAAAATAAAATTTATGTATTTTTTTAAATTTTCAAATTAGTACCCACATGTATTAATCTAATTTTAATTTTTTAAATTTGAAAAAATTTTTAAATAAAAATAAATTAAAAATTATTTTTAAGCAAATAAATAAATAAAAACAGAAAATTAATAAATAAAAATTAATTTTTTAATTTTTAAATTAGCATCCCCATGTTCATATTCATTCAATTTTAAAATTAAAGATGCAAAAATATACCTCATTTGTGGCCGATTATTAAATAAATAAATATTAAAATAAATTATTTTTCATTTATAAGCACCTCCATGTATTTGAATTATTTAATTCTAATTCTGAATTATTTAATTAAAAATTGTATTTAAAAATAAAAAAATTTTTAGAAATATTTTTAAAAATTAATTTGATAATTATGGTCAATTTATTTTTGTATATTCCCCTTCTATTCTCCATTTTAAATTATTCTACAGGGTAAAATAAATTTTAAAAAATTTTTTAATTATTTTTCTATTCAAGTTTACAACAGAAAAAATTTTCTGAACGTCCAATAATTTCTGAACGTCCAAAATCTGGAAATATATGGGCAGTTTTGGTTGCTGGGTCTTCTGGATGGAAGAATTATAGACATCAGATAAATAAATTTTTAATTAATTAAACATTTTTTTAATTAATTAAAAAATTTTTGTTTTAAGCTGATGTGTGCCATGCATGGCATACTCTTATTAATCATGGGGTTAATCCGGAAAATATTATTACTATGATGTATGACGATATTGCAAACAATACACAGTAAGTTTAATCTATATACCTATAAGGGTATAAAAATATAAAATACAATTATTCTTCCGGAAAAATACAAAAGAAAATACAAACAAAATTCCGGATAGGTATTCTGTGATTGAGAATAAAACAAAATATTTTTTTCCGGAAAATACAAAATATAATAATTCGCTACGGAAAATACATTAAAAATAAAATACATACATATATCATTCCCTCCGGAAAATACAATAAAAAAATAAAATACAATTATTCTCCGGAAAAATACAAAAGAAAAAATACAAACAAAATTCCGGATAAGTTATTATTCTTTCCGGAAAATACAATAAAAATAAAATAAATCCTTCCGGAAAATACAATAAAAAAATAAAATACAAAATACATCATTCTTTCCTGAAAATATTATAAAATACATTACTTCAGGAAAATAAAATAAAAAATATTCCGGAAAATATTTATCTAAAATTAATTTACCCAATACACTTTAATACCAAAAAGTATTATTTCCGGAAAATACAAAAATTAAATACACACGTATTTTAGCAACTTTTAAATATTTTTAGTAATAAAAAAGTTTTGAATATTTTAAATTAATTTTAAAGGAATCCATACAAGGGCAAAATTTTTAATAGTCCTGAAGGACGTGATGTGTATGGAGGGGTTCGAATTGACTACAAAGGGTTAGATGTAACTCCAGAAAATTTTATGGCAGTTCTGCTAGGAGATAAAGAAAAAACTGGAGGCAAACGAGTGCTGGAAAGGTATAGGAAGATCTTAAAATTCTGAAAAATTCTGATTTTTAAGCACAAAAAACGACAAAGTTTTTATTTTTTTCTCTGATCACGGTGCTACTGGATTCATTAATTTTCCCGCTGATATTGTTTGTTTTTTATTTTTTTAAAGTAAAACTTCTCTTTAGCTGACAGTAAAAACTCTTTCTGAAACACTACTTTTAATGCACGAGACAAAGAAATATGGGGAATTAACCTTCTATTTGGAGGCGTGTGAAGCTGGCTCTATGTTTGATAATCATATGCTGGAAAGTCTGAAAAGTATAAGAAAATTTGTGATATACCGTATTTACTCGATTAATGTCCCTGGGGAATTATTTTTTCAACACACCCGTGGCATGGGGAATTATTCAAGGGAGGGGAATCATTCGAGTTTTGAAATTTGAACGTGTATTAGGGCATGTGGGTGAGGGGAATAATTTTTTCAACTCATCCGTGGCATGGGGAATTATTCAAGGGAGAGGAATTAATCGAGTAAATACGGTAGTCGGACTCTATAGGATAGATACTCCAAAATTAGATAACCCTCAGCTATTAATTTTATAAGTAAATTCTGATAAATTTGGAAAATATCTAAAAATCGGTGAAGGGGTTTGACGGAGCCTTAGAGGTGTATTTATTTATATCTCCGTCTATATATTTTAAATAAAAATTTAAAGTTTATGCAATGACCGCATCTAATGCGAACGAATCAAGTTGGAGTTGTTATTGCGCAACAGAAATTCTCCCAGGCGCTTGTTTGGGTGATTTTTTCTCAGTCAATTGGATGGATGATTCCGACAAAGTTTTTTGATATTTTAATAAGAAAATATTTTTTTCTAAAGGAAAATTTACTGCAAGAAACATTAGCTGAACAATTCGAGATAGTGAGGAATAAAACAGATAGAAGTCATGTTTTAAGCATTGGAAGTTTGAATATTACATATGAACATGTCTCTGAGTTTATGGGATCGAAGGAATCCAATGAAATGGGAGAAAATGTAAAAATAAATAAATAAATATTTTTTAAATTAATTTTTAATTTTTTAGATGATTAGTAAATCCAACCCTAAGGATTACCCCATGTATCCGCAGACGTATTTAATTAAAATTTAATTTTAATTTATTAAATTTTATTTTTAAGGGATATTCCCCTATTTTTGCTGTCTCAAAAATTGAAAGGTAATGTGAACGGTGATATCATGGCTTTAAATGCTTTACAAACCTTAGAAAAGGTGTTGTTATATTTTACAATTATTTTTACTAAGTTTAAAAATTGTAACAAGTTTATTTATTTTAAATATTAACTTTTACAATTTGTAAAAGTTTTACAATTATACAATAAATCAATTTTACAACCTTTTACAAATTGTAAAAAATTTTATCTATAAAATAAATAAACTTGTTACAATTTGTAATAATTTATTGAAAAAATAAACTTTTTTTACTATTTGTAAAATTAATTCAAAATAAACTACAAATTGTAAAAAGTTGGAAAATTAAACTTTATTACAATTTTGAAAAATTTTACAATTAATAAATAAATCAATTTCCAACCTTTTACAAATTGTAAAAAAGTTTATTTTTAAGTTGCACATTTTTTTACAATTTGTAAAATTAATTTAATAAATAAACTTTTTATTACAAATTGTAAAAAGTTGTAATAATTCAACTTTTTTTTATAGAAACGTCGTTATTTGGAAAAACAAATAACTCAAATTGTGGAAAAATTAGTTAGAAATCCTGAAGATCAATTACAGATAATGAATATATATCCACAAAGTATTACTGATAAAGAATGTCATCATCGTGTAGTGCATGCTTTTAATAATTTATGTTTTAATTTTTCTGAGGTAATTTTCCCCTTGGAATTAAAAAAATTTTCAAAGAATTCTTATGCAACGAAATATGCTTATGTTTTGGCAAATTTGTGTGAAAGGGGAATTAAGGCATGTCACATTGAAGCCGTTATGAAGGAACACTGTGCTAAGGCTGGGGCTAAAACTATTAAAGGAATTATTTAAAGAAATAAATATTTTTAAATTAAATTAAATGGGATATTTTATGGGTTATTTTAAATATACAACTATGGATATTACAATTATGGGATATTTTTCAATTTTCAATAAAAAAAAAGAAAATAAACTTGAATTTACAATATTACATTTAATTACAATTTGTAATACACTATTTCGCCTTTTTGTGCTTTTTAACTTTTATTTTTCAAATTTTTGCAAAATAACAAATCAAATAAAAATATTATTTTAAAATATGTTGAACACATTTGGGCCAATTTTTGGCCTTTTCTGAAGAAAATTTTTTGTGCTTTACCACATGTGGGGTTAAAAAGGTGTAGGCGTATATTTATATTGCTTCAATTTCAAGTTTATTATTTATTACAAATTGCGAAACAAGTTTATTTTAATTTGTAAAGTTTATTTATCTAAATTGTAAATTTTACAATTTGTTTATTAAAAAATAAACTTTAAAAAACTTTTTTACAATTTGTAAAATGTCTATTAAAAAAATAAACTTTTTTTACAATTTGTAAAAAGTTGAAAGAAAATAAACTTTTTTTCTACAAAAAATAAACTTTTTTTACAAACTTTTCTACAATTTGTAAATTAAACTTATTCTACAAACTTGTTTAATCAAAACTTAAATGGCAAGTTTTAAGATTACAATTTTATTAATTATTATTTAACAGGCGTCTTATGGCCGTGAGGATATTGACGAGATTTTGGCTGAGATTGATGGCTCCTTAATTGAGGGCTTTTTAATAAAACTGTCTCTCTAATTATTTACAATTTTCTAGAATACGAGCGCTTCTTTGATCGTTTCGATAAGCACAATCATGGGTATATTATGGCTACACAAATAGGCCAAATTATGAGGGCTATGGATCAGGAATTTGATGAACGCACCTTACGACGGTGTTTTTTAATTGAAATATTTAAATTTAAAAATTTTTTCAAATTTTCTCCCAGTCTAATCCGCAAATTCGATGCTGATGGCTCTGGCAAAATTGAATTTGACGAGTTTTGTGCACTCGTCTATACGGTATCATTTATCTACCCTCATTATTTTACAATTTTACAATTTGTAAAAAAGGTTGCAAATAGTGTAGACAAGGAGACGCTTAGACGGGAACTTCGAGAGGCTTTTCGACTCTTTGATAAGGAAGTGAGAGACTGAAATTTTAATAAAATATTTTTAAAATTAAAGGGGAATGGGTATATATCTACTATAACTCTTAAAGAGTTGCTTCAAGAAATAGCCCCGGATCTTAGCTCTGAAGAATTGGCTAGTGCTGTAAACGATATAGACCAGGACGGCTCGGGGAAGATTGAATTTGAAGGTAACTAAAATAAACAATCGGAAACCTCTATGTAAGATACACTCTCGATTATCTCCTCTATTATCCCCTCATTTTGCCTCTGTTTAGGATAAACCCCAATAATAGATACATATCAGGGGTGTGCCGAAGCGGATTTTAAAAGCGAAACGCGAAATGCGAAAGTCCAAAAAACGCGAAAATCCGCGAAAGGCGAAACGCGAAACACGAAACTGGCACACTTCTGGTACACATTAATTAGGGATACACTAAAATTTGGTTGCTCCTTGAGTGGGGAAGCTTCCTAAGCTTTGCCCTCTATTTAACAGACATCTCATTAGTAGATCCATTTTATAGACCCATGGGTGTGTGTCTTATATGTAATATGTCCGAGTTTTGGAAATTTTTAAAATTATTTTCAATCATTTCCTAGAGTTTTGGGAGCTAATGGCTGGCGAAGAAGAATAGAGTTAAAATGAATTAATTAAAATAAATCTAGGTTTACAATATAATGATTTTTAATTATTCGAAATTTAACGAATATTTCAAAAGTTGAAGGATAAAAATATAAAAATTAAATTTATTTATTTTTCCTTATTTTAAAAATCTGGGTCAAACACTAAATACAGGATTATCCCTTTCTTTTTTAGTCGTCGATTAGCTATAATATTTTGTAAGCTCCTCTTGTTGAATTTACTTTACTATTCATTTTTGTAAATCTACTTCTAATAGTTGAAGTACAGAGATTTGATCAGAAAGTGTAACAAGAGGGGGGTTGGCCCCGACTCCGATTCCCTGATATGTTATTCCACGACATCTCCGTTCCCCTAAAAAGTCACTCTTATGAGTGGGAACTTAGCATGAATGCGAGTGATTGCTCAAGCTGCTCGGAAGCAAGTTTCCTAGGTGGTAGCTTCACGTGCCTCACTTTTAAAAATTTCAAGGGTTGGTCCCCGGCTCCGATTCCTTGACATGTTATTCTACGATATCTCCGTTCCCCGAAAAAGTCTCCCTGATGAGTTGGGACTTAATCTGGACGAGAGTGATTCTTTAAGCTGCTCCGAAGCATGTTTCAACTAGGTAGGAGCTCTCTCTCTATTCTCTCTAGGAGCTCTCGTGCCTTGCTTATAAAAATTTTATAGTTCGAAAATACAATTAATTTATCAATTCTACAAAAATAATTCTTTATTGATTCATTAAATCTAAATAATCTCCCAATCAACTAATCTCCCAATTTTTCTATTTTGCGCTAATCAGTTAGTTAAACAACAACCAATTTTGTTTCTAAACTTGTAGAGCTTCCAATTTTATTTTTAATAGTTGATCGTCAAATCCCCCTTATATTTCTTTCTTTTCAATGTAAAAAAGCAACCAGCTGCTTTCCAAAAATCCATTCTTTCATTCCTTTTACGAACATTAATCAACAGGACGAGATTTGCGCTAATCCTCCCCTATTTTTAAATATATCCGCGTATTTTGTAATATTTCAATAATTAGAGTTATTTGCTGTTTTTAGTTTAAAATTAAATATTTATAAAATTAAATCTAGATTTGTAGGACCCTTAAAAGGCCAACTAACCCAGTAATCCTCTCATAAAGTCTGCAGCTTCCTTCTGAACCCTTGATCATAAAAAAGCTTTGAAGGCATAATATAAAGGAATATTAGGAAGAGATGTCTAATAATCGTAGGAATCTCCTAAAAACTCCTTCAACTTTGTCCAGACCCTTAGACTAGCTTCAACTCTTAGGGACATAATTGGGCTTTTAGGAAAGAATCTACTTAGTAGTAAATTGGAAGTAGAATCCATATGAAAGTCTAATGTCTAAGTCAAATCCATATCCAATCCAATCCACAATCCACTTGGAAGTAGACCATCTTGGGAAGTAGACCAATCCTTAAATTAATTTCCAGCCCTTAAAGCCTGGCTGCCAGAATTTAAGGCTGAATGAAGGTTTTAAATCCCAAGAGAAGTTTAGGACTGGAGGCCTCCCACTGAAGGTAGACCATCCTGGGAAGTAGACCAACCCTTAGATTAATTTCGAAATCTTAAAGACTTGTTGCCAGAATATATTAGGGCTGCTAATAAATGAAGGTTTTGAATCCCAGGAGGACTGTGGGCCTATATCTAGGGATTCAGCTTTATTTATGTGTCATGAATTAAACCAGAGAAGATAATTTGAAAGTCCTACATATTTAATTTTTAAGTCTTACAATTACTCATTATTATTAGTGACAGCCGTTAAAAAAATTTAAAGGCCCCCCAAAAAAAGGTGTATATTTGATTGATTAAATTAAAAATATCTGAGATGATTAATTCACATTTTATAAAAAATGAAAAGTGCATTAAAAAAACCGCGCATAGAAGCACCATTAAGTAATATCCACACCTCTCTGTGGGAGGTATAAGAAAAAATTAAAAGGCCTGCTTTTCCCCTTTATTTTTAATATTATTTATATTTATTTCTACCAGTTCCGCTCACAATTGCACAACTTCTAGTTGTGTTAAAATAAAAATAATATTTTAATAAATCAAACAACAATCGATTCTTTTATACCGTATTTACTCAAAAATACCCTGGGTAATTATTTTTTCAATCCTTCGGTGGAAGGGTAACTATTAGAGAGGGAGTGATTCGTTGAGGGGATTTTAGAAGGAGTAATTACCGTATGACCACTATTAATTGCCTACCTAGAATTATTACCCCCACTTCGATTGATGCGATTGATAGATCACCGATCTCCGATTGATAGAATGATCACCCTTCTCCGACCCCTCCATTGATAGTAGCTTGAACAAGAATTACCCCCATCAAGTTCCCTACAACTACGGTTGAGCGGGATCGGGATCCCGAGCGGTATCAGGACCGCAATCGGGATCTTATCCCAAAATCCCGATCCCGCTCAACCCTACCTACAATACACTTTCAAACCTCAAAGAATTGCCCTTCCTCGATTAAGTACTTCCTATAGCAGGAACTCTAGGCAATAATTACCAAGGGTAGGTATCCAAGGTAGGTATCTCTTGCTAGAGGGAGTAATTATTGAAGGGGGTAATTGTTCGAGTAAATACGGTATTTTATTTTGAAATAATTTTTCTAAACTTAATTTTGAATAGGTCGATGATTGAGAGAACCAAACCTTTAAAGGATGAAATTAACAAATTAAATAATTTTTATTTATTAACAAAATTGACAACTAAAAATAATAATAATAGCCTATTTATTAACCAAACGGGTGGATTTAATAAATACTTGGTACTTGAAAAAATTGAAAGGAGACATGAAAGGAGAAGAAATTTTGTAAAAAGAGGACTATGGCCTTCAAATATTTTTACAAAAATTTTTTTTATTTTGCAATTATTTTTTGTTTTGTTTATTAATTCGGAAGCACAACAGAATAAGAGTAAATTAAAAAATTTAAAAAAATATTTCTCCTTAAGAAAAAAATTTTTTTCAAGTTCAAGTGCAAGGTATAGCAGAACCTACAACTCTATTGCAACAACAGACAACTTCCCCCCAAAACCCAGGCATAGTATATTTTTAAATTGTTTTTAATTTTACAATTGTAAAATATTTTTTTGATTTTGTAATTTTAAAATTAATTTAAAAATAAAATTTACAATTGTAGGTATTATAAGCCGTGTATCCCGCTCTGGCCTAAACTTACTCGCAGGTAGGTAATTTTACCATTTAAATTAGTAAATCTAATCTTAACCGGTACTTTTTGGATTTGTCACCCCCCTATTTTGAGTCTCAGAGTTTTCCTTAAACATAAAAAATGGTCAGAGATTATTTTCTTCCCCATGTCAATCATTTTTCTTTTTTCAAGCAAAATAAGTGAAATGTGGTAAATTTAGAAAGAAAATGAGTGAAATGTAAGTACAAAATATGCGAAAAGGCAAAATAAACAAGTAAAATACTTGAAGAAGAAAAAAATGGTTGACACGGAAAAGTTAATAATCTCTGACCATTTTTACGTTTAAGGAAAACTCTGAGACTCAAAATAGGAAGGGGGTGACATATCCATAAAGTACCTCATAACCTTTCCGGAAGCTTTTAAAATTTTCATTTTCCTGAATGTACCCTTTCCGGAATTGTAATTTAGAAACACTAGCAACTTTCCGGAAACCTTGACACTTTTTACAATTTTCCGGAATTGTAGGATAGTAAAACTAGGAAGTTTCCTGAAACTTTCGACCTTCATAAACCTTTCCGGAATTGTAAAATAGTAACACTTGAAACTTTCCGGAAAGCTTAAAACCTTATTAAAACTCTCCGAAATTGTAATTTTATACATTTACAATTGGTATTTATAACAGAATTAAAATAATATATAATTATTACAATTGTAATTAATAATTGTAATAAAAGTTTTATTATTTTTTAATAATTGTAAAAAGTTTATTATAATTGTAAAACTATTGTAATTTTATTCAAGTTTATTTTTCTTAATTGTAATTTTATTTTTACAACTTTTATTAACATTTACAATTGTAATTCAAGTTTAATTAATTATTTTTTTCTTAAAGATTATTTACGTTTGCGTGTCCTTCGCTTTACCCGTTCTAATGCTCTTCAATACAATTTTTCTGTGCCCTTGCCTAGCCATAATGTTCCTTTAATTAATTTAACTAAATTAATTTTTTAAACATTTTTGAGGTTGAAATTTCAATAAATTCTTTGGATATAGTTAATTTTGATACAAATGCCTTCCAATCCCGATTAGGCGTTTCTTCTACAAAGGAACTTGTTTGGATTGTAAATTAATTTGTCTTAGAAATTAAAAAATAAAATTTAAAAGGGAAGTGAATTCCGAGCAGCTATTAACACCCAAATCCAACTTAAAATGCTTATTGAACGGAGAGAGCTCTTCGCAACGCAACAAGTCCCTCTTAGACTGGAAAAAGTTAGAATAGAATTGGTATTGGGGCCGGGGGTGAATGCTGATGGGCATTTGAGAACAGGCAAGTTTATTTTACAAAAAGAAAGATTGTAAATTGGAATTGTAATTTGAATTTGTATTTCATGTTTTAAAATTCCGGAATTGTAATTTAATAAAACGGGATTTTACGGAAACTTTAAACCTTCCGGAATTCTGATTTTTCTTTTTATTTTTATTTTTTTTTGAAATTCAGATTTTTTCCCTGATTTTTTTCTCTGATTTTTCTGAAATTCTGGTTTTCTGACAAATTCTGATTTTCTGATAAATTCTGATTTCTGGTTTTTCTTCTGATTTTCTGACAAATTCTGATTTCTTCCGAAATTCTGATTTTCCCAGATTTCTGATTTTTCTTCTGATTTTTCTTCTGATTTTTCTGATTTTCTGGTAAATGCTGATTTTTCTGATTTTAATTTTTTTTTCTAATTTTTTTATTTCTGATTTTCGACAAATTCTGATTTTTCTTAAAATTAGAATTCAGAATTTACAACCCTTTCCTGAATTGTAATTCCAAACTTTTTACAATTTGTAAATATTCTTAACAGATATTCTCCAGTGTAGAATTGTTTCCGGAGAACTCCTTTTTGAGAATTTATTTCGAGATGCTGCAAATTTGAGTTCATATGTGCCTCTAGTGCATCAAGTGACTTTGACGAAGCTGTCCGAGGCAAATGGCAAAAATACAAATTTAAAAAATTAAAAAAAATTTTTAAAAATTAATTTAATATAAAAATATTATTTTTAAATTTTAAAATATTAAAAATAAAATTTAGATGATTTGCCCTGTTTTTGTGGCTGAATTGGGCCCTGTTGTTGCTAACAGATTGTTAGTAAAATTAAAATTGTAAAATATTTGTTACTATTATTTTTAAGGCTAAATTCTCCTCTAAGTACAGCACTATTCGATCACTACTTTCTCAACTTTGGACTTACAAGTAATTATTTTTTACAGACTTTAATTACAATTTTTAATGAGGTATTACAATTGTAATTGTAATTATTTTGCTTACAACCTTTTTAATTACAGTAATTACAATTATAATTAAATTTTACAATTGTAATTATTTTTAGAATTGTAATTGTGTAATACTTAACTTAAACCTTTTCCAACCTTAATTACAATTTTAATTAAACTTTTTACAATTGTAATTATATTATTTTCTTTTAAAACTTATTGCAACTTGATTACAATTATTAATTATTACAATTGTAATTCGTCAAGTTCCATAAAACTTTTTTTTAACTTTAATTTAATCGATGTTTTACAATTGTAATAAATAATTAAACTTAGACTTTTAAAACTTTTTTTACAATTTTAATTAAACTTTTTACAATTGTAATAATTTATTCTTCTCTAAAACTTTTTTGCAACTTTAATTACATTTTTACCCATAATTAGAGTTTTTACAATTGTAATAATCTAATTTTCTTTTAACTTTTTCATGTGGAATTGTCTACCAACCTGATTCCCCCAACACCAACACAACACTCCCTCCAGATTCCAACAACGATCTAAACAATTCCTCTATTATTCTTTTCCACCGCGGAAACGTTTTTGGAATTCTTCGGCAAGGCAAAAACCGAATAAATGATTTTCGACTTCCCTTTACTGCTCCCCAACTATCCCCTGCTCAGATTAATGGAGGAGGGACTGTTGGAGGGAAGAAAGGGGTTACTCCAATTAAAAATAAAATGATGGCTTCGTTTCAATTGTCAAATTATACGTTTGCCAGTCTTTTCTTTTGGATGGACCAATACAGGAAATTTGACTACGAGATAAGCCAGTCAACAATTAAAGACCCTGAAGTTGCTGGTTATTTAAGGACGGAATGTGGAGCTAAGGAAATATGTGCGGGAACACTATTTCCAGGTTCTCAAAGAGAATTTATTTAAAAAAATTAATTTTTCTAGCCCTCTCCCAAAATTTCCCAAATGGCGTTGTTGCAATTAAAACCAGAACTATTAATTTTCCTTCTGTTTTGTTTGAACGTGGAAAGGCTGTTGTACTCGTCGAAAGCAAAATTGATGCTTTTGTAAATGTAAATAAATTAATAATAAAACTTTTTACAATTTGTAGAAAAATAATTAAAGTTTTACAATTTGTAAAAAAAAATAAACTTTTTACAATTTGTAAAAACAACTAATCCAAGTTTTACAATTTGTAATTTAATAATAATTCAAGTTTTAACATTTTTAAAAATAAATAAAACTTTTTACAAATTGTAATAATTCAAGTTTTAAATAATTCAAGTTTTAATCATCCAAGTTTTAAATAATAATCCGTTTTACAATTGTAATTTCTATTTTACAAATTGTAATTTTTCTTAAAGCACTCTTCCCAACAACAAAACCGACGGTTTCTAAGTGCAAATATGTATGCCAAACTTAATCTTCAAAACTCAACATTTTTGGACTATTTATTTCGTGCCGAACTAGCAATTGACACATTTGAAATTTCTAATGTTGTTAGCATGGGTGAGGGAAGATAATTTATCAAAATTAATTAAAAAATTAGTTGATGGTATCGATGCTGGTTCAATCGAATTCCTTGTTAATGCACTCAACGAGCTGATTATCGCAGAGGATATGAAACGCAAACTTCAAGACGGTAAAGACATTTGTAAATATTAGCAAAATAAATAAATTACAATTGTAAATGGGGTAATTAAAGTTTAATTAATACTAATTACAATCCAAGTTTATTTATTTTACAATTTGTAAACGTTTACAAATTCGTTTATTTTTTACAATCCAAGTTTATTTAAATATAAATTCAAGTTTATTTATTTCTAAACTTTTACAATCCAAGTTTATTTATAATTCAAGTTTGTTTACAATTTGTAAACGTTTACAAATTAAAGTTTATTTTATTTACAAATAGGCTAGTTAATTGTAAACTTCTACAACTTAAGTTTAATTATATATACAAATCCAAGTTTATTTATTTTACAATTTGTAAAACTTTTACAAATCCAAGTTTATTAATTTTACAAATTCAAGTTTATTTTAAAACTTCATTTTCCCAGGAATTAAAATGCCCGTACTTCTCGACTTTGAACAGATTGGACCAGGCTTAATACGCTTTGAGGATGGAGTGTTATTGTTAGGAGCAGATTTTTGTTTTGAGGAGAATTGTATAAAACAAGAAAAAAGTTTGTTAATGTTAGCAGAAAGCCAACAAAGTTTAGACATGGACGCAAATTATTATGATATTAGTACTTGAATTGCTATTAAAAAATAAATATTTAAATTAATTTATTTAATTTCTCCATCATCATCAACTACAAGATGGTCAATAGTTGAGGATGTATTATTTAATAATAATTGTTCTGTTATTTCCAAATCGTCATCGTTTCCATTGTTAAATCCTTGCCGACTTCCCCCTAATGCCAAATTTTTAAAATGTTGAGAATTTCGAAATTCGGCGTAAAGAGAGAATAAAACATGGAGAGAATCTAGACGGTTTTTGTGTACTGGGATGTCTATTAGAGACAAGCAAATGTCTGCATAATCTTCTAGGGCAGCATCAAGATTGTCGTTGAGTAGCAACTTAAGTTAAATTGTAAATTTTATTTTTTACAAATTGTAAAAAGTTGTGTAGTACTGACAAGTTTTAAGTTTATATTACTATGAATTAATTATTACAAATTGTAAAAGGTTAATTTTTATAAATTGTAAAAAGTTTATTTATTTATTACAATTTGTAAAAAAAGTTTATTTATATTTTACAAATTGTAAAAAGTTTTAAAGTTTTAATAAGCTCCAAGTTTATTTAAATACCCACCTTCATTCCCTTTAAATTTTGTTCAACACTCTGTGGCCATTCTTGCATTAGCGATTCTATTATTACAAATTGTAAAAAGTTTATTTATTTTTAAAGTTTTCCCTACCTATAGAAGGCATAGGTTTTCCATAGTGTACCCTATCTGGAGGTTTTGTACGTCTCAATTCCTTCACTGATTGAATCCAGCGGTCCTAAAAAATTACTTTTTTTGAATTTTAACATTTTTCTCCCACAATTTGTTTTGCATTTTTGTCAGCTCTAGACAGCTTCTTAACCGGAGCATCAACAGAAGCCCCGCTTTTCCCTGATAATTGATGTAGCCTTAAATCAACAATTGCTGGGTCTGATTGAATAGCTGCTGGCTCGTCCAATACGGTCAATCCAAGTTGTAAATCCTCGTTTGGATGGACAGCCATTAATCCAGTCCATAACCAGTCTGCCCCCATTGCTTGAATCTCGTCTTGACGTGGTACTTTTATGAAGGGATCGACGTCCCCAACAGCGGGAACGTAGTCGATTTGGAAGGGTTTGAGTGTCTAAATTAATTAAACTTATTTTACAATAGTGCGTTAAGTTTTAATTGTATTGTAAAAGACCTTATTTAGTATTACAAATTGTAAAAAAAGTTTATTTAATTTCACAATTGTAAGAAAAGTTCATTTACATACTATTACAATTTGTAAAGGATTGGATTGAGTTATAATTACAAATTGTAGAAAAGGTTTATTTATTATTACAATTTGTAAAAAAGGTATGTTTGTTACTGCAAATTGTAATAAGCTTATTTTTTACAAATTGTAAAAAAAGTTTATTTAGTTTGACAATTGTAGGGAAAGTTTATTTATTTTTTACAATTTGTAAAAAAGGTTTATTTAAAATTACAAATTGTAAAAATGTAAAGTTACCGGCTCAATATCTATCCTTTCAGCAATGTATGCCTCTGTTAAACTAAATAATGCTTTTAATTCTGCATTAGGTGGATGGCGTTGTTGCTGTATATTTCTAACATTACTAGTGGGTGTGGTTATGGCCGGCTGGAAATACATAAGGGATTAGAAATTAATTTAGTAAATGGAAGACTTCTCTTTTTTGTTGTTCTCTAGGGGATGTTTGTGGCAGAGGTGGGTCGGAACAGCCCGAGGTGTCGGAAATCGGAACTGTCGGAAATCGGAAATGACTCAAAAGTCGGAACTCGGAAATCGGAAATCAAAATTTTTTTTCGGAAATCGGAAATCGGAAATCGGAAGGAAAAAAACGCCGGAAATCGGAAATCGGAAGGCGGAAATCGGAAATAAAATTTTTATTTTCATAACTGAAATTTATTTAAAATTGTAAGGTGGTAAATTATGGGCCTTCTTAAGTGTAATTTGAGGGTGTAAAAGTTCTTTTTGCAACTCAAAAGTCAAATTCGAAGGGATTAAAAGAGATATTGTGGGATTTGGTAGATTAGACGGGATATCAGAGAATTTATAGAATTAATAGGGATATTTGGAGTTTAAAATTGAGGACTGATAGAGCCTATGACCCCTCGTAATCACACGATATAACTCAAAGTCCACATTAATCTAACCTAATCCTCCGATATACTATTCAACTTCCATTTACAGCGCCGCAGGCAAAATTTTTGGGATTTTTTGGAGCCTTAAGTTAGATTTCTTCGAATTTTTGCGCCGCAGGCGAAAATTTTGAGAATTTTGGAAAAATCTCTAGTCGGAAATATGCTTCAAAAATTCTCGGAAATCGGAAATTTTTCCAAAATTTCGGAAATCGGAAATCGGAAATCGGAAGGAAAAAAACGTCGGAAATCGGAAATCGGAAGTCGGAAATCGGAATTCCGACCCACCTCTGGTTTGTGGATATTCTGGTTGGGGAATAGAAGGAATTCTGTTGGACGAAGAAACCAAACTAGCGACTGTTCTAGCCCCTTCAATCAACACTGGACGTGGAGAGGCCGATGCTGAATCTGACTGGTAACGAGGTGAAGATGTGGACATTGTTGCTTAATTTTGAGGGGGTTTTAAGTGAGGATAATCTTTCAGAACCTCCACGTGAAGCAATCACGGCAGCCGCCACTCCACCAGCCATTGAAACACTGTTTCCCAGAGCCTCACGAAAATTTGAAGAGGAGCTGTTAACGAGTGTTGGAGGTGGGGGTTTAGATCCGTCCTCAACTGTTAAACTGGGGGAGGGTACTGTATAAGCTCCGCTACTCTCGTCATCATGGTCTTCCTCGGGTTCTTCATGATCTTCATCATGTTCAGTACCTTCGTCGCTTTCTTAAAAAATTTTTATAAATTTAAATTTTGTCCGCAAAATTTTTTGCGGATTTTTTTTCTCACCTTCATTTTCTCTTTCACTCACTGGAACTGTTGCCAAGTTAGTATTTAACCGATTGCCAACAAATAAACGACCACCAACGCGTGGAGGTGAAGAAGTATAAGGTGGTGGATCTGCTGAGTAATCTATTGGATAGCCTCCAACTAGAAATTGAATTTATTTAGAAAATTGTTTTTATGACCATCTTAGCTCGGATCTCACCAAGGACACCCTTTTATTACTGAAAAATTTTTGACCTTATAATGGGGTGTCAATTAAATATAAGGTATCTCCTTCACAGTTCCTTCACCCAGTGGCCTACCACAATTTCAGAATACCGATGTACCTAAGGAGGGTATATCTTAAATAAAGAGTAGTCTCAACTGCAGAAGTCACCTGGAGATGAACGATTAGAAATTGTTGGAGACCTCTGAACGTCCCCAACATGTTGTTGCCTATCTTCTTCAATTATGCTGTTACTACAACTCTCATCATTTAAAATCTGGGAAGAGTTAAACTGACGATTCTGCAATGATTCTGGGAAAAGGTTACGAGCATGTGTGGGTATTGGGGGTGATTGAGGCGGTAGTTGTTGTTGATGTTGCGGATTTTCTAGCATTAAAAATTTTTTTTTAATTTTTTGGGGTTTAATCTGATTGATTCTTCGACTTAAGATTATTTTTATTTATTTTCCAGCTTTTTATTCAAGTTTCTTTTATTATTGTTGCCTAGGTAACGATAATATACCCTTTTTTGGGAATTACCCTTATGCTACGCTTACATAAAAATCGCGCGCGACACGCGACAGAAAAGATAATGGAAAAAGAGGAGAGAAAAGTCGCCGGCGATTTTGTCGCTTTTTTTGCGTGCTTACATAAAAAGCGACTTCCGCCGGCGACTTGTCGCGCGCGACTTTGTCGCTTTTTTGAGTGCTTACATAAACCGCGACTTCCGCCGGCGACATGTCGCGCGCGATTTTGTCGCTTTTTCGTGTGCTTACATAAAATGCGATTTCCGCCGGCGACATGTCGCCGGCGACACTTTTTTTGATTCAAACATGTTTGAATTTTTTGCGACACTTTTTTGCGACATGCTATTTCTCGATCAATTCTGATCCGATTTTCAAAATTTAAAAAGATTCTGAAAGTTCAGTTTATTCTCTATCGATCAATATAAATTTTATATTTTTAAAGTTAAATCTTATGGGTCAAAATTGATTTTGAAAAAGGTATACTTTTTGAAAAAAATATTCTTTTTTTTCGATATTTTTGAGATTTTCAGTATGCTATCGAGTATTTTTATCATAACTTTTTATCAATCGGTCAAAAATTCTGAATTTTTTATATGTTGTAAAGCTTTTGATTCTCTATCAAATGATACCAAAAACACGAAAAAGTGACCATTTCTTGATGAGCAGGGCTCGTCCCATAAAGTTATGGGCAAAAAATTTTGGGGAAAATCAAGGCATTTAAGGGATTAAGAGAGAGAGAATCCCTATCAAGATAACTAGATGAGTGAAGTCAGTAAACATAACCACTCAACCATCGACCAATTAAAGAAAATAGTGGAAATTATAAATATTCCTTTTCCTTCAAAAATTTAATATCAAAGTACGGTTTCCTGGTGACTGGGTCCGGGAAACCGTGAAAACCCGTTCAAAAAAACGGGAAAAGGGACCCGGAAACAGGTCCGGACCCGTTCCTAACTCTAATATCAATGGAAAAATCGAAAAAAAACCCACAATATAAAAGCCACAATAAAATAGTGGCAACGAACTGTCCTATACATTACAGTACTCTGACTTTCACCAACGTGAAAAATAGAGATAAATAAATAAAGAAAATATAGAAGAAAAAGATAGAAAAATCTAATAATTTTGTGCTTACATAAAAATCGCGCGCGATTTGCGACGTCGCTAGGCGACATGTCGCCTAGCGACGTCGCTGCTTTGTGCTTACATAAAAATAGCGTTTTGTCGCTTTGCGACAGTCGCTTTTGCGGAAATCGCCGATTTTATGTAAGCACACAACTAGCGATTGTCGCCGGCGACATGTCGCCTAGCGACTGTCGCGTGTCGCGCGCGATTTTTATGTAAGCGTAGCATTAAAAAGCCTTCCGAAAATAGCAGCATTAAATAATAACAAATGCCACTATTAAACAATCCACAAATCTCAACATAACATCTTTTAGAAGCAAAATGTATTTTTTAGTTAAGACGGGGGATGGCATTGACCATGTATATGACCAGTTTTTTCAGAACCTATCACCCTGAATCTTGTCCAGGATTTTCTAGGTTTTCAGGTCAAAACGAGTCATATACCCTAAAGCCCAGTTTGGTCCTTAAAATATTTCAAAATTCACCTAACGGTTCGTTCTCCTCCTCCTCCTCCTCAACATCCTTCTTCTCCCCTCCTCCAACTTCCTCTTCATCCTCTATAGCCAATTGCCTAGCTATTTGTCTTTCCTGTTCCTCAAAATCCCTCAGGCTTGCCCTCTCCTCTTCTTCCACCTCTTCATCAATTCTCTTCCCATAAGCATCAACAAGCATTCTAGGCTTCTGATTTTCATCTTCAGATATATCACTTATTGGAGTGCCCAACACTCGAACTGCGGGATCGGACGAAGCAGCACTCAGAGACGATTGTAATGACCAAGGGCGGGACTTCAAAAAAATAGAAACTCTCTTTCAAAAAATAAAAGAAAATCTACTTGTTCAGCCAACTCTTGTTGACCTTCACCAAAATGGGGTGAAGAGCTTTGTTGTTGTTGTTGATTATTAGTATCTACAACGACTAAAGATTCTTCTTCTTGACTTTCATTAATATTCATTATTTTTTTTATTTTTTTAATTCTAAGAGCGAATTACAATTGGAGAACGGACTGGACTTGGAGTAGATAATAAAAGGATATAAGAAGAAATTTTTTTCAATTTTAGAGAACTCAAAGAAAACCTAAGTAGACCTATCGGCTTCCCCAATTTATACTTTATTATTTTATTCTTTTTTTAATGTTGTCATGGGAATTGTTTTTCCTTTAAAATTATTAAACAAAGAAACGAACTAACAAAGAAATAGAGAAATTTTTTAAAAAAAATATTTATTTTGAAAATAATTATGCACAGATTACAATTAGATAATTAGAATGTGATGATATGTTTTTAAACAAAATTTAGAAAAGGCTAGAGAAAGATATAAAAGAAGAGAGAAAATTGTAAAAATTCAAGTTTAATTTAAAAAAATAACAGGAATTGTAAAACAAGTTTAATTAGACTTAAACACAGTAAACGTAAAATAAAGATATTAAAGGGAATTGTAAAATTGTAAAACAAGTTTTAAATGATTAATACCAACTTTATAGAAAAAAAGTTGGAATTGTAAAAAACAAGTTTATTTTAATATAAACTTTACTTAATTGTAAAATTGTAAAAACAAGTTTTAAAATTATTAACAGGTTGTAAAAAAAGTTGAAATTAAGGTAGCAACCCAACCCTTCAGGGGAGGGTGTGTCGGGGATCGGGGTTTGTCAGGGAAGGCATGTCGGGGTTCTAGGTTTTCAGGGTCGGGTTGCTACTAGAGTTTCACCGGAAGTTCCGGTTCCGGTTCCGGTTCCGGAAAGTTCCGGTGTTTTTTTGGTTCCGGTTCCGGTTCCGGGAACCGGAACTCAAATTGGTTCCGGTTCCGGTTCCGGCTCCGGTTTACAAATCGGTTCCGGGCAAACCGGAACTTTTTTACACCCCTAAGGATTAGTTTTTTAAGAAATATGGATTGGCTTTCCCTGATTGGCCTTCCAAAATTCTCAAAATTTTCGCCTGCGGCGCAAGAAAACGAAGAAATCTAGCTACTTGGTCACACAAATTCTCAAAATTTTCGCCTGCGGCGCTTAAAAAGGAAGAAATTTGTATCCTTAGTTCACCTAAAATCCCAAAATTTTCGCCTGCGGCGATATGAAGGGAAGTTGTATGGTAAATCGAAGACTTTGGATGGATGAAGGTGGATTTTGAGTTACATTATGTGAGTTCAAGGGGTTATAGGTAATAAATATAGAGGGATTTGGGTGTGATGTCCAGGGAATGAGCTGTGCAAGTTAGATATCAGGGATTGAATAGCTAGGGATTTGGTCTTCCAAAACTTGGATTTTTTTTCGTTTCGATAACAGAAGAATTTGGCAGAATTTAATCGAAAAATTTGGCGAAACCGCACCTCTACTTAAAATAAAAATTTTTTAAAATGAGCTAGCAAAAATTTTTTTAAAAGTTCCGGTTCCGGTTCCGGTTCCGGTCAAAATTTCGGTTCCGGTGAAACACTAGTTGCTACCTAGTTGAAATTGTAAAGAAAAAGTTTTACTTATCTATTCATTGTAAAATTGTAATAATCCAAGTTTAATTAATATCATGTTGTTCTTCAGAAATATCAACATTATTTGTTGTTTGTTGACTAGTTCTTTCAACAAAAATAAAACTAAACAAAGCTAGTATTGAACCAACAAAAAGAAATAATAAATGCCAATATAGAGAGAGTAGAGAAGCATATAAAAATGCCAAAAAAGTTAACAATGATTGATAAAATTTAAATAGAGAAAAGGCTGAAGCACTTTGATGTTGTGAATAATGAGAAATTAATAGAGAAAATATTTGTGTATTCCAACAAGAATCACCAAAACCAATTAAAAATCCAGAAAGTAAAGCTATCCAAATTCTAAAGGAAGAAAAAAAAGTTGGGAATATTTAAAAAGGAAATTGTAAAATTGTAAAAAAATTTAAAGTTGTAAAAACTTTTTTTTAATTCCAGCTTTTCTAAAAAATTTTAAAATCGCAATAAAATTGTAAATGGAAAAAAATGAAAAAAACATGTAGAAACATGTTTTAATTGACTACTAAGTTTTAAAAAAGGTTGGAATTGTAAGCCTTATTTAAAAAAAAGTTTTTAAACGTATTCAAATGTGTTAAAGACTTATTGTTAACAACTTAATCACAGGGCCCGTATCATAAGAACTCGGTCACAACGTTTTCAGATGTGTTAACCACTTAGCCGGCCCGTATCACCTGACGATGGTCACCTGCCCATGGTCATCTAAACATCGTTAGGTAACCACAAGGTAGTGGAAACCAGTATCATAAGAAAACCACGTAATTAACCACTCGTAAGGTCACCTAAACATCAACCACGTTCTTATGATACGGGCTGAGACTGTAAAATTCAAGTTTTAATTTTTAAAAGCTCTACCTTGGATAAATTAAATATCCTTCTTCAAATGTTTTCCCTAATGAAGCATCTCCAGGAATACTTGCAAAAATAGCAAAATAGGCTAATAATTGTAGAGAAGAGCCAATTAAAACAATATTTGATTTTGTAAGTATTCTTGTTGTTCTAACACCAAATATTCCAAATAAAAGACCGGCTGTATTTAAATAATTAATTTTATATTTGCGGACTTTTTTTGATTTTGAACAAAATTTTGTGGACATTTTTAGACTTGTTTAAGGAACTACACTAAAGTAGACGCAATAGACTCCCGTGAGGAATCGAACCCGTGTCCCCCAGTTAAGTGCAAGTCGGGAGTGCAACCCACTTAACCATGGCAACTAATTGCGGACAAAAAATTGCGGACACTTCCTAGTAGAGATCGATACGGGCCTGAACCAAGGCCTGGGTTTTTATTTTACCCAGAGTCCAGGCCTAGGCAATTTTTGACCTTTCTGGGTTTTTCCTAAGCCTGGGTTTTTCCTTGACTACAGGCCCAGGATCCGGCCCAGTTCAATAAATCAAACCAGGAACCTGGTCCAGGCTTTTCAATAAATCTTGATCTCTACTGCCCAGGTAAAAAAATAAATTAAAAATTAATTTCTCACCACTACTTTGTCCAACTCCTTGAATTATAGCATTTAAAGCCAATAAAATTTTCGGGTCAACACCTTGATTTAATTGAAATAATTCTGTATTTGCTATACTTGTTGGATATATTGAACTCCAAAAACTAACAACAATTCCAGTATACATAAATGGAATTGATAATAACAACATTTTTGATGTTTTGGCGAGAATAAATGTTGATTCTGGTATTTTTAAAAATAATTATGGAGTTTTTAAAGTTATTCTTCCAAAAGTCCGCAAAATTTTGTCCGCAAATAATTTTTTAAAATTTTCTGTGAAAATAATATTTTTTATGACTTTAAAGAAAAGAAATAAAGTTTAAAAATATAAAAAAATAGTTTTAAAAGCCAAAAAAACCTATTTTGATCCGGAGAGGGATCGAACCCATAACCGGAGAGGGTACAAACCCATAACCATTCCACTTAACCAAAAAAAAATTTTTGCAATTAATTTTAAAAAACAGTGAAAGATATTTCCAATAAAATAAAGATATAGAAAAGATATTTTTAATATTTTTAAACTTTTTTCTCATTAAAAAATAAAAAAAAATTTGCGGACAAAAGTTGCAAACTTTTAAATTTACGGACAATTCGCGATAACGTTTTAGGGAATAAACACTTAAAAAACTTTTCTTAAATTAAAAACATATTTAAATAAACCTACTAATCATAGACAAAATAGATGTTAAAATATTATTAGGTTCAGCTCCATTCTCATTATCAAGAATATTAGCTTCTCCAGTTGGTTGATTCGAAATTGGGTTAATAATTGGATCAAGCAATTCAGAAGGTGAAGGAGAATCTTTTTAAAAATATTTTTTATTTATTTAAAAAAATATTGGCATTTATTGAATATTCTGACAATGAACAGTTTCCAAACAGTCCAGCTAAATAAAAAAATTTGCGGACAAAAAATTTTGTCCGCAAAAAAGTTGCGGATAATCCGCAAAAAAATGTCCGCAATACTACTCAAAAAAACATAATAAATACCGATAAGTTTACTTATTTTTAAAATTGAAAAAACCTTCTCCATGTCTTCTCCTATTATTTCCAACATTTTCAGCATTTAAAGGTAACAATCCCAAAATTAGAGCACCCAAAACTGTAATTCCAGTAAATACTGCATAAAGTAATTTGACTGTTGAGGGAGCAAAATTGCTGCCAAAATGATAGTGTTCTTCAGGATTTGAATGTTGATGAAGTAAAAATACAATTGATAGGAATATTCCTCCACAGACTTGACTTGAAAAAAATTTATTTTGAAAATTTAAGAAAAATTTGAATTTTCGTTTTTTTGCGGACAATCCGCAAAAATTTTTGCGGATTGTCCGCAGATTTTCGTTTTTGCGGACAAATTATTTTTTTAACTTTTTTTTATAATTCATAAATTTTTTTAAATTCATCATAATTTTTCCGCAAATTTTTGCGGACAAAATATTTTTTAAAAACTTTTTTTTAATTAATAAAAATTTTTTACCATGCTTGTGATAATGCCCAAAATAAACCACTGTGTTTTCCTGCTGTTTCTGGTTGGCTATTAAGTGCTAAATATTTTCCTTGGGCTGTCCATATTACTAGGAAATTAAAAAAGAAAATTAGCGAAAAAACTAGAAAAAGAATTATTTCGAAAACAAAACTCGAAACACGAAAAAAGCGAAATTTCGTTAAACATCGAAAAACCCGAAATTTCGTAAAGTTCACGAAATTCGAAATTTCGTGAAATTAAATTTTCTCAAAAATTAAAAATTTATTTACCAGCAGCCCCCAATCCAAGCAAAGCAGAAGACCCAAATAAATAAAAACGATTCAAAAATAAAAATCCAGCTTGAAAGAGTGCATAAGTACAGGCTCCAAAAAGTAATGCCCAACGAGTTCCAAGAATGCCCACAATTGGTGCAGCAGCTATATTGAGTAGAGTAAATGAAGCATAAATAATTGCTAGGCTGAAAACGATGGGAATTTTTGAAAAAATTTTAAAAATTTTGCAAAAATTTTTATCCGCAAAAAATTTGCGGACAATCCGCAAAAAATTTTTTTCCGCAAAAAAAAAATGCGCACAAAAATCTGTCCGAAAAAAATTTCAAAACCTGGTATATCCATCATGCCTTTTCACCACTCCTTGTGCAACAAACGAATCTAGAACAGATTCTTCGATAAATCCTTGTGAATTGAAGGCAAGAAAAACAAAGAAAAACCCAATTCCTAATTGAAAGACGTTAAGTGTTTGGGAACTGGAAAAAAATTTATTTAATTAAAAATTAAAAAAAATACTTGATAGCCATATTTTACATATTTTTAAATATTTTATTTTCCATCATTTTTCTCTAAAAAAATTTTTTTAATGAAAAAAAGGGCCGTTGACCTGAGGGATGCCACGGGTGGTCAAACTCAATACACGAAATCCGAAGCCTAGGTCTTTCTTCGAGCCGCAATCCGACGAGCCGAAATCGGATTCAAACCTGCTCCTTTTTTTATCAACCCGTGATATCTCTGAAGACGACCACAAGGTAATCTCCGCCTATCCACCCCCTACTCCCCTCCCCCTTTTCCCACCCAAAAATATGACTAACAACGTAAACCAACGAAATAATTTCCGTTATGCGGCTGACTAGACTCTCTTTTTTTCTAGCTACTATTCAATAAAATTAGTTAAAGAAATTAAATAAAAAAATAAAAATGTGGTGATTAATCACAACCATTAGTCATCAAAAAAAAATAAAAAAAAAATTTTAAAACGAAAATGCAAGTTTATTTTTAAGATTTAAAAATTAATTTTTTTGAGAAAAAATACAGTCAAATGGATAACCAAAAAAAATTTTTTTTGAATAAGTAGGTAATTTAATAAAATAAAATTTTAGATTTTATGTCAATAAAAGAGAGAAGAAAATGATACATATAGGCTTGAAAAATGGGATTCTTGAGAAAAATTAAAAAAATAATTTTTAAGAAATCTAGACAAAAAATATAAATTGAAAAAGGGTAAAATTCAAGTTCGTATACCCCCTCCTATTTCCATCCTTAAATTATTAAAAATGGTCAGGGTTGTCGGCTCGGAATTGTATCGAAGAAGCGATGCTTTATTAACTGATTATATGCATACTTACAATTAGAGGAAAGAAAAAGGTAGGATATAAGAATTTTAATTTTACCTGAAAAAGAATTTTTTACAAAACCTTTTTTATTGAGAAATATGCTTATTTTAATGATTTTTTTTTTAATTTTGAGATAAGTGAAAATAGGTTACTTGGTAATTGTGCTGGGAGACAATTTTAAATTTTTAGTCAAAAAGATTTTTTTCCCAAAAAAAATTCCAAAAATTGGTTAGATTGTTTAAATATTCTGAGCAAAAACATAATATATAACCTTATCTGTTAATTTTTAAGAGTAAGAACACGGATTACACAAAGGCGTCGCATCGTCTTCATCCACTTGTCCACTGCTGCGATTATGAAGATTAATTCTTTCAGGAAAATCTAAAGAAAACTTTTATAAGATAAAAAACAAAGAAGAGAGTTTAAAAGCATCACAAAATCTTTTAAAATGTCGAAAAAAAATATTTGACCTCGGGCGGATTCGAACCTTTGACCCTCAAAATACGAAAAACTCCACTTAACCAAAAAAAAATAAAATTTTGAAATTAATTTTAAAGACAGTCAGAAATTATCAAAAAACCATTATAAAAAGTTTGAAAAAATTATTTGACCCCGAGCAAGGTTCGAACCTTTGACCCCCTAAATGTGAAAAATTCCACTTAACCACAAAACGAAATTTTTGAAATTTTTATAGGAACAAAAATTTTTTTTTAATTTATAAAAACCTGGATATTCTTCTTCTCCTTTTCGCATCATAGATAAACACATACGGACAACTTCTTTAAAAGCTTCATCCAACCGCCAATCCTCCTTTGCCGAGACCCAAAAAAATTTTTTTTGAAAAAATCTTTAAAAATTCAAAAAAACCTCAAAATGTTTCATATTCACTCCTTGTCTACACCAATTCTCAGCTTTTGCAGAACTCACAGCTCTTTTATCCATTAAATCGAATTTATTCCCCAAAATCATAAAAGGAAAGTCATCAGGATCTGAAGGATTTGAAACAACGAGAAATTCATCCCGCCAGCTTTCAATGGCACGGAAAGAGGGAGCTGAGGTTAAGTCGTAGACCTAGAAAGAACAAAATGTAAAAGATTAATTAATAGAAAAAATGAGCAAAAAATTTTTTTGCGGACAAAGTTTGCGGACAAAAATTTTGGGGAAAAGTATTTGCGGACAAACTTTGCGGACAAAATTTTTTTGAGAAAATAATAGAATAAATGAACGGCCTCTCTACAACAAGCAGATCTAATAGGTCTGAATTGTTTTAGAGTCAAGCCAGTTTCAAGAAGTAATTGTCCGCAAAACTTAACGAGACCCCCAAAAAAAATTAATTAAATATTCCTTACCAAAACACAACAATCAGCCCCTCTGTAATAAGCAGATCCCAAAGATTGGTATTTTTCAAACCCAGCAGTATCCCAAATATGAAGCGTCACATCCACCCCATCGACTGTCATTTGTTTCTTCATAAAATCAACCCCAATAGTTGCTTTGTAACAATTTGAAAATTTTTTGTTGACAAAACGATTAATTATTGAAGTCTTTCCAACACCTGATTCTCCTGAAAATTGACAAAGTTTAATTTTAGAAAATTAAATTTAAAATAGAACCTAACAGAATCACTTTAAGCGTCAATTTTTTCCTTTGAGAAGATGCTGAATTCATTATATTTATGCTAGAAAATAAGAAAAAGGTTTATAAAACTAATACGAATCTTTAAAAAATTAAAAATTGGCCAAAATTAACCCTAAATCGATCAAAAATTCAATCAAAAATCAAATAAATTAAAAAAAACATAACGCCAAAAAAATAAAAAAATTAATGTCAAAGTGTCAACTATTAAAAATGTCTAAAATTTAAATGGTAAAATGTGGCAGGACATCAGGTACAGTTTTGCTTACTGTTAAATGAGAGAAATGGGAGGTTGGTCGATCAGATCATTTTGGCATCTCTGCTGATAGTATATAGGCAAGTGAGTGTTAAATACTTGGGAATATTATAAGACTCATTCAAAAATTCAAGCATTCCTTCTATTTATTTTTTAAGACCTTGCATAATTTATTTCCCAAATATTTAAATTTTAAATATTTAGCACCTGTAAATTAAGCAAACATTTTTCTTAATATTACCAGTCTTCTCCCTCTCCTCTCTAAATTATCATAGGGTTTAAAGTTTTGCTTCAATGTTGCCTGTAACTAACAAATTATTTTTTAATCCATAGTTTTTTCATCGATTATATAAAATTTTAAAATTAATTTAGCCTATTTAAGATGATTATCAATCCTTTGGTGATACTTGTACTCCTTGGCATTTTATTTAATTTCGTTTCTGCAAATGCTCCTCCATGCTTTGACGGGTGGAAACCGAATGGACGTAAAAATATTTTATTTAACCTTTTTAAATTTATAAATTTAACTTAAAATGTGTAGGTACAACGTTCGGCGGTTGTATCCAGAAAAGTCAACTTGCTGTCTCAGGCATTTGCTGTTAGTTTGTTTTTTAATATTAATATTTTCATGTTCTTTCCTGTTTAAGGCCAAATGTCAGTAGAGCAAGCGAAATTGAAATATGTGTTCAATCCCAACACTAACAAATGTGACCAGACTTATTGTCCACTCGGGAGCATTAAAGATAACCATGGTTAAAACAAAGTTCTATAGCTAAAATCAAACTTTTTTAAGGTTGTTCTGTCAAGGGGTTTTGTATAACATACGACCAAACATGTATCAAAGGAGAATGTTGCGGCAAATACAGCATGCCAACAATAGCGACAGCATCAATGTATACATGCAATCCGAACAATCCAAATAACCCAATTAATCCAAACAATCCAAATCCACAATCTAATCCGAATAATCCGTACAATCCAACTGTGCCTTTTAATCCAAATGTACCTCCTAATAATCAATATCAGAACCCAAATCAGTATATGCCCAATCCTATTCCTAATAACCCAAATAATCCGCAAATGTCTGGTGCTGGCATGCAACCTGTTTTCACCTCTAATAGACAGCCTGCATATACAACTGCAGGACTTCCTATTTTCACGATGAATGGACAGTTATTCACTGCAGATGGCCAAACTGTATATTCAAATGGACAGCCACTTTACACTGCAAATGGACAGATGATTGTTAGCAATGGAGCTGGCATGGGAAATCAAGCACCGTACGGTATAGGAGGTCCAGCATCACAATATGGAATGGGAAATCAACCAAACGGAATGGGATCACAATATGGAATGGGAAATCAACCATACGGAATGGGATCACAATATGGAATGGGAAATCAACCAAACGGAATGGGATCACAATATGGAATGGGAAATCAACCATACGGAATTGGATCACAATATGGAATGGGAAATCAACCAAACGGAATGGGATCACAATATGGAATGGGAAATCAACCATACGGAATGGGATCACAATATGGAATGGGAAATCAACCATACGGAATGGGATCACAATATGGAATGGGAAATCAACCATACGGAATGGGATCACAATATGGAATGGGAAATCAACCATACGGAATTGGATCACAATATGGAATGGGAAATCAACCAAACGGAATGGGATCACAATATGGAATGGGAAATCAACCATACGGAATGGGATCACAATATGGAATGGGAAATCAACCAAACGGAATGGGATCACAATATGGAATGGGAAATCAACCATACGGAATGGGATCACAATATGGAATGGGAAATCAACCAAACGGAATGGGATCACAATATGGAATGGGAAATCAACCATACGGAATGGGATCACAATATGGAATGGGAAATCAACCATACGGAATTGGATCACAATATGGAATGGGAAATCAACCATACGGAATGGGATCACAATATGGAATGGGAAATCAACCATACGGAATGGGATCACAATATGTTAATCCAGCATCAATGTACGGCGGTATGGGAAGTCCGGCACAGTATGGAAATACAGCATCGATGTATGGCGGTATGGGAAATCCATCATCTAGCATTGGGGGAAGCGGTGCTGGATTTATGCCACAAAATAACATTCCTCAAACAGGGGCTAATGGCTTCCCGTCACAGTTAGTTAAAATTTGTTATGATTTTTGATATAACGCAAACTTAGATATTCTAATCAGATGGGATCATTTCCTGGCGTTGGTGGCTCAATGAGTGGAATTGATCCGTCCTTACTACAGCAAGGTATTGAAAAAAATGTTTTAACTCAAAACTTAAAATAATTTTTTAGCCTGTGCTTCCGGAGAGCAGCAATACTGCTCAACACAATCATCGGCAGGTTGTACTGACATGCAGTTTAAATATACATGTCCAAAAACATGTGGACTTTGCAATGGCTAGAGTGAAATTTACGAATGAAATTTTAATAAATTAAAAAGTGTGCCCATACTTTGTGTGATTTGATTTGATAAACTTGAATACTATAAATTAATTTTTGTAAAAATTGCATTGTCTCATTAATTTATTTTTATTGAGAGATATTTTTTGCCTTATCGATGTTTTAAAATTTTAATTTATTTACTCAGCCTTTCCAGTTTCCATCCAAAATTAATTTTTAATTTTTTTATAATAAAAAAAATTATGGAATTGATTAACTAAATAGTTTTTTTAGTTTAAAAATTTTTTTCTCTAAATTTCAAAACCCAACAAACTCCAACATTATTAATTTTATCCTTATTTCCCTCTTAACTTAAATTTTACTAATGCCCAAATGCCTAAAAGACCGATAAAATTTCCTAAAATAAAACTTCTCAAAAATAAGCTTGAAATACTTAAAGTGTTACTATTTAACTATTATTTATTAATTAAATTGCTGGCAAATGTGGATGGACAATATGTCCAACAATGCCCGATGGGATGGACTGCTGATGGAAGTATAACCATTATTTTCTTGGGAAATAAAAAAAAACTTTTTAAGACTGTGGTGCCATGGTTAATTGTCTAAGTATGAACCACAAGTGTTTTGGAACTCAATGTTGTAAACCTACAAGTCCGGGGACTGGAGGGGCTGGAACATGCCCGGTGTGGACTAAAGTGGATGGAAGTGGGTCTTTTTAAATATCTATTATGTATGGGGGTTTTGAAATTTTTTTTCGAGAGGGGGAAAGCTGACAAGGAAAAGACTGACAAGGGAAAAGCTGGCAGGGAGAGGGGTGACAATAAAAAGATAAGAATAAAAATTTATAAGATTGAGCAAAATTTATTTTAGGAGGAAATTATTGTTAAAATTAAGGCAAAAGGCACTTTAAAAATGTTAAAGAAATAATTAAAACAAAAATTAGGCAACAATTTTGGGATAATATGTAGAGACTTAAAAATTAAAATCAACAGTTATCCATTAATACTCGCAGCCGTTGTCGAGGAAGACATTAAAGTAGTTGTTTCATTGCCTGTTGCGACTAAACTCATTGACAAGGGAGTCCCCTCATCCCTACTGTGACTTCGCTTTTTTCCAGTCCGGGAGAGAGAACGTCTGACACGCTCAACAAGGCGTGAACCCATTCCCTGTAAAATAAACAAATTTATTGAAATTTAAGAGAGGTAAAATTTAGCCACAGGCAGTCCTAGCAGCTTTCGCTCATCGCGTAAAGGTGTTCACCGACGAACTACCTACAATACCTTTGAGGCATACTTACTCCCCTCATCCTATTGCTGCATATACTGAAGAATGCTGCATATCTCACTCCTACCATATGCTGCTATCATTAAACCCCTGCCTAGTAAGCGTTTAAAATGCCCCCCCCCCCTCTCATCCCTACTATGGTAGGTGGATCTCCCTTCACTCTTACTTTACTATATTTCAATAAAATTTCTCATAGATTTTATCCAAATTAACTCAAATTATATTTCACCTTAAACGGATTCCTCCCTCCACGTGGAGCAATCTCCCCGCTATTATTTTTTGTTAGCAACAGTTCATTTTGTAATGCTGCCGCTTGGTGATCGCTAGGTCGTCGTTTAGCTTTAGCCTTTGATGGGGGCAATTTTCTACCAGCACTAGAAAGGGATTGATCCATTGAAGAAGCTTTGTTTAAAAGTCCGAATAATCCCGAATTTTTTGTTTTGTTTGATTTTTCTCTGAAAAATATTTGAAAAATCTTCCTCAACTTCCTCTTTGCTTGTTGACTTACTCTTTACGTCTACGCGATTCTTCCGCAGCTGCTTCTTTTTCATTTAACCGTGTTTGCTCGAAAGAGTCGAATGCTTTGGCCATTTGCCGAACTGAGGGGCACTTTCCTTTAGAAAGTTCTTCACGTCGTATTCGGTAAAGAATGTTTGTTCCTTTGAAGAAATTTTAATTTAAACATTAGAGAAACGCAAAGTTCTCTGCGTCTTTTTACTTGGTTTGAGTTCAAATATTTTGACTTAATTTTTGGAGTATTTTTGGTACAGTCGAACCCTTTGGGCTGAATACACCCTTATTTGTTAGAGGTGAAAATTTGTGTCTTATAATGGGGTGTCTTTTAAATAGAGGGTACTCTAGTAAGGCGAAATGATCACCTTAGCGAAGTGAGATTCATGGGTTATCTTATAAGATTGGAGGTTCATATATTGGGGTGTCTTTTAAATAGAAGGTATCCAGTAAATGTGTGTATCCAGTATTGGGTGTTTCTTATAGCGAGAGTTCGTCTTTATTTCCCCCATTTTGTTAAATTTTCTTGTTCATTTAACTACCTGAACTGCTCGTCCTCCTATACTCTCTATGAGCTTTATTAGTACTAGCAGCAGCATTTGCTGCAGCCATAGCAGAAGTACTGTCTTCATCACTCCCAAACTCGCCAGAAATTATTTTTTCTGCTCCTTGACTTCTAAACAAAATATTATCCATTCGGCAAGCTTTCACTGATGTCGGGGTGGTACATGCTCCTCGAGGGAATTTGAAAGGGGAAACTGAGCGTGCCATTGAACAGTCTAGTAGACGACTATCCCAAGTTGTGTTTTCGGTTAGTGAACTCATTGAAGGGCTCTTTAAAAAATTTTTTTTACGAAAAAAAATTTTTTTTTGGAACCTCAGCCATGGGTATTCTATTCACTTGCAAACCAAAAGTTGGAAAAGCTTGATTTAACTTCTTTTCTTCACTTTTTTCTAATCGTTTTTGGTGTTGTTCTCGTTCTAAATTATTTAATCTGGCGTTTAATCTTTCCACTTCTGCGGTATAATGGCTTTGATATTCTCTATATTGACGCTGTAATGATTCGGCAGCGCGTAGTGCATTGTCTGCTATCTGAATTTAAATATAGTACATCTTTACAATTTGTAATAACGTTTTTAATTTTTTTACAAATTGTAAAAAATTTTTTAAACATTTTACAATTTGTAAAACTTTCTTTTTTAATTTTTACAATTTGCAAAACTCTTTTTAAATTTTTTACAAATTGTAAAACATTTTTAAAACTTTTTTACAATTTGTAAAACTTTTTTTAAAACTTTTTTACAATTTGTAAAACTTGCTTTTTTTATTTTTACAAATTGTAAAACTCTTTTAAACTTTTTTACATATTGTAAAACTTTTTCTAAAACTTTTTCTACAATTTGTAATTTCAAATTCTGATTTTTAAATTTCCATTTCTCCTCAACATTTACCCCCAAACATTTTCCCAACATTTTTTACCTGTTTATAATCAACTTTAACACATTCTTGCTTAACATTATTATTCTCAACTAAATCAGTTTGTTTTTCCAGTTGTTTGCTAGGTGAACAACACATATTCACGCTAGGTTTAGACATTTGAACAACAACTGGAATTATTTTTTCTATGGATGTTTTTGGGGAAGAGAGTTGTTGCGGTTGTTTTGATTGTTTTAATAAATCTTCCAATTTTAATTTTTCTCTAATCCAAACAATCTCTTTTTGTTGGTGTGTTGCACGCATCTTTTCTTTAATAAAAATAATTTTTCATCAAATTTTTTCAAATTTTGTTTACCCAATTCTTGCAAAGCTTCGTCTGTTCTCATTCTTAATTGTGTTAGTTCTGCTTGTAATCTTATCCGTTCTGCTTTAGCTTCTTTACAACGGGACTCCCAAATCCGACTCTGATCTAATCCTTTTTCTAACCCTCCAGCCTTTTCTTTTGCTTGAGATAATTCTGCTTCGCGTTCTGCCATTGCCTAGAAAAAGTTTTAAATAATAATTGTAAATTTTTAGCACACAGTTGTAATTTTATTTGTAAAACTATTTTCTAAGCTTTTTACAAATTGTAAGAAAAATTTTAATTTTTTTTACAATTTGTAAAACATTTTTTAAACATTTTACAAATTGTAAAACTTTTCTCAAACTTTTTTTACAATTTGTAGTACAATTTGTAAACAAACATTTTTTAAGCTTTTTACAAATTGTAAAAAGTTTATCAAACCTTTTAAAACTTTTTTAAAACATTTTTACAATTTGTGAAACTTTTTTACAATTTGTAATACAATTTGTAAAACTTTTTCCAACTTATCTTTGTTATTGTGATTCTGATTTTAATTTCTGATTTTTAATTGTAAAATTACCTTTCGCAGTGTAACATTTTCTGCACGTGTATTTTCTAACAAATCCCTAGCCGATTGTGTTTCTGTAATTTGTTTATCTAGAGCATTTCGCAAACTAGTTGTTTCTTTTTCTGCTAAAACTTTTTGAGTGTTAGCTTCTTCTTCAGCCTTTTGTAATTCTTTAGCCCATTGATCGCGCATTTGTAAAACCTTGCAAATTTAAATTTATAAATTTTACAATTGTAAAATTGTAATTTCTACCTGTTCTGTCAATTCCCCATTTTTTCTTTTGTAAAAATCACAACTTTGTTCAAATTCGCGAATTTTCCTCTCCTTCTCCTCACATACAGTACAGACATAATTTCCGACAAGTTTACCAGATCCATCTTCAAATTCCTGTTTTGATTTCCCACAATCATTGGTATTGTTATCGCCTAATACATTCCCAAGAATCATTGATTTTGTTAGGGAAATCTGTTCAAGAATTAATTTTTTCAGAATTTTTCTTTAAAATTTACATTCTGAGAATGTGCCAATTGTTCCTTAATTGCTTTCATTTCACTCAAAAGCCTAGCTAATTCTTCCAAAACTGAAGCAATTTCTCCTCCCTTAAGTGAACGACGTCTTTCTTCTTTATTCCCATTTCCTTCTATTTTTTCGAGTTGTTTACAGATTCGGTTTGCTTGGGCATCCATTGCTGCTAACATGTAACAGAGTTGTTCAGTCTTAAAAAATTTCTGCTTCATAAAAAATAAAAAAAAAATTTTACATCTACAATTGTATTGTCTTCCTTCCCTACACTTCTAATTATCTCGCTAGCTTCTTTTGTATCATTACTATAACTTAAAAAATTCTTAAAAGGTTGTATTAACTCTACCAATGAGAAGCACTCCTTTGAGATTTTTTAGGTGAAGATTGCTCTCCTTGGTTAAGCCGGTTATTACCGCTAATAATTCCTTTTGTTAGCATTTTAGAATCATTGCCCTCACTATAAATTAAAAATATTTATTCTTATTTGTAAATTGTAATTACAATTTGTAATAAATATTTAAACTTTAATCTCAAAAAAGAATAAACCTTGTAATAAACATTATTTCCGGAAAGCTTTCCGGAAAACTTAATTACAAATTGTAATTTAAAATAGTAATAGATTATTAACTTTTTACAAATTGTAATTACAAATTGTAATGAATAAATAAACTTTAATTTATATAATTACAATAGTAAATAAATAAAACTTGAAATTTCCGGAAAACTTTTTACAAATTGTAATTTGAATTTGTTAAAAAACGTTTAATTATAACTTTGATTTATTTATAATTACAAATTGTAATTTAAAATTGTAATTTTTTTAAAGCTTGCCTAATGCTTCTAAAAAGACTAGGCCTTTTAGGAGTCAATAATCCTCCCGGAAGCATTGACAGATTTTGTGCTTGTTGATCAGCCAACCGAGTATATTTTTGTAGCAAATCATCGTTTTCAGTTTCCAATTCTCTCATTCTGTTTCTAGTTCTTTGTAAATCAGCTTCAGTGAATCTTAATTGTTCCCTCAAATCAGCTTCACGTTCCATCGAATCCCTAACTTCTCGTTGTATTTCTTTTGGTTCTTCTTCCTCCTCAAAATGTTCAGGTCTAGCACTAACATGGCTGCTCCCATCGACCATTAACGCGGCAGAGGAGATTATTAGAGCTTCTCCTCTTGGTCTCTGAAAGAATGTTTTTTTTAATTTTAATTATTTTACTCTTTTTTTCAGAAACCAAATTGTAATTTGAGTTTGTAAATAAATAAAACTTTTTTTACAAATTGTAAAAAATAAATAAAACTTTTTACAATTTGTAAAAAAATATTTCAAACTTTTTTACAAATTGTAAGAGTATTTCAAACCTTTTTACAAATTGCAAAAATTTATTAAAACTTTTTTACAAATTGTAAAAAAATTTCATACCTTTTCTACAAATTGTAAAAATTAAATAAACTTTTTTACAAATTGTAAAAAATAATTCAAACTTTCTACAATTTGTAATTTGAATTTGTAAAAAAAGTTTAATTAATTCCTTACTATATTTTGCTGCTGTTCCCTATTATTCTTTGCTTCCCTCCACTTATTCTGCGCAAGAAGTTCTCTAACTTTTTCCCTATTGTAAAAAAGTTCGTCTTCAAGACGGCAACGACGCTCTTCTGCTGCTTCTAATTCATTTTGTAATTTTATTGAAATCTGTTTTGCAACGTGTAATTCTTGTTCCATTTGTGCAAATTTTTGTTCTTCTGATATTTCTTCTGATTTTTCTTCTTCACTTTTTTCTTCATTTTTAATTAATTTATTATTTTTATCAAGCAGTTCCTCACATCTCGATACAAGCACACACCTTTCAGCTTGTAATTGTTCTCTCTGCCTTTCTGATTTTCTCAGTTTAAACTGCAGAATTCGACAATTCTTTGCGTTAAGATCCAATTCACGTTGTAATTCTCGAAATTCTTCAATTTCTTCCATTCGACATTGATCCTTTAAAAAATAATTTTTTACAAATTGTAATTTGTAACTACTTGAATCTCATCAATCTCTTGCTGCAATTCATCCCGTTCTTGTCTTAATTGGGCGTTTATTAGTTCGGCGGAAACTAGTTGTTCAGTAAGTTGTTGTTCGTGGTTAAATGAACGGGCATTTAAATTTTGCTCCTAAATTCTGGTTTTATATTTCTGATTTTTAATTTTATTCTGATTTTAAAATTCTTTACAAAATTCTGATTTTTGAAAATTCTGATTTTTAATAATTCTGATTTTTAAAAAAATTCTGATTTTTAATTTTATTATGATTTTAAAATTCTGATTTCCAGAAATTCTGATTTTTAATAATTCTGATTTTCAAAATTCTGATTTTTATCTAACCCTAAGTTGCTGTTGCAATTCTGATTTTAAAGCAACATTTTCTTCTCGATATTCGTTAACAATAGATTCCAGCTCTGCTAATGCATCTACCGCTAGCTGTTGTTGACGTTGCCTTCTTTGTTGTAAAGCATTTAAATTATTATTTTCAATTTGCAATTTTGGGTCTTTTCCATTTGTTGGGGTTGTTGTTCCTGATATCGTTGTCGCCCTTCTTGCCAGCCATTCTGTCCATCTTTGCCTTTCATTTTTGTAACGGCGACATTTTTCTGCTAAACGTTGATTCTCCAATTGCAGCGTGTCATAGTCGAGTGTATGACTCTACAATAGAGAGAATAGAAAGTATATTTAAGTTTATAAAAATTCTGGTGCGTATTTTTAAGATTCTGATAACTCAAGTATACGAAAACTCTGGTTACTTAAGTTTATTTAAATTCTGATTATTTAATATTTTTAATTCTGATTACTCAAGTTTATGAAAATTCTGATCTTATTTACTTAAAGTCTGAACATTTTGTTTCCGATAATTCTGATTAAGTTTATTAAAATTCTGATTACTTAAGTGTATGAAAATTCTGAACACTTAAGTTTCCGATAATTCTGATTAATTTATTAAAATTCTGATTACTTAAGTGTATGGAAATTCTGATACTTAAATTTAATTAAATTCTGATTATTAAATATTTTCAGTATTCTGATTTCTCAAGTTTATGAAAATTCTGATTTTTAATTTTTCCTTTAATTAAAATACTTTAGCAGTCGGCGTTCTAGCTCTAGAATCAAATTCTCCAAGTTCTTCATTTTCATCTTGCACTTGATTAATAAAATTATTATAAATATTCTGATTAAAAAAGTGTCCATCCATTGTACTTGTAGGTGTTAAAAAGTCATCGTCGTTGTCGAAAAATGGCGGAGGACTTCTTAAACTAGTTTTGTAAGAATCAGCAAATGAAATACTGTTTAGACTGTCAATCTTTAAGTGAATTAAAAATAAAATTAATTTAAAAAATTTTTTTACTGATTGGGCACTAAACATTTCACTTTGTGAATGGCCATTGCTTCCGTTTCCGTTTACATTGTTAGCAGAAACTGGGAAGTTTGAAGGGGAAGAGGAATTCGCGAGGCGTGAATTTGCTGTTTTGTAAGAACAAAGGGAGAGAATTTCGTCTACATCGTCTGAAAAAATTTTTTGAAAATTTTTTGGAAATTTTTGAAATTTTTTAATTAGCTACCTTCTCGATTTCGTTCTTTATTAATTCCATTTTCTTCAACTACAATAGTAAAATTATTTCCAATTTTATTAAGCATTGCTTCGTCGTTATTTGCTTCACTTTTCACCTCACCTTCATTAATATTCTCATTTTGAAGCAAATTATTATTTGCCTCCTTTAAACTTTTAGACCCACTAATTTGGCTAATTTGCCTTCTTTGTTTTGGAAGTAGTACTGTTGTTGTTGTTGAAGAGGAGGAGGAAGACGAGGAGGACGTTGATGTTTTTGGTGTTGCTAACGTTTTTGATGTTTCTGGTTCTTTTAATTCTGATTTGTTGCTTCTGGTTTTTGATGTTGTTGGAGTCATTATAATTGTTTTTATCTAATTTAGTAAAGAGTAAAAAAATATTCTGATTACTTAAGTTTATGAAAATTCTGAGTTTTTAAGTTTTCTTAAATTCTGCTTAATTTATTAAAATTCTGATTATTTAAGTTTATTAAAATTCTGATACTTAAATTGTGATAATTCTGATTTTTAAAGTTCTGACTATAAAATTCAACTTACCGTATATGCTCGAATGATTACCCTCTCTCAAATAATTGCCCCCTCTCAAATAATTACCCCATGTAGCGAGAGGTTGAAAAAATAATTACCCAGGGTAATTATTCGAGCATATACGGTAAGTTTAAATTCTGATTTTTTAAGTTTACTAAAATTCTGATAATTTAAGCTTACAAAATTCTGATTTCTTAAGTTTTCGATAATTCTGATTTTTAAAGTTCTAACTAAAATTCAACTTAAGTTTAAATTCTGATTTCTTAAGTTATCAAAATTCTGATAATTTAAGCTTGCAGAATTCCGAATAAATTTAACGCAAGTTTATTAACCTTCTGATATTTTTTAGAAACAATAAAATTTAATTTGTATTTTTAACAAAAAATCGAATAATTTAAACTTTAAAGCCACCTGTTTTTAACTTTAAAAAATTAATCATTTAAAAAGGATAACCTCCAATTCATTATTTTCGTCACTTTTAGTTTGAAGGACTTCATTTATTTCAACTTCATTTGAGGCTTCTTTTAATTCTTTTTGTTGCTTATTGTTTTCCTCTTTTTGCTTAGTTACTATAGGCTTCTGCTTCACTTTTTCATCAATAGAATTGCTACCAGAATTCTGATTTTTAATATCAGAATTTTTATCAGAATTTTTATCAGAATTATTTTTATTTTTAATTAATTTTGTTTGTTTTTCTGTTGTTTCTTCTTCCAAACCTGAAGAACTTCGTTGAATTGGAATTCTTCGAAAAGTTGTAGCAACATTTGTAGGCACAGGAATATTGTTTTTATTGTTAGCAATGTTTGTTGCTAACACTTTTTTGGGTGAAGATTTGTTGTTAGTTGGAGGGGAGTGCTTTTTTGTTGATAATGAATTGCTAACAGAATTAGTTGAAGCAGAATTAATTTTTGAAGCAGAAACAAAATTATTTTTAGAAGCAGAAGCAGAATTATTTTTGGAAGCAGAAGCAGAATTGTTCAAATTTATAGCGTTGCTACTCTTTGTTTTTGCCAATTTTGTTGTTTTAACATTAGCTGCATCTGAAGCATTTTTGCTTGTACTGCTTGAAGATGTTTTCCTTTCTAGTGTAGGCTTTCGAATGGGCAAATTACTTTCGTGTTTATCCCTAATTTTTTAAAAATAATTTTTAAAAATAATTTTTAACAACAAACTTTAGTCTAAAACATTTTTTGCATCTATCCTTAAGATAATTTTGAGGTTCAAAAGCCAAACATTCCTGTTGTTGTTGAGAATCTTTTAAATTAATTTCTGTCATTCTTTTTAATTTTAAATTTCTTTTTTTAAGTAAAACATTTAATTTAAAATTTTTAAATAAGTTTAAATTTGTTTTTGTTGTTGTTGAAGCAAAACAAGTTGGAAAAGTTGGGAGGGATGTTTGGGAAAGTTGTTGTTTTTGTTGTTGTTCTTTTGTCTCTTCTGTTAAAAACTTTATTAAATTAAAGTTTGTGTTTTGTTTAAAACACATTCAAACTTAGTTTTAAACAAAGTTTGTATTTTTTGTTTGAACAAACAAGTTTATTTATTATATTTACAACTTTGTTTTAAACAAGGTTGTGTTTTGCGTGAACAAGTTTGTTTGGTTATTTACAAATGTTTGTGTTTTACTTAAAACTTTGTTTTAAACAAAGTTTGTGTTTAGACAAACAAGTTGGTTATTTTATTTACAACTTGTTGCAAACAAAGTTTGTATTTTATTTTTCTTTACAAACTTGTTTTAAACAAAGTTTGTTTGTATTTTATTTTCTAAAAATGTGTTTTCATTTAAACTTTGTTTTTTTTGTTGAAAATAAAAGATAAAAATAAAAAAATACATAAAAAGGGGAAAGAATATCATGGATATATTAAAGAATGACAATGAGACAAAAGAAATAAAAATATATTTTTTGTGTGTCCTTATTTCTAAAAAAGCTTTATATATATTTTGTTTAGTGACAGCCGCTTAAATGGCCAATGAATAAACAAAAATAAAAATATTTTATAAATAAAAATAGGGAAAAAAAGTTGTAGCAATTCAAGTTTGCAAAAACTTGAAAACTTGAAAAGAAACTTGGAAACTTGAAAGAAGTTTTTAAAGTTTTGGAAACTTAAGTTTGCAACTTGAATATAATTTTGTTTTTTAAACAAACAAGTTTATTTAATATTTTATTTACAACTTTGTTGCAAACAAGTTTGTGTTTAAAAAAGTTTGTATTTTGTTTGTATTTCATTTAAAACTTGTTCTGAAAAAAGTTTCTGTTTTCTAAGCTAGGTTTGTAAAATACAACTTGTTCAGAATAAAGTTTGTATTTTTTAAACAAAGTTTGTAAAACACATTTTGTTAGCAGATTAACCTATAATGTTGCTTCAAGTTTGTAATGAAGCTGCTAACAGTTTAGTGAAGCAGCTAACTTGCTAATTGTTATCAAAACACTTTTTACTGCTTTACTGATTTCACTATTTTTAAAGAATCGATTAAGTCTGCGCTTTATCCCTTAAAAAAGGCAAGAGAAAGAGGAAAATCTCTTTAGCTATAGACAAGGCTTTTTAGCGTTTAAAAGCTTCTTTTGCGCCTCATTTCTCCCTCTCTCTTCGCCTAAATTTCCTCTAAAAATATCCCATGCTTTTTCTAAATTTTCTAATATTTACCGCAAAATAAAATCCGTTTCTAATCAATCGATTTGACTAAAAAATAAAATAAAACAATTTAGCTATATTTTATTTTGAGGATTTAAAGTAAAGATTTGAAAAAAGTAGTAGAAAATAAAAATAATATTTTTAAAATATAAGGAGGGTAAAAAGGGATTTTGTTTGAAACAAAGTTTGTGTTTGTTTGTATTTTATTTAAAACTTGTTTTAATTAAAGTTTATTATTTTAACCAAATTTTATAAAATACAACTTGTTTTGAATAATTTTAAAACATAATTATAATCAAAATACAAAATTGTTTTTAAAAAATACAAACTTTATTCAAAACAAGTTGTATTTTGTTTAAAACTTTGCTAAACAAAGTTTGTTTTTTAGCAAACTTGTTTTCAGAACAATACTAAAACTTGTTTATTATTTAGATACAACTTGTTTTAAAACAAGTTTATTTTATTTACAACCTTGTTGTAAACAAGTTTAAAACTTTGTTTTGAATAAAAGTCATGTTTTAATCATAAAATACAACTTGTTTTAAACAAAGTTTGTATTTTTATTTTATTTAAAACTTGTTTTAATCCAAGTTTATTAAAGCTTACCTATTTGCTAATAAAATCAAGTTTTATATAATATTAAAGTTTTAAAACTTTAACACAACAAATGCTTTTCTTCACAAATAATAAAACTTTGTTTATTATTTAAACAATAGTTTATTATATATTTAATTAGTAAATGACCAAACAACTGACTTTTAATAAATAAAATTTTTTTACCTTTTATTTCGTTATAATTTTCTTTTATTGTTCTGGCCATAGGAATGACCATTATAGATTGTCCTTTATAACCGGCTGTTTTCCATTTTTGTTGTTTTTCGGTAATAACACCTGTTTTTAAATATAAAAATTATTTTTTTGGGAAAATAATAAAGTTGGTTAGGTTGGAATTTTTATTAAAACTTGAATTTACAACTTGAAATTAAAACTTGAAATCCCAACTTGAAATTAAAACTTGAAAACTTGGAATTAAAACTTGGAATTCCAACTTAGAATTCCAACTTGGATTTCAAACTTGAATTTCCAACTTGTAATTAAAGTTTATTTTTTATTCCAACTTGCAGCTTTTCTAACATATCAGTTATTACTTGCGTTTAAAAAGCTGCTTATAAATTAATTGGCATTTAGGGGTAATTATTAAAAAATAAAAATTTTTAACCGTTTGAGGAGGCTACAATCATCTGCCTAATAGCATCAGGTAGTTGATAGGGTGAAGAAAATATATTAGATTCCATTTAAAAATTTTAGGGTAACAAAAATTAAATAAAAATATATAAATTTGCCTTATTTTTAACAATAATTTTGTTAGAAAAAAAATTTTTTAATAAAAGAAAATTTCACAATTCCCGCAGTGAAAAGTCAGCCAGCTTTTCCTCTTTTTTAAAAATATTGGAAAATATTTTTAATAATATTCACACAATTTTAAAAATGAATTTCAAATAATTGCATAGTTAGGGGAAGGTGGGGGAAGTGTTTAGGCGATATCCCCAAAGTTTATTTTTTATTCCAACTTGCAGCTTTTCTAACCTATCGGTTAATGTTCGCGTTTAAAAAGCTGTATGTAAATTTGATACGGATTCTTACTATTTTATTGTTAAATTATTTTTAAGGTTGTAAAATTGCTGGGTTCTGCTACGATCCAAAAGAAGCTTGTATTGGCTCAGTTTGCTGTATAGAAAATTTAAAAATAAATTTTAATCTCATAAAATTTAAGGCGAAGTACTCAGCGGTGATCCAAACAACCCAAATTATAACCCGGCCTCACTGCCAGGCACAAATCCAGGCAAAAATTCTGGAAACGTAAATCCCCAAACTAATAACCGTCCCAATACAGGAACTTTTCCTGGCTACTACCCGCCTGGACAACAATTTCCTCCACAATCATATTATCCTCCCCAACAGCAGTACAACCAGCCACCTGTTGTAAATTTTTGAGTTTTTTCACAATATTTCTCACAATACTTTTTAAGATTATTGTCATCAATAATCCTGGAAGTGGTGCTGGTTATAGCTACAATATTCCTCCAAAGTAGACATTTTTCTATTTAAAATTTCACCTTAAAAAATTATTTAAGTTATGGAACAGGCTATTTAATCCCTCCAAATTACGGCAACCAGCCAATAATGAACAATTACCCTCCAAGCTACAACAATTTCCCTCCAAATAATTATCCGGTGAATAATAGACCTGGTAACTTTTTCGTTGGAATTTTTAAAAAATTTTCAAAAAATTTTTTCTAGTGTGTACAGTAGACCAATCAGCCTGTCAGACAATGTCTTTAGCTCAATGCGCCAGTCCTGTGGGTGTTGTGAATTGAGAAAATTTTTTAATTTAATATTAAGCTTAAAATTTAATTTTGACCATTTTGAGCCTTGGACATTCTGAACTTAACATTTGAAATTAATTTTATTTTTAGATAATTGCTCAAAATTGTGCGTGTAAATGCAGTGCCTATAATCCATACAATAATTATGGCTTTAATAATGGCTATGGAGGTTATGGAAATATGCCCATGTATGGAAATATGCCCATGTATGGAAATATGCCTGGGGGAAAGTGATGGATTTTTTAAATATTTTTAAAGTTTTTAGATTTTTGTATAAAAATGGTTAATTCTTTATATTTTTAGATAAAATTTATAAATTTTGATTGAAGATAAATGTGTTTTTTAATTAAATAGTGATGGTTAGGTATCGACGATTAAGTCTCGCGGTCATATTTTGGGTCATAACTTTTTCGATTCTTAACCGATTTGAACAAGTATTGTATCTATCGAAAGCTCTAAATGTGAGGATTATTTTATCTAACAGGATTGAGTTGATCAGATTATCCTACAAAAAGTTACGTGTCGATAAGTGCGCGCAATCGTGATTTTAATTTATTTTTGCTATAACTTTTTATAGAATGGTCAGATCACATTGATCCTGTTAGCTAAAATAATCAGCACATTCAGAGCTTTCGATTGATATAAAAATCATCCAAATCGGTTAAGATCCAAAAAAGTTATGGCCCAAAATATGGCCTCTGGTGTAAAAGTCTTTAAAGTTTATTTTATTTTCAAATTCAAAAATTCCGCCAAACTTTAATTAAAAAAAGAAATAGTGCAGTTAGAGAAAAAGAGAACAAATCGTGTCCGGACAAAATATCGAATCGTTAATAGAGCTAGGAATTTTGAAAAAACCGGGACCGGGTCCGGGAAACGGGTTCTGAAAAATGGACCGGGCGGGTTCCGGGTCCGGGAAACCGGGAAAACCCGTTCCCTGTTTCAACCCGGTCTAGAAATGGGCGGGTCCCGGCCGGGAAACCGGGAAATTTTTAATTTGTTGAAATGATGGTCTATTTTCCACATAGGGCTGTATTTTTCAACTATCCTCCTATACTTATTCTAAATAACCTCTATTAATGTAAGTAAATGCCATTCACGATTATTTAACTCAAGATCAAATTCCCTTTTCTGAAAAATACGTTCATCGACTGCTACCTTTTGTTCTTTCGTACTTGGGATTAATGAAAAAATTCAAAGAAATACTACATATGTTTAATTTCTTTCTAAAGCCCTTATATGGTGGCCGAGTGGTTGTTATGTTAGTTCCTTCATAGTTCCCCTTAATTCCTTCAGAATCCTTAGATATCCCTTTTGATTCTTTTTAATCATATTAAATTAAAAATTCTTTGCGCCGTAGGCGAAAATTTACAGAATTTTGTAAGGCTTAGGAGAAAAAAATTCAATTGTCAGAGCTGCCGGCGAAAAAATTTTTCGAAGCTTAGATGGTAATGAAGCCAGAACTCTTAAATCTTCTGCGCCACAGGCGAAAATTTTGGAAAATTCATGAAATAATTAAAATTTCTAATATTTTTTCAAGTTTGAAACATTAAAAAAATTTGCAAATTTAAAATCAAAATCAAAGTTTAAAATTATTTATTTTTGAAAAGAAAATTTTCTCAGCCACATTTCCATACATGGACTCGAACCCCATCTCTATCAAAATAACTAGATGAGTGAAGTAAGTAAACTTAACCACTCAACTATCGACCAACAAAAGCAAAATGGAGAAATTATAAATATTCCTTTCCTTTTTCCTTCAAAAATTTAATATCAAAGTACGCAAATACACTAAATATTTTTCCCGGTTTCCCAGTGAAAAAAAAGCCGGGACCGGGTCCGGGAAACGGGTTCTGAAAAATGGACCGGGCGGGTTCCGGGTCCGGGAAACCGGGAAAACCCGTTCCCGGTTTCAACCCGGTTGCTTCAAAAAAACCGGGAAAAAGGACCCGGAAACCGGGAAACGGGTCCGGGTCCCGGACCCGTTCCTAGCTCTAATCGTTAAAATGTGGAATAGGCTAAAAAAGGGTTAAAATCTCGAATCGGGTAAAAATGGGTTAAAATCGCGAATAGGCTAAAAAGGGGTTAAAATACCGAAACGTTAAAATATGGAATGGTTAAAATCGCGAATAGGCTAAAAAGGGGTTAAAATACCGAATCGTTAAAATATCGAATTGATAAAATGTCGACACGGCCAAAATGTGTCAAAATGTCGAATTTTTTTAAAAATGGCGCCAAAACCTAAAATCCGGGCGTTACCGTAATACCGACGGTATTTTTCGGTATTCCGTGTCGGTAGTACGGTACGGAATGCCGACCGATAAAATTTAAAAGCTGATCGGTATTTTTCGGTATTCCGTACCGTATACGGTAAGGTACAAAATTTAGGTCTTAACTAAAAACTAGTGACGCCACTCTAATTTTTCCGTATCAGGATCCTGTTGTGTTTTCCGGATCCGTACGATCATGCCGGACCGGATCCGGTCGATTATGCTTGATTTAACCGGTCCGGTTTTACTCCGTAAAATACACGGAACTCGGGCAGAAAAGATTACGCCGGACTATGACATACGAGACTTATCAATCAAATTACCAAAAATAAGTTGATACATTGATAAAATTATCAACAATCAACATATGGCACACATCTGACCCTTTTTTAAAAGAATTCGACATTTTGACCCATTTTGGCCGTGTCGACATTTTATCAATTCGATATTTTGACGATTCCATATTTTAACCCTTTTTTAGCCTATTCGATATTTTAACGATTCCATATTTTAACGATTCGGTATTTTAACCCCTTTTTAGCCTATTCGCGATTTTAACCATTCCATATTTTAACGATTCCATATTTTGTACCGGAGCCGAACAAATATAAAAAGAACTGATGAAGATTTTTGCATTTTTCTCTAAATTTTTTCTATTCATTCCCCGATGAAAAATTTTTTTTGTTTATTTTTCATCCCATTTCCTTCAATTCTTTTGCATTTGTACACAGTTCAGACTAACCTCTACACATTCTTGTAATAGACTAAAAATAAGCTAACCCCCACAACACTTTTTACAAAATAGTTTTGAGAGCTCTCTGATTGATTGACTTTTTTTAACGTTATGGGGGGATTGAGAACATTTTTTTATATTTTTTACTGTCGAGACGGATTAGTCATCAATTGTGAAATTGATTAATATTTTTGTGTGGAATTTCTGAGTCAAAACAGACGAGAAAACTTGAGAGAAGGTCATTACGTCCTTAAAAAAAGATTTTGATGGGTGCGTTGATTTTTCATTTCCTTTCTGGTTTTTTAGTTTTTTACCAAAATTTTTAAAATAAATTATGGAAAATCAATAGGCTTTTGAAGGTTTTCCCCGTAAAAATCAAAAAGTTACCATTTTGACCCCTTGACGGTTTTTTTATTTTTTTGATGAAATTCTGTTAGATAAATACTGGAAACTCAACGAACTTCGAAAGGCTTCGTCTAGTAAATATAAAATACAGAGTTGCCGTTGAGTTACCATTTTGACCCCTTGACATTTCGAAATATTAATATTTAAAATTTTTCAGACTGACATATTTTCTTTGAAAAAATATTTATTTTTTTAATATTTTGGATTAAAAATGGCTTCCGGAGTAATGGTTAACGCCGAGTGCCAGACAGCTTTTCAACAATTATCTGAGGCCAAAAAGTACCGCTACATTATTTATAAGATTGTCGAGAATGAAGTTGTGGTTGAAGTTGCTTTGACTGCTGAAGAGGTTTTTTTGAAAGTATTTTGTGGGGGTTTGGAAATCTGAACATCTTTGGGGGAATTGGTGTGTGGGGGTAGAAATCTAAGGGGTCCTTTGGGGCGGTATTCGGGTCTTTTCTGTTAATCGCTTTTTGCGAACTTTTCCATTCTTGCGGACACCCTCCCCAAATCGTTATTTTGATTAATTGGTGGATATAATATGAGGAAAGGTATAGGCAAAATCGTGGTTTGTTACGGGGGTGTCACAGTGGACATGAAATCCGAATAAATGTGTCCACATAAAAAAGAAAAGTCCGCAAAAAGAAGGTTAGGTGCTAGGGGAGGTCCATGGTGTATCCGCATGTTTAATTTCTCTTCTTGTTCTGGCTTTTTCAAAAACCTTCTGTACCCTCTTCCTGTACCTGAACCCTGTTCCGGTCCTTTTCCTCCGTTTTTCAATTAATCCGCAAGTTTTTTGCAGAATCCGCAATTATAACTTTGTCCCAATTTTCTTTTTAGATAGGGACAACAGATGACAGTTACGAAGACAATTCTAAAGCGGCTTATGAGATATTCGTAAAGGACATTAAAGACAAGACTGACGGTTTTCAAGATTGTCGTTATGCTGTTTTTGACTTTAAATTCCAAACACATCGTCCAGGCGCTGGAACTTCTAAAATGGACAAAATAGTCTTCATTCAAGTATTTTTTTGAAATTAATAGAGTTTTGGGGCCATAATTAGGACTAATGGTCAATTCCACATTTTCATTATTTTTGAACTGTGCTCAGGATTACTTGCCCTTTTCAAAGTCTTTTTGGCCTTTTAGTCTGGTTGTTTTTTGAATTTTGGGGTTCTAATCTTAGGATTATTTCATATGTGGTCTGTGTCATCTTCCGACTAAATATTGTTATGAATCCGAGCAAGGCTGCTTAAAAATCTTGAGTGGTTCTTGCCACTCTTCAGTTTCTCCCCCTCTCTTTTTCTCCCTCAGCGGTCTCATAATGGTCAGACTTCCCTCTTAAATGGCCTTTTATTCGAACACTTCCTCGATTCTCTTATGGGTTACCATAAGGAAATTTATTGAAATAAAGGAAGATTCAAGTCTGACCATTATGAGCCTTTTAGTCTGGTTGTTTTTTGAATTTTGGGGTTCTAATCTGTAGGACTATTTCATCCCGGAACTCTGTTATCTACTAACTGATTATTGATAAGAATCCGAGCAAGGCTTCTCAAAAATCTTGAACGATTCTTTTTACTCTTCAGTTACTCCCCCTTTCTTTTTTCTTACGCAGTGGTCTCATAATGGTCAGACTTCCTCAATTGCTTCCTATTCGGACATTTCCTCGATTCTCTTATGGATACCTTAAGGAAATTTAGTGAAATAAAGGAAAATTTAATTCTGACCATTATGAGTCATTTGACCGGGAAACCTGAAAATTGACGTTTACTCAATATCTTCCATAATTCCCCTTTATTTTTTTCTAGTTGTGCCCAGACAGCGCTTCTATCAAAAAGAAGATGGTTTACGCTTCGACTGCTTCTGCCATAAAGGCATCGCTTGGGACGGCAAAGATGCTTCAATTTCAGGTTTTTTTTCCTTCAAAATTTTCAAAAAAAAATTTTTTAAAGGTCTCAGACGAATCGGAAATTGCGCACAAGGAATTGCTTAACAAGCTCAACGAGAAATATCGTGATAACTAAAAGGGGGAGATGACTATTTTGAAAAATTGATGGAAGAGTAAAAAATTTGAGAGAGAGGAAAGAGACCCTAATTTTTAAATAAAAAAGAGAGGAGAGAAAAAAAATATTTATCAAGTGCCGAGAGAGACGTTTGTTTTTTTTTAATTTTTAAAATTAAATTTAAAAAAAATGTGTGTGTATGGGGAGAATAGAGAGGAGAGAGGGTGAAAGAAGGAAGGGAAGAGGACTTTTTTGAATTTGGGAAAAAAATTTTTTTCTAAGAGAATATTGAGAGTGGAAGGTAATTTTGGAAAATAAAAAAATTTTCCCCTGTCCCTTCCACTCTCAAAAATCATTTAAGAGTGGAAGGGACAGGGGAAACCACTCACAAATCAACTTTCCAAGTACTGCTCTAATTTTCCAATTTTTAAAAGTTTTTGGGGACTGATCGATTCCAGAGAAGAGAATAAAAAAAATTTCCTTCCAGAAGACAATAAAAAAATATTTTTCCTTCTTGTGACCCTCTCTCTCTTTCTCCCCACACAGAAATGGCTTTTTTCCAGTTTGTGTCCTATAGTTTCAGATTGGGATTTTTTGGGTTGGGCTTGGACTGCTTGGTCTTGAGTTCCTAATCCAAACCAAATTTACCAACATTTAGTGTTCCAAAACCCAAACCTCCCCCTTCAAGCCAACCCAAATTTCAAAAATTGGTCCAATTTCCCAATCAGTCCAGATTTAATTTTTCAGACCAAATTCAAATTTCTAGGCCATTTTCGATTTTATGGGTACATTCAACTTTCCTAGGACTATTGGAGGCATAAATTGGGCACAAGCCAAAAAATAATGACCCCCCAATATTATTATTATATTTCCCAACATATTTGGCTTTTATTTTGTTTTTTTTCTCTCCCTGCAACACAAAAACAAAAAAATTCACTTGGGACCTAATTTAAAAAAATTTCATTCCTCATTTTAAAATGCATTCTCTCTTTATTTCTTCTGCTTAAAAAATGTGTTGTGTTTTTATTATTATTTACTTATTTTGTTTTTAAATAAATTGACGCTTGGAAAATTATTTTTTTAGTTTTTGAACGTTTTGAGCGTTAAAATAATATTTTTTTGTTAAGGTGACATTTGGTCCCAAATTGGGCCAAATTTGATTTTTCAACCCAAATTCAAGTTTCTAGGCCATTTTCGATTTCCTGGGCACATTTGAATCTCCTAGGACGGTTTCATTTTTTTCAGGCCAAATTCAATTTTTTAGGCAAATTTCAAATCTTCTAAAATTTTTTAATTCCTTGAAAATGGTGAATGACAACTCAAACAAAAACTTTGGCCGTTCTTGGACGTCTTGTCTACCCGAAGGAGTTGGGCATATTAATGATATTTCGAATGAAGCTGTTTGGACGTTATCGAGTGCTAAAGGTTTTTTGGGAATTTTTTTAAGAAAACATTTTTTATTTAAGAAGGAATGGGAATACATCAATTATTGGATGACAGAGAAGACACTTTTTGGTTTCTTTTTTAATTTTTTTCAGTTAAAAAAGTTTGACCCAGGCGGGGTTCGAACCCAGATCCCGATTTGTGGCCATTAAAAAATTTCTTGAAATCGTGGTTAAGTGGTTTAACTTTTTGATTAGAGACAAGAATGGTCGGGGGTTCGACCCCTCTAGGTGGGTGTCTAATTATTAAAAAAAAATTTCCCATAGGCGGGATTCGAACCCAGACCCCATTTTGTGGCATTTTAAAAAATTTCTTGACATCATGGTTAAGTGGTTTAACTTTTTGTTCTTAAAACAAAAATGGTGGGGGTTCGACTCCTACTGGTGGATATCTATTTATTAAAATTAAAAAAAATATTTCACACGGGCGGGGGTTGAACACGGGCCATCCCCTAGTAATTAAAAAAAATTTTACAATTTTTAAAAAATTTTATTTAGGCAAAGTGATGGATTACAGCCCCACACAATCACAATAGAATTCCAGCGCCGTACACCTATCGATTTTTTGGTTGTTTATTTGGATTATAAACTTGATGAGTCATACACGCCGTCAAAGTAATTTTTGATTTTAAACAATTTCTTACAAAAGTCCGCAAAAACTTACGGACAAAAATTACAGACTCTTAGGAGAATAAAAGGAAACCAAAATTTGTGACTTCCTAGTCAATCACTATTTCTGACAATAGAAGAATATTGATGGAAGGGAACCATTAAAAAAATATTTGACCCTATGCGGGGTTCGAACCCGAGACCCCCCCCCCCTTCCCATTTATTTTTTGTCAATTTTTTGTTTCAATTTCCTCGTTTTTCAGAATACAAATTCAAACAGGATCTTCTGTTCTAGACTTGGAGGATCCAAAAACCGTTACTTTTTCTGAACCAACAGGATGGCAATTAATTGATTTAAGAAAGGAAAAAACTTCCAAAAAACAACAATCATCACAACAAGCATTTGCTATAGTTATTCAAATTGTTCAAAATCATCAAAATGGAAGGGATACACATATACGGTTTTTTAAATAATATTTGAAAAGGGTAGAGGATGGGTGGGAGTAGTCATCTAAGTAATACTCTCTATTTAAGGTACACCTGGTTATAAGGGCGATTGTTGAGGGTCTTTATGCGTAAGAGGAACACCCTCTATATAGGCTCAAGTTTGAAGGCCAGATTTTAAAAGGTAGAGGATGGGTGGGTGAAGGGAACTTTAGGCGATGACCTCGATTTAAGGCACGACCGGTTATAAGGGCGTGGGAGGGAGTCGGGGGAGGAGAGAGAGAGCCGAGGCGTGGGAGGAGCGACCCCCTTTTTAAGATATAAGCTCGAGTTTAAAGGCCTGACTTATTTTTAAAAAATTATTTTCTAGTGGTCTTCGAGTTCTTGGCCCTGGAAGTGCTCACAAAAACATGTTGATTAGAGCTCTAGCAAGAAACGAAGCTTTGGCACAACATTTTTCTGATTTGTATTTTAAAAAGACAATTTTTTCAAATGGCACAATTAGATGAGTTTTTTGTTTAAAAAAATGATAAATCTTATTTTAGATACTGGAATATGTTTAGAAGAGGTTTTTTAACACTAAACATTAAAATAAAAAATGTTTGACCCGGGCGGGGTTCGAACCTGGACCCCCCCTCCCCCTCCCAAACATCCTATGAATTTCCTATTTAAAATAATATCATGTCTTTTTGAAGTACTGAATTTATGTCTAGAGAAGGATTTTGAGTAGGTTTTGATTATACAGTCTCTAGAGGTTTTGATTATACATTTTAAAAAATATTTGCCCCGGACGGGGTTCGAACCATGGACCCCAACCACACACTTTAGCATCTCTCATGTCTTCGGCATTTCTCACAACTTTAAATAATTTTTTAAATCTAAAAATGAGAGTATTTTATTAATTTTCAGAAAAAATAACAAAAAAATAAAATAAAACCTAAAAACAAAAACCAAAAAATTGCTTTCTATAATCAAGCCAACCAAAGATACTTTGCCGACCTCTGTCTTGGTTTCTTCTCCCCCTCATCATCTCCATGAGAATCCTTGGAAAAATAACCAGGCTTTTCAAGTCCCTCTTCCATTCTTCCCATATAATCAGCTAATCTAGTCCATTGTTCACTCATTAACCAAACTTTTTGGCGAAGTTGGACATTTTCAGCATTTTCTCCCCATTCACGAGGTACTTGTCGAGGACTTGAAAAATATTTTTTAATTATTTAAAAAATATAAATCTACTCCAAATATCGATATATGTGTCTAAAAATGGTTTTTGACATTAATTACTAGTATAAAAAATATTTGACCCCGGCGGGGTTCGAACCTGGACCCCCCTCCTTCTCCCATCTTCTAGGAATTTTTTGTAATTTTAATTAAAATCTTATAAAAAAATTAAAAACGTGGATATTTTAATGTGGATATTTGTTAAAAATCTTTAAAAAGAAAAACCTGATAAAAGTCCCATTTTTAACTCCTTCCTCTCCCAAAGCGTATAAAATTGGATATATTGCTTTGTTAACCGATCTTCTGTTTCCAGCCGTATATCCAAGAAAATTACTAGTCCAACGAGTTAAGAAAAATTTCTGTGAAGGTTCATCCTTGTTTAAATCTGTTTTTGTACCGCCTGGATCAGCAACAACAACTCGAACATGTGTATCTAAATAAAAAAAATTTTTTGGTGTCCTTGGTTAAGTGGGCTGCAATTTTGTTTTAAGAGCAGGAGAGTCGAGGGTTCGACCCCTTTTGGTAAATGTCTAATTAGTAAAATAAAAAAGCTTTGATCCATGCAAGGTTCGAACCCGAACACCCCCCATAAATGACTAGAATTATTTTGGGTACTCGTGGTTAAGTGGGTTAACTTTTTGCTTAAAAAATGGTCTGGGGCTCAACCCGCCTTGTGGGTGTCTAATTATTAAAATAAACGCAGACGTTCGAACCCGGACACCCCTCCCATAAATGACTAAAAAATTTATTTTGGGTACTCGTGGTTAAGTGGGTTAACTTTTTGCTTAAAAATGGTCGGGGTTCGAACCCTCTTGACGGGCAATAATTTTATTTTTAATTCTTTTACAAAAATAACCTTTCAATCTTTCTGCCAATTCCCTAGCAAATAAGAGATCCACTAATTTTGAGTATTTATAAGCAGCATGCATATCATATTTTCCTTTTTCTGGGTCAACAATTTCACAAGTGCTAGTCAATTTTTTGACAAATTTGGCATCATTTAGACCAAACAAATTCAAAATTAGACTTAAAAAGTAAAATTTATTTTTTGATTAAAAATTAGTTAGACCTCTTTATAAGACTCTCTTAGGGCCGAAAATTGTCTCTTATAATGAGGTGTATATTAAATAGAGGAGTATCGCTCAGTCAGCTCCCACATCTAGTGGTCTATCAAAATTTTCAGAAAGTGTATCTTAAATCGAGGTGTTATAATAAGATCTGTCTGTAGTCCAAGCTCCCCCTCCCAAAGGACTACCTAATTTTAAACGTATCTTAAATAGAGGGGTATCGCCCAGACAGCTCCCCCATCCAATGGCTTACCAAAATTTCAGAAAGCCTATCTTAGAGATGTATGTAATATTGACGCTATCTTAAAGGTCTGTCTGTTGTCCAAGGTGTGTGTTAAACAGAAGGGTATCATTTATGCAGCTCCCCCACCCAAAAGACAACCTAATTTCAAAATGATGGAGGTATCTTATAACGAGATTTCCCAACTGGATTCCCTTCCCTTTAACCTCCCCCCTCTTTCTTTTCTCTTACCCATCCTTTGCTGCAATATTTGTATTAACAAAAACAATTTTTGAAGCAGTATCTTGATTTAACAATTTTTGTAATAAAAGCCCAACAAGTAAAAAATTCCCAAAATGATTTGTTGCCAAATTTGTCTCAATTCCTTGTTTATTTATTTGATATTTTTTCATTTTTGTTGCAGCATTTAAAATTATTCCATCAATTTTTTCAAAACTATTGGTTTCGTCTTAAAAATATTTTTTTTATTTTTTTAAAAATATTTTTTGTGGTTAAGTGGGTTAAGAATTAATTTTGGAAAGAAAAGGGAAGCCATTTTCCGTTAAAAAATTTTCTCGAGTAATTGTGGTTAAGTGGATTAAATTTTTGTTTAGGACAAAAAGGGTCTTGGGTTCGACCCCACTTGGTGGAAAATAATTTTAAATTAAATTAAAAAAAATTTTTATGAGGTTCCAGAAGAGTTTTCCAAATAAGAATGTCCATAACTTTGGTTAAGTGGATTTCCTTTCTGTTTTACGACAAAAAGGGGTCGTGGGTTCGAACCCTTTTACCCTTTTGGCGAAAAATAATTTTCAAAAAATAATTTGAAAAATTTTTAATATTTTTTTGAATGTTTAAGTTCACAAAAAATTCTAAACAATTTTCAAATGATTTTTAAAATATTAAAATAACCTTTTGTAAGTTTATAAGCAAAATTGTGAATACTCTCAGGATCTAAAAATAAAATTAAATAATTTTTAAAAAGTTTATTTTAAAAACCTGATAAATCACAAAGCCTACAAAATACTTTTTTGTTGCGTGTTTGTAAAACAATTTCCCTTCTGACCTCCAAACATTTATTTTTGTTTCTTAAAATGTTAAAAATTTTTAAGAAGTTAAAAAGTCAATGTCCCCATTTTAATTTCTTCTCTTAGATATGACTGCTAAATAAACCTAGAAGGGAGAGAGGGGTTGATTTTAGTACAAAAATTTATTCTCTAACCGAAAAAGTGAAGAAATCAAGACATAAGACAGGATTAACAAATATCCTCTTGAAAAAGGAAGAGGAAAGGGAAGAAATGAGATGGGGGAAAATAGAGACAACGAATTAAGGGACTCCTAAAAAGTTCAAAATTCCTCGGAAAATGCCCAAAAAATTTTAAATTCTAAATATTTGATGGCCCAAAAAAATTAATTTAAAAAAACAAAATTCAAAACCTGCAAGCCATAATTACAGTTGCATTTTTAAGTGCCAATCTTCTCGTTATTTGCTTTCCAATACCCGAAGTAGCCCCTTCAAATAATTTTTTTCTTTTCATTTTTAAAATTAAAAACCTGTAACAATAAAAGTTTTGTCATCTTGCTCATCCAAATCATAATGTTTTGTGTCCCGTTTATTTCTAGAAAAAAAATTTTTGAAAAAATTTTTTAAAAAATTACCGAACATAACCAAATCCAATGCCAACACCACTTATGCCTAATGGAGCGAGAACTAGAGGGTGGGTAAAAAACTTTAAAAGAACACTCATTTAAAGTCTAATTTTAAAATTTTGCTGAAAATAAAATTTAAAAAATAAAAAATTATTTAGAAACATTTATGTACATTTTGGATCATACAACAAAAAATAAAAAAAATTTTCGGTTAAAAAGGAAAATAAATATGTATATTTATTTTAGAAAATATTTTAGAGACAAAGAGACACCAAAAAAGAGATTAGAGATCGGTCTGAAATTGGGTTCAGACCTGGATGTTTCCTGAAACCAGTCATGATTACTAAAACATTTTCAGTGTTCCTTAATTTTCTGGCCAAAGTCCCATACCGGAATCAGAAAAATTAGGGGAAATAAGGACGTTTAATCAAATGGATATTTAAAGGTTTACAAAATTCTCCCAAAAATTAAAAAAATTTTTTTAATTCCCAAAATTTAGAATCAATATCCTTTAAAATTTCCGATCTCTAAAAAAAATAAAAGAAAAAAATAGGAGAAAAAAGCAGAAAAATAAATATTTAACAACCAAAACAGTCTCTAAACATCATCTAAACAAGCTTTTTAGCCTCAAAAAATCCTCTCAAGTGTCGAATTTGCCACCACCCTGTCAAAAGGAGAACAATTGTTTGTCCAGCAGACCACCACAAAACGCGGCTCTAAAAAATAAAATTTTTAAAAATTAAAAAAATAAAAAAGAAACGTTAGTTCCTTCGCTGGTCTGTCGAAAGCGTTCTTCTCTATAGCGCTGGTAATTCTGCTCTTTGGTAATTTGTTCAACTTGATCGAGTAGTTGACGAACACGCAATTGGAGGTCATTCAACTTGTCCTTTGCGGCAATCTTTAAAATTGGAAAAAAATTAAGATTATGAAAGGAGTTGTAGAATGAGACCCTTAAACCGCCTTTTTACGCTTTCATTATGTCTCGGGTTTTAATAGTCATTTCTAAAGTCATGACATTGTTTGGGTTATAAAATTAGAACAGCTAGGTTTCAGGAATCTGGAAGAATTTTCGGCCCAAAACGTTGGGAATTCCTGATTTTTAGGAATTGGGTAGGATAGAACCCTTTTAAGTAAGTAGCCAATTATTGACACCTTTATGGCTTTTGTTTTTATAATTCAAAGACTCACAGACAACCCAGAAAATAGAATAAATGGTCTCAAAATTTTCACAAAACTTGAACCAAGGTAATGTTGTGCCCACTTAAAACCAAAAATTGGGGACTGCTAAAAACGAGGAACAGATAAATGGTCTCAAAACGGCTTCAAAGACTATTTCCCAGACAAAGGGCCG